AGTAAAATTTAGATTTTTTATTATATAAAAAAGAATTGATACAATTAATAACAAAGTTAACATTTCAAAAAACAATAAACTTAATTCTAGAGATATAAACTAAACTTTAACATTAAAATTGCTCTACTATATTCTTGATAATATTTTCATAATCTGTAATTATTATTTTCAATTTATATTAAAAAGTATTAGATATTCAAAGACAGAAAATATATATTAGTTATAAATCAATCAGATAATATACAGCTTTGTAAAGCATAAATCTATATGATTTTCAAATGACCTCATCAACTAATACAATTTTAAAATTAAATTAATTCATTATGAAATTAAGATATTACCCAAGATTGGTATTGTTATATTCATAAACATAATGGATAATGTTAAAAAAATAACAAAACAGTTTTTCTATATAACTATTAGTTTAATCCTATTAGACAATAAATTTTTAGAATTAACTAAATTTTTAATATTACATAAATGTATTTGTATTTTCGCTTAAAAAGTTTTAATTGTATTAATATAATATATAAACTAATTAAGTTAAAAAATTACTTTTAAAAAATTTGATTTAGAAAATGTTTGGTTTAACCATCTGCAAGTTTCAGTAATAAATACCAAAGATTTAGTACTTGGAAGTAATAAATTGAACATCACAAATGCATATCTTGCGATATTTTATGTTGTTGATGATTTGTTTTCTATAATTTAAGAATTCAATTATGCACAAGGTTGTGTGAGTATTCCCTTATAAAATTTACATCAATTCCAAAAATCTAAAACATTTATAGATTTTCCAAACCTTTTAGCTCAAGATTCGTTTTGATATTCTAAAACTCGAAATAAAGTAATAGAAATTCAATGTTATTTTTAAAAACATTATGAATTGCACTCATCATATTCAAAATCAAGTATCAATAATATGTATAGCACCCACAAGTGTTCATGCTCAAGGAAATTTTGTGTTGAATATTCCTATGAACTTGAGTGGATATCAAAAAATAAACAGTTCGAATGAATAAATTTCAAGAAATGGTTTTGAAGAAATTAAAAGAATTAATGATTCATCTGAATTGACAACGCAAAGAATGAATTTTAAGACAATGTTTTCCTCAACTCTAAATGTTAAAATTAATTTGGGGTAAGTCAGCAAAATCAAAAAAACAAATATATGATCTGATAGAGAATCAAGAATTTCAAACAATGTGAATCCTACAGAATTGACCAATACTTAGATAAATTAGTCTAAATTATTATAGGAAAACAATTAAATGATTGGAATATTTAGAAAACTTCTTAGTTGAAAAGGTTGGAAGTGACGAAGCAATATTGGGAAATGGAAACGAAGCATTTTTATGAAAAAATTGAAAAAAGAAATGAAGGGGATTAACTAATTAATAAATTAGACTGATAATTCAGAAGAAAACATTATAAGTATTGACTTAAACTAAGAACTTCGATAGATCCTACCTTAAGATCTGCCTTGGATGCTGAGAAATAAGGAAATAACTAATTGTTTAGAGTTGTTTAAAAAATAAACTGATTTGAAATTTATCTCAATTTAAGGAATTTACTTTAATAAGTTAAATTATTCAACTGAGAACTGTGATTAAATTAGAAGGGGCTTAATAAAATAAATATCATGTGATTAGTACATAATTGAATTTTTGAAATTCCTAGTTTGATAGGGAGACTTATCAAATGTGGGCACTCAATTTATTTGTCAAAATGAAGTGGATTTGAGAGAATAATGCTTTGAAAATATAAGGATTTTAGGTCTCTTAAGAATAAACCAACAATACTAATGAATGGAAAACATTTAGGAAAGCTGGGATAAATAAAAAATACGTTTTCAAATTCTACTATTATTATTACAATACTATACCTTTCATGCTGCTTATTGATTAGCATAACAGGGTCCTGGATCTTATTCTTGTAATGAGTACTGAAAACTCAAGTTCTTCTACGCCATGTAGACTATTCATCTTATTATACATCCTGTAAGAGATACACCATAAATGCCCATTGCAGCCTTGAGTAATCTGAAAATTTTTAATCAGCAACTGAGCGTGCTAAACTTTAGAATATTTAAATGTCAAATACTATATGTTGAACTTTGGTATTGACCTTTTATTTATTTTTAAACATGAGTTTAAATTTAAATTACATAATGACTTTGTGGACTAGAAGTAATAATATTTGTACTCATATTAGCCATATTAAACTCCTTTCATAGGAATTGTCCAAATTCAGGTGTCTATCATATGTGTTACTAATTGGATCGAAATTGAAATACTGCCTCAGCAATATGTAAAAGCAAAAAATACTTATTTTATAAATTAAGCGGCCTTTCTTGTACTAATCGCAGTAAAAAGGATACTTGACTTGCCAACTGCATCATTCCGCTTGAACTTAATGTGCCCATTTACCATCTTCTCATTCTTCTAATTAATGAAAGGGTATTATTAACTGTGTAAAGGACTAAATAAAAGAGCGTGGCTGATGCATTAGCCATAATTTGGGTAAATTTTTTGATATTGTTATTTCATGCCTTTGTGACATTTATTGTACCCTTACACTTACTAAAAATGGAGTTTCAAATACTTTGTGGATATTTTTAATTATAGCTCCATAAATTCTGCTATTTGCACTTCAAAGATTAGGTAATTTAAAAGATCATATCGGTAAATTAATTTCAAAGATTAACCTTGTTACTAATCAATTAATTTGGATAATCTAAATTATGTTTTTATTTAAAAGGTCTATCTCTACACCTGATAAATTTATGAAATATTTGCTTGAATATTAGCAATCAACTAAAGAATATATAAAAACTAAGTTATAAAATATATGTTAGGGACTGATTTAAGGAGGATAGTATCAGATAAAAATTGATAGGTTTTAAATTATGTCCAAGCAACATATAATAATTATTCAAATTAAGTGGGTCTAAAAATAAGCAACATTTATGCAAAGGTTCAGTCAAATATATAATTGGAAGGTAAAAATACTAAGAGTAAAGGAAGGTTAATGATTTCTATAGTTGTGTGTTGATTCCCCTAACAGGGTTAAATAATAATTGTCAGTTTGTCACTGATCTCATTTCTTTAATGAAATTNATAAACCAACAATACTAATGAATGGAAAACATTTAGGAAAGCTGGGATAAATAAAAAATACGTTTTCAAATTCTACTATTATTATTACAATACTATACCTTTCATGCTGCTTATTGATTAGCATAACAGGGTCCTGGATCTTATTCTTGTAATGAGTACTGAAAACTCAAGTTCTTCTACGCCATGTAGACTATTCATCTTATTATACATCCTGTAAGAGATACACCATAAATGCCCATTGCAGCCTTGAGTAATCTGAAAATTTTTAATCAGCAACTGAGCGTGCTAAACTTTAGAATATTTAAATGTCAAATACTATATGTTGAACTTTGGTATTGACCTTTTATTTATTTTTAAACATGAGTTTAAATTTAAATTACATAATGACTTTGTGGACTAGAAGTAATAATATTTGTACTCATATTAGCCATATTAAACTCCTTTCATAGGAATTGTCCAAATTCAGGTGTCTATCATATGTGTTACTAATTGGATCGAAATTGAAATACTGCCTCAGCAATATGTAAAAGCAAAAAATACTTATTTTATAAATTAAGCGGCCTTTCTTGTACTAATCGCAGTAAAAAGGATACTTGACTTGCCAACTGCATCATTCCGCTTGAACTTAATGTGCCCATTTACCATCTTCTCATTCTTCTAATTAATGAAAGGGTATTATTAACTGTGTAAAGGACTAAATAAAAGAGCGTGGCTGATGCATTAGCCATAATTTGGGTAAATTTTTTGATATTGTTATTTCATGCCTTTGTGACATTTATTGTACCCTTACACTTACTAAAAATGGAGTTTCAAATACTTTGTGGATATTTTTAATTATAGCTCCATAAATTCTGCTATTTGCACTTCAAAGATTAGGTAATTTAAAAGATCATATCGGTAAATTAATTTCAAAGATTAACCTTGTTACTAATCAATTAATTTGGATAATCTAAATTATGTTTTTATTTAAAAGGTCTATCTCTACACCTGATAAATTTATGAAATATTTGCTTGAATATTAGCAATCAACTAAAGAATATATAAAAACTAAGTTATAAAATATATGTTAATTAATTATATTTTAATATATATTAAACTTTATGTTTAGTTATACATAAATTATCAGTTTACAATTTTATGAAAACTGAAAGGATGATTAATATAATCTATTTTAATTAACTTATAGATTATATTCCTCTATTTAAGTCATTCCTCTTTATTTGCTTTGAGCAATTATTTTTTTATAATTCAAACAATCCTAAATATCCTCTATGTAACTTACCTAATTGTATATGCAAAATTCCCATTAAAATAATTTATCATTTAATATGTTAGTAATTTTTATACTTTAATTTTTTCCTCTATTTATCTGTATTTTTTTACTTACTTATTTACTTATTTATTTATTGATCAAGATTTAATTAGTGATCATTATCAGAATTATTAAGAATGGTATCAAAAAGTTTTCGTTTCGACACATTGTAGTGATGAGATATTACAAACTAGCAATCATTTATAAATGATGTATTCAAGTTAACTGAATATAAAATAAAGAAATGTTGCTTTGATTTTTTCACATTAATTCAGCCTTTTGAATTAAAATTTAGGACTAATATAGCGTACTTTAGTATCTTTAATAGTTCAATTGTATTATTTCTTGGAGAAGTTAAAGTTAATGGGCTTACTGTAGATTAAAAGGAAATTTATCATCAGTAGTATATAATACATGATATTCAATTAAAAAGAATAATACTGAATTACATAATAATTTTAAAATTAACAATAAGTGGAAAAATTATTATTTTGTTTTTAAAGCTGATCCATATAATTATTAGAGGAAATTAAAGTTTTGAAATATACAGTATATTATTAAGAATAAGGATGAAAAACTTATTTGTTCTTGTGTTGTGCGTTATCGTAGATTCATCGAATAAATGTTCAGAAATTAATACAAATGGAGGTTTTGTGACTGAAAATGATGGATACTGTATATAAACTGTGATTGCAATAAATGAGGCTAAAACATTTTGCTAAAATTTGAGTCTTGCTCTTTAGCATATTATTTAAAACATGAGGAGTGTTAAAATGCTAATAAATAGTGCACATTTAATGGTGTTACAGGATGTATTGCTTTAGCAGACTGCACTAATATCAAGTTAAAGAGTCATGTAAGGTGGATAATGATTAAAACCTTTGTTTTTTGAATCAAGCCCAATAAGTGAATAGGAATGCAAGTTGATCAGATTTTAATTATTCAAATCATGAATAATGTTAATCAATTGACAAGTATAAAGGTAAAATGTACTTCTTGTAGTTGATAATGTTTAACCATACCTAGCTGCATAATTTACTAATCAGAATCGGTTTGTAAAAATACAACAGCCATATTAGGTAGTTGTATTTGGTCATTGATTGAACAATCATTCAAAGTTAAATAATGCTCAGATATTTCAGATCAAAATCATGACAATCGTAGTTTAGAATTATGCAATTGTATATTTGATGGCACTACATGTATCTAAAAGCAATATTGCTATTATTTCTAGTCAAATATTGCTTGTAAAACAATGCTATTATTGTTTAAAGAGTGGAAAATGATAGTTGATGGTTAATTGTGAATCTGCTTAGTAATGATGATTAATAAGCATCAGAATGAGCTAATTAGAGTTGTTATTGGTCTTCATTTGACAAATTTAAAGTGCATAGTTGTGAATCTAATTAAAAATACTTTTAAACCTGTATGAATGATAATATTAAAATCTTCTGTCAACAATAAGAAGGATACTAAAGTTGATCCAAACACTTTGAACTAATTAGGTTGTTAAATTATTTGTAAACTTGGAGATTACATGCTGCTGGATGTTAATTTTTTAATCCTTGTACAAAAAAGCAGATTGATCACTCTTTTTATGCGGTGCTTGTAATTGTTCTAATAATACTAATACTATTCCTGATCAATCGAATATGTGGAGCACAAGCTCCTCCTATTTTCTGACATATTTTGTTTTATTAATTCTACCGTTTAAATTAGAGGCATTAAATATTCATTTTTTATAATTTAGACTTTTTATATTATTAATATTAATTTACATTCCTATGACTAAATTATATTAGCAAATATATTATAACATTTACATACTCAATTTACCGTCTTCCAAACATTTAAGTGTGTCTTTATGATTAAATATTGCCTTAACTTATTTTCTTACACTATTCTCTAATCTACTTAGTAGGAGATTTTATTAGATATTTTAAATTAGTAACGAATTTAGCAATACATCCCTTTGTCGATATTGCAGAAAAATTACTAGAGTTTTCGATAACATCTCATTTGGCTCAATAATTTAATCCATTTGGCTAATATATCCCAATTAAGAAGTTGAAAATCAAATTACCTATAGTCCAAAATTATTGCAGATTTAAGTTGCTTTGACTTGTTTATAAATATTCAGATAATATAAGAAAAAAAAATTATTGCAATTTAATTGCAGCAGAAAATTTTTCCAGCTGAATTGAAATAAGATACAATCTGCGTGCAATTTTATCATCAAAATAAATGTCTGAAAAAGGTTTCCAGCTAATCTATAACTTGCAAACATTGCTCAACTTCGTTATTTGGACAATCGAATATCAAGCTTCATCAATTTGTTTGTGTTGAACAAATTTAGAAAAATATGGAAGAAGTTTTAAATATTGAAGGAGGCAAAATCAACGAAGAAGAAACAAAAAATGCATTGAAAGAATTCTGCAGCAGAGGGTTTGGAAAACTTCCAATAGCACTAGATCAAATGAAATCAACAAAGTGCACAAAATAATTCAAAATTAGATTTCAAATTAGCGACCAAAATTTTCAACCACAGCAAATAAATATTTTAGAGATAAATGAATAGCAAGAAAGCAATTAGAAAGATAAACAATAGGAAGAAATATTGTCAGAAAGAAAGCAAGAATTTTAGCAGAACATTATTTTAGAAAAGCGAAGAAAGTGCCAGAGAAGTAGAAGTGCTAAAGATTTATAAATAGTTCATGAAAGAGCAGGATGGTTATAGGTACTTTGAGTTCCATCACAAGGATTCGAATGAAGAAGAGAAAAAGCTCTTCGACTCGAGGAAGAATAAAAAAAGGTTCTGAAACAGAATAGTAGCAGGATGAACAATGAGAAACTATAAAATATATAAAAAAAATGCATGAATAATTTTCTACTACTTTTCAATACTCAATTTCTTCTTTAGAATTGCTATCTCTATTCTACTTTCTCTCTGAAATTCCTTAATTCACTATTTCTAATTCTTCAGTTAACTTTGATAATTTCAGCAACTCCTTATGCATAAATGAGTTTTTTACGTGCTAACGTTATCTTAGCTGCATTTTTTAAATATCTCAACTTACTCCTTTATCTCTGTTTTTATTACTTCCGATAGACGTATCTAATTAGCGAATCAACCTTATGTTGATAAATATTTTACATTAAATCATCCTGCGTGAGATTTGATAAATCCTGCACTTTAGGGTTTTTAAATAAAGAATGATTTGTTCTATTGTTTTAAGAGCATTAACTGCCTATGTTATATCAGGGTAGTTTCCATCAGAAAAGCCAAGCTCTTAACCATTAGGCTTCTTTTTAATTTCATGTTAATTTCTTCTTTAGTATCTGATCTCAGCAGTTATCTTATTTGAACTTTTTTTATTTTAAGACAAAGCATTTTTAGTAGCAACTTTGACCAAATATTACGCTGTTACACCTGAAGAATGAATTGTAGGAAAATAATATACTGCCAAGATTAAGCCATAGTACATAGATTCAACAGAATCAGTTGCTTGATTAGCTTAGAAAATGGAAATCATGATGAATTTCGAAAGTTTATTTAATTATTCAAACTATGGATAGTAAATTTTTATTGAAAAATAATTCTTTTTAACCAATCCATTTCAAAGCAATTGATTTTAAAAGCAGAAAACAATTTAAGAAAAACAATTAAATGATTTATAATTTTAATCCAAATTAAGTAGAGCTTTTTTATTAAATGATATTTATAATGAGGATTTTTTTTTTTGAATTGGAGAAAAATATTTTGATTCAATTTTTATTATTCGAAGATGACTGGAATTTCAGGTTATAGCCTCAATTGTTAAAATTTAATTTTTCCACCTTAAATGTAAATAGAAATAAAATTATAAAACAAAAATTATAATCCACAAGAAGTAGAGATGAGAAAAAATATAAAAAATTTGAGAAAAAGCAGCTTTAAATCATTAACCGTAGCTTTAGAATTAGAAGAGCTAAATATTATAAAAGTATGTTTTACAGCAACCGGTTTTACAAAGACAATAACTTGCTTTTGCATTTGATGCATAACATAAATTGTGGATTTCAAAATTTGTAGCTCAGTGCAAAATAAATCTATTAAGAATTTATAGCAAATTTTCATATTTGAAATTAGCAACTGCAGTTTCATTAATTTTTTAAGTAGTTTAAACGACTTGGGTTAAAGACCGATCGCTTATTTAGTTGTGTTAACTTTAAATCTCAAATTAAATGTTCTTTAGACAGAAGGTTTGAATTAGCAAAATAATTAGCTACACTTTTAAATTAAAAATGCAAAATTGTTTAAATTGATGATTGCAGTTTTGGGAGAAATTTAAAAGTTGAAAGAAGTTGGTAATAAAAAAACATTTTTCCTTTATTGCAAATTAAATCAAGCTAATCAAAAAGTAAATGTGTTATTGGAGCTATAGCTTGTGACGGATTTATTGCGCACAAATGTTTTTTAGGAAATGCAAATCAACAGGTTTTTGAAGAATTTTTGAATGAACTTCTAAGGCTGCTTTAGCAGAATGGTGAAGAAAATAATTTTTTGCTTGATGCTGGACAATGCATTTATCAATCGCACATCAGAAATTTTTGGATTAATTGTCCTTAGCTTAATTGCATTGAAAATCTATGGGGAATAGCAAAAAAAAGCTAACTAAATAAATATTTTACTTTTTTCTCATATGTGTCGAAAAAACTCAACATAATGTCTTTATCTATTCTAAAATGAAATAGATTGCATTATGTTTCAAGCAATTAGATTATCTCAATTTGAGAGAACAAACAGTGACAGGTCAAAGTTGGTATGCATCAGATAAAAATCCAATAATAATGAAGTTGAATTTAAATAGTTAGAATGAAGATTTGAATCCTGCACTCTTTTTGTTTTATTCAGATGAGAAAACTCTTATAAGAGAGATTCCTGAATTGTAATCATGTTAGCAATTCATAAATCACAACCCCAATTTCATTATAGTCTTTTGAATAAGAGTTATTAGTTTATTTGATATCGTATTTTAAAGATCCTTTGATAGACGGCTCTCTCTCGGATGTCCTTTAATTTCTTAAAATATTCTTCACAATAATTTTTGTAAAGGTAGAGTTTTTCAGATCGAAAAATTTAGTGTAAATGGAGCTCCAATAAGTGATATAAAGATCTCGAGGGTAAAGGTTGAGACATCCAATTTCAAGTACTATTTCATTATTTGGATCAAAAAGGAAGAAGATCTCCTCGCTTCTGTACTTGTTGAGCGAGATTGTAATGAATTCTTTGGCTTACTCACATCTTTTGCTTCATAAAATCAAAGGAGAGATTTCCTTTAAGAATTTTAAGAGTTTCTCTTCAGTGACCTACCTAAAGAAACAGATTAAATGAAATAGAGCACTCTCTTGGCTCGTATTGAATTGGAGTCAATAGAGGAGCAGCTCATTATTTTCAATTTTGGAATATTATTTATAGATAATCAAATAGATGTCAAACATGGTCATCTTAAGATTAACGGTTTTGAATTGAGAATTAAAAAATCTCTAAAGTTGGATTACACTAGTAGTGTTTGAGCACTTCATAGAACTTTGATATGATGATAGTTTGTTGATTCTGTTCTCTTGAAACTTTATCAATGTGATCTCATGTCATTCATCCTGTTCTTTAGCATTTGAAATGTAATGGAGAAAGCGTAGAATTGCTCTTAGGAATCTGAGTCTTCGACATCAGAAAATAGTACATGAGATCCTCATGAAATTTTTGGCATAGGAATTCTATCAATTCCAATTAGCAGAATCTAGAATTTTAGTTGAGATCTTACGATAAAGAAATGGAAATTAATAAGAAATTGTTTGTTTCTAATAAGTAAAGAGAGGTGCAATCCTTATAAGGAGGGAGTGAAGCCAATTTAATTATTTATTACTTATCTTATTGATCTGAATTTTTGTGGATTTATTTAGAATAATAATTCAATTTATTATCTAAATTACGAGGTATTATGGAATAGATATTAGTATTTACTTAATAGAAAAATCTCGGAAGACTTGAATAGATCTATCAATCTCTTAAGGTAACACACCATGTTTTGAACTACAAAACTCTTCTTGGAATTCAAAGATAGGAAAACTTTTTATTAGGATAAAGTTCAAGAATAACTTGCTTACAAGTGAATTCTATTTATTTTTTTTACAACATACAAATGAATTGTATGGCAGTTATGTACAACCCCTTCAAACCTCGCTTCTATATGCATCCTCAAAAGAGGTATCAAATGATTGGCACCAAAAATTCAGTGATCATTTGCATTGAAGTGGTAAATGGGTAGGTGTAGTTCATCAAAGCTTTACTCAATGAAGGAGAACGATAGATAAAATATGGCTCTGTGCTGGCAATTCAATGTTTGGAAAAAGTCTATGTTGGTTGGTTTGAGAATTGAGACATTCAATTATATGAATTAGGTTAGAAATGGGAACGCTTACATCAAGAATACATTAAGCCATTCTAATAGAGTGATATAAGCACTATTCATCCCATCCTCTACCATCAAGACTCTATATCTAGATGAGCATGGAATCATCTACAAGAATGCTTTCGCAGTAATGACTGACATGGATGAATTCATTATCACTAATTCAAAGGACAAAATCTGCAAGAATAGAAACATCTCTAGCTTCAAACTCAGCCCCAATAACTAATCCTCTTGGTGGAAGGATGCCAAAATTATATTCAAAAAAAGAAGAAGAAGTTTTTGAACTCTCTAATCCCTCTGTCAGACTACATCGATACAGATTGGCAATTAACATTAAGTTGATTACTGAAGTCATGGCTAAGTAACTCAATCAAAATATCTAATAAGTGGCTATTGCTGCATCTTATATTAAATTGAGTTAAAATTCTCAAATTCTACAAATGTAATGTAAAATGTGAAATTTTGCATATTCTTTATTAAGAGCATTTTACATTTTGGATCATAAAATGTTAATTTGATATTTACAATTTTTTAAATTCTTCGACACTTTTATTTTAATCCTTATTTGGACTGTATAGAATGTAGAAAGAGTGGGGTAACATAATAAAAAATTCTTTTTTAACAAATAATATCATTTATGCATTTCAGATTCGAAATGTGTTGTATTGATTCATAGCACTAAATTTTATTATGGCAAATTGGATGATGGAATATTTATTTTAAACCTAGATCAAGAATGCTATCCAAAAAGTATGATGAATCTCAAATGGTCGACATTTTTGTGTTTTATGGGGTCCAAGCAAAGCTTGCCAAGTATAAATATGTGATAATGGCATTGTTTCATGAGGAAGAGTAACATTTTAATTAAAAAACCATAAATTGGAATAAGTATCTGGAAGACTTGGTTGAGAAGAATCAATAGGAATAAGCAATAAATTAAGGGATGCTCATCTAATAAGAATATATTAAACTACTGAGTTAGGTTGCTTCCTCTCTATCAGCACATTAAGAATAGACAAGTTAATTGTTAAAAGATTGCATTTACCTAAATTATGTTTTACCTACATTATGTTTCCTTTGAAACCATTTGATAATCCATTATCGTAATAGGAAAAAGAAAATAAAAAAAAAGGTAATCGAGTGCTTCCTCATTGTTAATAACATATCATATGCTTCCCTTGCTTGGATCTTTTCATCAAAAATTAAATAAGTTGAGGTGATTCCTGAATCTACGCTAAAATAAGATTACATCAATAAAAACCTACACCTATATAGACAATATATACTTGTGCACAAGTTTGGGAAAATAAATGTTAATTGTAATAGAAAGAATATTGAAAAGGAATGTCTTAAGTAAGCTTCTACACCCAAATTTTGTTTTTGAATTTTAGAAACGACTATTGTATCAATTCAGAGTTAAACTAAGCTATAATATTTTGGCATTTGTTCGTATGTGTAAAGGTAATCGATATCTTGGAAGAACGTGTTTCTCATTACATCTATAATATATTTTGATGGGATTAGGATTCTTCATTTTAATGCATCAAAACCTTAATCAATTCTTACTTATTGACAATCAGCTATCGCTTCAATTGCTTATGCAATTCATGCAACATCACATTAACAACACCCAAGCTCTCTAGAATTAAATTTCAGATCATTGATCATGTTCCTAAAAATGATGCTTAGTGCCTTTGAAAATACTAGATAAGTAATCAAGACTCATGAACACTATCATTATTTTACAATGACAAGACCCAACAATATCATTAAAACACCTTTGCTAAATACTTAACCGTCTCTTGTTATTCTATACTCAAAAACTCATGTAATTTTCAACTCAATTGACTCAATAATTCAAGGAAAAGCATCCTGATCTTTTCTATTTAATTTTTAAACTTGAAACACATAACTTCAAACCCAAGATTCAAATCCAATTTAGCTAGAATCTTATGTAGATGTTTTATTTCATTCTCATCTATGATGTGTGTCAATCGAATGAGATATTTTTTGTATTCAATGAGAGCACTTATTATCCTGAATCCCAAGCTTTTCTTATTTATCAACAAAAAGTTGATTTTTCTTTGCACTACATATTCGAAGTTGTTGAACTACTATTGATTAATATGGATGAGTAACTCCTCCTGGGTTATAAGAGTTTATCATTGAGAATTGCAATTCATTAATAGCGATTAGCTAATATAATTTACAAATTGATTTTCAAGGAACACTTCCACGATGTCGAATTGCAAAGGAGAAATATTCAGAAGTTAACAATCATCTCCCAAAATCGATTGCATAACCTTAAATAGTTAATAAAGAATGAAAACCCTCTGATTCAATGAGATAGCTCTATCTTGAAATCCTATTTTAAAACCCTAGGTCTAGAAAAGAGATTTCTCTTTGGATAATTCCTTGGCAATCTGCAAAAAGCATAAGGTGTATGATGCTTCTACATATTTACTCTAAATAAAAGGAGCCATCTAGAAGCTTGTGGATACGTTGACATTGCTCTTCATTAATAGGATAAAGGATTCTCATAAATCATTTGCCTGATCAAAAACCATATCGAAAGATGATTCTGAAAAATTTTGAGAAATTAATTACATCATTTATTTCTATTTTAAGATCAATGGTTTAATGAATTATGCTCCTAAATACTGAAACATCTTCTCGAAAAATAACATTTAATTTGCTTTAATTCTAAATCAATACATTTGGTTTAGGATGAGATTTTTCATTGATTTACAAGCAATGAAATTTAAATAATATATTTAAATAGTAGATGACCTGATTTTCCAATTTTTTCTTTTGTTTGCTTTATATATCCAAATTAATTAAGCAAAGATATTTTGAATGATACCTTTTTAAAAGATAGGCAAACCATGATATTTTCTAAAGATATAAATGCATCAATCCTGTTATTCCTTTCATAAGCTAATATTATTACATCATAGATTCATTATTTCAAACAAAAATTACAATATCAATACATTAATAGAGTCTGTTGTTGAATTTATTAATAAGGTGCGAATAATAATTTAATGGTCGTAATAACAATAATTATATTTTTTATTGAAATTAAAAGAAATTATGTGCTGGAGAATGAAAGTGCAGTTACAGTTTGTATTCAACATCATTTAAGTTTGTGTAATATGATACTAAAGGTTTCCGTCATAAAGATCATGATTTCGATTCACTGTTAGTGTAAGATAAATGTAATTGAAAAGATTGTGAAAAATAAAATATTGGATGAATCACTTAAAAGATTCTTAAATACAGCTCACATCTTTAGTTTTGGTAACCAAAAAATTATCATAGTTCTAATATTAAGAGTTGGATTAGGTTAAATATTTATTCAATATCAAAAATTTACTTATTGAAATTATTTAAATCTAATTGGTCGTTATCTTAGAGACCTTCATTACTATTAGAATTTCAATTAAGAACTTGTGAGTAAATAACACAAAAATTCAAATTATTTATACTAAGATTGAGGTATTCATTTATATATCATGAAACAATAACTTTTTTTCAATGGCTAGAACTCCCATCCCATCCCAAATCATAATGAGAATCATCTAAAATATAAAAAAAACCTAATCTAATTAATAATTGTGATATTTTCAATATTTGGATAAGACTTTGAGACATACTCTATTCTCCAATAAAGCAATTGTTTAATTCACTCACTTTAAACTTCTATCATTGCTGATTTTGATTTAGTAAAATAGCTAAGATCAGTATGCGCTAAAATTAGTTTAATCAGTTTTAGTAGCCAAAATACTATTTTATGTTTTAGATTTATTGAAAAAAATTTAAGGATGCATGTTAGGAGGATCAGTAGAAATGATTAAAATGAGGCAGCTCTACCTACTCATATTGGAATGGCGTTACTAACTGAAATGGGGCAAGTCCTCGTGATATTTATAATTCTTGATCAATGATGCACTTAATTTCGATGAGATTGGAAGGCTTACTTCGTATACGACTTGTTACTTGATATAATCTTGGATCATGGAAGTTAAAACTGCAGTTCATTCTCACACCTAAATGAGCTCTTATTCCACAATATTTTAAAAGCATTTATAAAAGCAAACTACCTAAAAATTCAATTACTTATGATTGTTTGCTTCATTTTTCTGATTAAAAAAGATTTCAAATATTATTGGGTTCAGGTTGTTAATTTTTTTTATCTTGTGTTGCATCTCAATTAATGTTAACCTAGAGTAATTACATTATATATCCCTGCAAATTAATTATCTGCTGTTTTGATATAATATACAGAAGAATGAGACTGGACAATAAGTTTGCAATCTCCATTATTCTTACTACAAACAACTAATAATTGCATGTGGATGATTTTTAAGATTATATCCAATTCTATCATAACAAGTTCGGTTGTAATTTACAAAGTAATATAACAAATGGAGCTCTACAAATTACATAAGTTGATATATTGTTACCATAAATGAATTGCAAGTAGAACAGGCTAATCGATACTCGAAAACACTAGATCTCATTATTGAGCAATAAAGTTTAAGAAGGAGAGTCATCTGAGCATTTTGGAAGTGTTAAACAACATTTATCAAATTTGATAATAGACCCATATAGTTGCTACCCAATGTAAATATGTTTGAATTTTCATGGTTCCACACAAAAATTGTTTCAAGCGTTTGAAGTGCCAGACAAGAACTTAAATTTATCCTCATTTGTTTTCAGGTAAAGGTAGCATGCAATACTAAATAAAGATAAATGCCACTATGACATGCTGAGCATGCTCAAATGAAAAAAAGACTCAACTGATGTTCATTCTAAGCTACCACTAAAAGTGCCAAATGGAATTTTTTCTTCTAAGTGGTAGTTCATTTCTCTGTAATCTCATTTTTTAACCTTTTTATAATTTCAAATATAACTATAAATTGTAAATAGAAAGCATGCTTAACAAATTTATGAAGGAAATTTAAGGTTAATCATTTAATCTCTAGATTTATAATTTATCATAATTTATTAGCAATAAATTACTCAAAAACAGTCAATTTTAAATTTCTCTGCCAGGCCTTGGATACCTATTCTTATAAAGGAAAGCAAGAATTGAAGAAAAAAGGAGACAATAAAATGCATCAACGTTTAATTTAATGTTTATATGAATATAGTCTCTCTGTTTAATAATGTAGGTTCGTAAGAAAATAAATATATAGATTAAAATTAAATAGTACAAATATATCAATAACAAATCAAACGAAATAGTGAAAATAATGAAAAAAAATTGAAATATCTTTTAGCTTAATTCAAATACTATGAATAGAGAAATTGTTTTTGACATGCTTACCAAAACAAAATTCACGTAAAAAATGAATTATTAATATACATGTAATTATTATAGAATAATTTTCAATTCTAAAATAATTCTACTAGCCTTTCTAAAAAACAACTTCCTTTAGATTTAAATAATGATTGCAAATCACATCCTTTATAATCTACAAATTCTCCTTGAAGGATAAGAGCTCCTTAGGTTTCTAAATTCATATTCTAAGATATTCGTAGAATCGTAAGTGTAGAGGTACCTAAGGAATAGTATCAATAGCTACCAATATCATGAGTTACATTATTATTTTTATATGTTAAGGGTTTAAATACTGCTATATCTTTGTAACGATTAATTGTTGGAAAGATATATGGTCCGTAATTTAAATCCCATATACGAATATCATTATCTGAACTACCAGATGCTAATATAGTTCCATCAGGAGAGAAATAAACTGAATTAACACAACTAGTATGACCATCTAATTTGGCTGCTTATTATCCTGTCTTAACATCCCATAAACAAATAGACCTATCGTAACTACCTGATGCTAATATGGAACCATCAGGAGAAAAACATACAGAAAGTACTAAAAATGAATGACCATCTAATTTTGCTTTTTATTATCCTGTGTTAACACACCATAAACGAATAGAGTTATCTCCGCTACCAGATGCTAATGCAGTACCATCAGGAGAGAAATGAATTGAATTAACACCATTAGTATGACCGTCTAATTTGGTCTACTATTATCCTGTCTTAACATTCCATAAACGGATAGAGTTATCTTCGCTACAAGAGGCTAATGTGGAACCATCAGGAGAAAAACAGACGCTTAGAACTAAAATTTAATGACCATCTAATTTGGCTTTTTATTATCCTGTCTTAACACACCATAAACGGATAGACTTATCTCTACTACCAGATGCTAATGTAATACCATCAGGAGAGAAACAGACTGATCGTACTGATTTTTTATGACCATCTAATTTGGCTTTTTATTATCCTGTCTTAACATCCCATAAACGGATGGACTTATCTGAACTGCTAGATGCTAATGTAGTACCATCAGGAGAGAAACAGATTGATCGAACTGAATTTTTATGACCATCCAATTTGAAAATTTATTATCCTGTCTAAACATCCCATAAACGGATAGACTTATCTCTACTGCAAGATGCTAATGTAGCACTATTAGGAGAGAAAATTACTGATAAAACATCACTTATATGGCCATCTAATTTGGTTTTTTTTTTTTATCCCATTTTGACATCCCAAAAACGGATGGACATATCATAACTACCAGATGCTAATGTATTACCATCAGGAGAGAAGCAGACTGATTGAACAAAATCAGTATGACCCTCTAATTTGCCTTTTTATTATCCTGACTTAACATCCCATAAACGAATAGACTTATCATAATTACCAGATGCTAATGTAGTGCCATCAGGAGAGATACAAACTGATCGAACTTAATCGTTATGACCGTCTAATTTTGCTTTTTATAATCCAGTCCTAATATCCCATAAGCGGATTAAGTTATCATCACTACCAGATGCTAATGTAATACCATCAGGAGAGAAGCAAACTGATCGAACTGAATTCTTATGGCCATCTAATTTGACTGTTTATTATTCTTTCTAAACATCCCATAAACGTATAGAGTTATCTGCACTGCCAGACGCCAACTTCGATCCATCAGGAGAGAAACAGATTGAATAAACATAATGAGTATGACCATTTAATTTGGCTTTTTATCTTCTTGTCTTAACATCCCATAAACGGATACACTTATCTTCACTACCTGCTGCTAATGTAAGACTATTAGGAGAAAAACAGAGTGATATTTCATTATTCCCATTTAATTTTGACATTTATTTTCCTGTTTGTAGATTCCATAAAAATATAAATTTGCCACAACAAGAAGCTAATGTAGTTTCATTAGGAGACAAGCATAGGGATTACACAATCCTCTCTACTTTTAATACAAGCGTTATTTTTCCCGTTTTTACATCCCAAAAACGAACAGAATTGTCATCACTGCAAGAAGCCAATGATTTACCATCTGGAGAAAAGCAAATTTAGTTGACTCCACCACCATGACCATTTAATGCCATCACCTCATTTATTCTTAAATTCCTCCATTTACAATTAAATAATTTAGCTCCATTTAAATTCATTCCACTAATAATTACATTTTCAAATTCTGATCCACTTAAGTCACATCTTACAAAATTTGCCCCCAATAGTGAAGTATTTCGAATTCTAATATTTTCAAACGATTGCTTCTTTAAATCAACCTTCATTTAAACTAATAAATGAAGAGAATTTGATCCTAACTATATGTAACTCTCATCTAACGCTGTAAGATGAACTAAAAATTTTAGAAATTCTATGATTCTCTTTTCCTAGCATATTTTTGAGATCAGACCCTTTTTAGTTTCATCATATTCATCTTCCGAGTAATTTTATCTATTAAATTCATGATTTTTAATTTTCTTCACTACTTCTGTTATTATCTTCATTTTAGACTTTTCAACTTTCAGCATCTCCTCCTATGAGGTTTTTTTTTCAGCTTGCCATTTATTTTGATCTTATGAAAGAAATTCTATACACACTTAAATTTTCTCTCTTTTGAATATTTTAATTAGTGTGTGGAAGATTGATTCATCAATATCTTTAGAATAAACCAAAAGAACATATAAATCTTCATTCAAATTATTTTAACACCTCATTTTCCTTTTTAAAATAATATTGAATTTCTTTTACACTACTATTTGTTTTATAGTATGAATAAAAATTGCAGCTTCTTTTTTTTTAGGAACAAAGCAAAACTTTGTAAAGATTGATAATATAAAATTTTGCAGAATTTATTTTTTATGGATATATAATTATATGCAAAAATATTATTAGAACTATTTTCATATAATCAACAATATTTCTTTGGTTCGGTCGAACAACAATAACTTTGCTTCTTAAATTAATGATTAAACTTAGATATCAGTCTGTTTCTCTTCTGATGGTACAACATTAGCATCTATAGTTCAAAAAAAATCTATCAGTTTGTGGCGTTAAGACACTATAATAAAAGCCAAATTGGATGATCATATAAGTTATGTTAATTCAATATGTTTATCTCCTGATAGTGCTCCTGGTTTTTATTATTACTCTATTTGTTTACGGGATTGGAACAGAAAGAAGATTCTACCTCAAGATAAGGTTTATAAAACCTCCCTAATTAGTTTACTATGCTACTTTCAAGTTCATCCATATAAAAAAATGGTAATTATTATTGCCTTTTAGCTAAAATGGATGTAAAAATCTGAGAATAATAAAAAAAAGGAAAATTAATCTTGAAATGAGGATTTTTAAATTATTAATATGTATATTAACGATCNCAAAAACGAACAGAATTGTCATCACTGCAAGAAGCCAATGATTTACCATCTGGAGAAAAGCAAATTTAGTTGACTCCACCACCATGACCATTTAATGCCATCACCTCATTTATTCTTAAATTCCTCCATTTACAATTAAATAATTTAGCTCCATTTAAATTCATTCCACTAATAATTACATTTTCAAATTCTGATCCACTTAAGTCACATCTTACAAAATTTGCCCCCAATAGTGAAGTATTTCGAATTCTAATATTTTCAAACGATTGCTTCTTTAAATCAACCTTCATTTAAACTAATAAATGAAGAGAATTTGATCCTAACTATATGTAACTCTCATCTAACGCTGTAAGATGAACTAAAAATTTTAGAAATTCTATGATTCTCTTTTCCTAGCATATTTTTGAGATCAGACCCTTTTTAGTTTCATCATATTCATCTTCCGAGTAATTTTATCTATTAAATTCATGATTTTTAATTTTCTTCACTACTTCTGTTATTATCTTCATTTTAGACTTTTCAACTTTCAGCATCTCCTCCTATGAGGTTTTTTTTTCAGCTTGCCATTTATTTTGATCTTATGAAAGAAATTCTATACACACTTAAATTTTCTCTCTTTTGAATATTTTAATTAGTGTGTGGAAGATTGATTCATCAATATCTTTAGAATAAACCAAAAGAACATATAAATCTTCATTCAAATTATTTTAACACCTCATTTTCCTTTTTAAAATAATATTGAATTTCTTTTACACTACTATTTGTTTTATAGTATGAATAAAAATTGCAGCTTCTTTTTTTTTAGGAACAAAGCAAAACTTTGTAAAGATTGATAATATAAAATTTTGCAGAATTTATTTTTTATGGATATATAATTATATGCAAAAATATTATTAGAACTATTTTCATATAATCAACAATATTTCTTTGGTTCGGTCGAACAACAATAACTTTGCTTCTTAAATTAATGATTAAACTTAGATATCAGTCTGTTTCTCTTCTGATGGTACAACATTAGCATCTATAGTTCAAAAAAAATCTATCAGTTTGTGGCGTTAAGACACTATAATAAAAGCCAAATTGGATGATCATATAAGTTATGTTAATTCAATATGTTTATCTCCTGATAGTGCTCCTGGTTTTTATTATTACTCTATTTGTTTACGGGATTGGAACAGAAAGAAGATTCTACCTCAAGATAAGGTTTATAAAACCTCCCTAATTAGTTTACTATGCTACTTTCAAGTTCATCCATATAAAAAAATGGTAATTATTATTGCCTTTTAGCTAAAATGGATGTAAAAATCTGAGAATAATAAAAAAAAGGAAAATTAATCTTGAAATGAGGATTTTTAAATTATTAATATGTATATTAACGATCGTCGAAAGGCAGTTTGATTTTAAAAAAGAGAAAAGAAAAAACGTTGAGTATTTTGAAAAAAGTTTTGAGTAACATTTGAAGATGGTTTCATAAAAAGGTGAAGTAGTTAATTATTATGATGAGGTTGATTAATTTAAATTTTCCACATAAGATAATCTAATTTATAAATTGGTATTCTATATTTGACTGATTTAGTCTCATTCAAAATTGTAATATTTGATATATTAGGGATCACAAAATCCAAACTTTACAACAATTTATTAATTGGATTCAAAAAGTAGTTCAATCTGGAGAAAGTGGATGTTCTTGATATTACTGAAGTATTAGATGCCTTTATGGGATATCTCTAGTAATGCTGAATCTACTCAAATACCATTTATCTATTTTGATGATGTTCCATTTTCAAATAAGAATTTTTTCTAAGTTTGCCTGGAATCAAGGATGAAATCCAAGTAGTTACATCTCGATATAGGAATTTGAATTTGAAAAAGATAATACCCCCTGTTTTTATCATTATAAAATATAAGATGTCTATATTATGGATGACAACCTTATTCTGCTTTAAGAAATAGTGGGTGGTATATGCTCCTTAAAGCCTACTTCCTAGGAGTACATAAATGATTACTACTTATAGCACCTAAGTGATTAGTTCTCTGGATCATAAGTTACAGATAGGCAGTGTGAATTGAGAATATCAGAATATTGAGAATGCACCCAAAATTTGTTTATTGATGCAATATTTAGCAGAGGTAGGAGACTTGCGTTATGGAATTTCAGCTTAAGTATAATATCAGATGACTGTCAAAACAAAAATATATCTTCAATTAAATATTTATTCAGAATATATATTTTTAGTATTTTTTCTTACAATAGACTTATTGTAGACATTCATGAATATTGCATTAAGTTGGAGAGAAAATAGTAAATTACTTGTAGTTATTTTGAGGAATAAGATTTTCATAACATCAATGCATGTAGTTAGTTTTACATCACTTCCTAGAAAACCTCATAAAAACTGACTCTCTGATAATATTATTAAATTTTAGTAGTTTTATTTTACTCATAAAACAAGTTGAGACCAATTCCATTCTTTAAGGTGAACCTATAATCAAGTAAGAATAAACTATTATCTTTTATAACAGATAATTAGATTGAATATGAAGGAATCATAAAATTGAATAGCAAATAAATTAAATTAGATAAATGAAAATGAGCGGTGGGTTCATAAAGATAATATTACTTTTATAAATTGCATGTTTATCTAAAATTCTGATTAACTTGACTAAAAAATAATTAAATACAGAATTAAATGATTAAACGATTGAACGGAGGCTTGAAATTTTGTCATTAAATATTATTGCGAATGTTTAATCTACAAAAATATGTATATGTATATAACTGAACCTGTAAATTAGAATTCTTAATATTTTTACCCTTAATTGTAAGGTAAATGAATAGAGTACTTTAAATGTAAAATCGCTTTTTTTCTTTTTGATTGGTTTTAATTTTTTTATTCTCTAATGGTAATCTTTCTACTAATGATAGTTTTCTTAGAAGGATAGTATTCTTTAGAGAATAAGGCAATCAGCATTAATTAATAATTAGATGGTTTAATAAATTGAAATAGATTAATCAGATTAGTAAAATATAATCCCTTAGGTTATGCTTATTTGAAGGATACTATTGGGTTATTTGACAGTAATTGCTTTTAAATAATAAATTATGTTGATTTAGCAACTTAAAATTTATATTTTATTTAATATGATTCCGTCTATTATACGACTAAAGAGATCAAAATATTTATCTAAAATGGATTTAGTTAGAATGAATAGTTATATTTTCCTTGAAAATGAAACCCTCTAAACATGAAGATATTTGATTTTATTTTTCCATCAGAACAAATATCTATAAGGAGAGTAGGTTTATCAATTTCCTCTTAGCTCAAAGAGAATATAAGGAAACTCTTCAATAAGTATAAAATTTATTCTGTTCTTCTTTAGTCTATTACCTTTTTCAGAGTGCTTAGTTTTGACATAAAGAGATTTACTACACAATAAGACTCTAAACTGCTTTAATTTAAATCATTACTATTAAAATATCCAAATAAGAACCTTTTTTGAAATGATCTAAAACTGCAAGATTTCAAAATCCATAATTTGTCAAATTGGTAACTTCTAATTAGTAAGATTGTTGAAAAAAGATGGATTTTAACTTGGAATTAAATTAACATAGAATATCTAAGTATTTCATAACAAAGGAAAAGTAAAATAAATTAAAAATGAAGAAACAAAGTGAAATTTAATTTATACCTCTGTGATCAATATAAATTTTTAAAGTGAATCCAAGATGTTTTGTATTTGGTTTAAGAATTTATGATTCTACTAGTTGGTAAGAATGGTGGTAAAATAGAAAAGCAGAGAGTCATATGCCAATAATCTAAAAGCAGGTTATTGATGGAATTCTGATATTTTATGACCCGATAATAACAAGAGTGCACTATGAAAATTTCGAAATAACTTTTTGAATCTGAGTTAAAATTTAGATTTTTACTAAAAACTTACTAATAATTAATTCAAATGGGCCCTTAGAACTTTACGGAAAAGAAAACTAAAAATAAGAAATAGTTTATAGAAATATGATATTGAACCAATCTTATTTTTAAGGATCGCTGAAATTATTTGGCATTTTGTATATTCTTGTGATAGAATAGACAGAATAGCCTTCAATGTTTGTCTTAAAGAAAAGATCTTAGAGCATACTTTAGGGAGAAGATCAAACTTGGTTTAAGCACTTAGTCCCAACCATATAGGGAAGAATTCGGAGATGGACAGAGTTCTATTTTTCTAAGGTCAAGATAGCCTTATCAAATATCGTCTTCCCGCAATGAGTGGAAGTCAAGCATTTAAAAGAAAGGTGTTTTTGAGAATTTATTTTTAATTTTTAGAATCTTAATTTTATTCTTACTGAGATCACAACAAATAAGAAAATTAGACTATATAAATTCCTAAGTATTTCATTAGACTTATCTTATGAAAATTATTCCCATCATAATTATTAGATCAAATATTTGCAAAATAAAAATAAACTTATCCAAATTTATGAGTTTAAGTACATTTGAAGTCCATTTATTAATCTTTTAAACCTTTGCATAAACAGCATATAGAAACTATCTAAAAAAGAAATTCTGTGACCTTAAACTTGATATCTTTTCGAAATCATAAGATACTGGTCATTATCTGACATCAAGAAACTTGTTTTTATATCATCTCAGCAACTGGCGATATATATTAAAGTATCAGTTCCAAAATCATTATTCTGAGTGAGGGTATGTCTGATAAACCTAACATATAATTAGATAACTTATAGTAATTCTGATGTGGGTTTTTCTTGCCAAATTTTAATTATACTACCAAATGGCATATTACCATATTTCTAAAATATGGAGTAGAACATCGGGAATATTGGAAACTTAAGAAAATTAAATACAAACTAGGATGGCAAAGAACAGTGCCCTATTAACTATGGGTCCTATTTTATCTTAAAGAAGTCAAATACAATGATTTTTTACAGATAAATTTGGAATTAGATTAAATTTGATAAAAATTAATAAATTGAATGAAACCCTTAAAAAGAAGGTACTTCTATTGGAATATTATCATTTCTTTGAATTTATTAATTTTATTTAAATTATATTAATTAATACTTTTATAAAATCAATTGAACTTACTCATAATCAATTTTAAAATAATTTCAAAATGTTTGTAATCATATTTTTTTCTCATTTATTTGTTAATTTATTCATTTATAATTAATTATTATTATACTTTCTTAAATTAATTAAATATATCAAATAAAAATTAGTAGATAAAATAATTCAAATCAAACAATCCAAAGATTATAATAAAGCTTTCTTAACGAAATTCAAACCATAATTCAAGATCCAAAAATAGTATTAATATTGTTGAAATATTCAATGTTTTAATTGAGAAACATTGCGCTTAACCTAAATTAAATACGTTTTGTTATATAAACCTTAAATATTCCTAAAGAGAATATATTATTTAAGCAAATTTTGAACCTTTTACGGAAAAAATAGGGATTGATTTACAAATTTTATCATTATGATTAGACTATAAGCAAAGTTTAAAACATAACTTTATAACCTTTCACATAAAGTTAAGAAATGAATTGAGCAAATTAGTATGTATAAAAATATAGAAAATTACAACTTTAAAATGATATCAATATGGGTATTTAATACATTTTTTTTTTATTTGAGTTGATGATTAATCGATATCAAGTTTATGTAAATATCAAGTCAAAATTTATTGTTTCCTCCAATTTATCTTGTTAGGTAAAATCAACTCGATTAGTTGTGTTTATTTAAATATAGGAGATGATAAGTATTCCATTTCACAATAGTTATCACATACATTATCAATTAAGCTATAAATTTTTAATTATAAGTTACTATCCTTTTTTAAATCATATTATTTGAATTACTTATTTAATACATTTTGCATTGTTCTTAACATTCAAGATAGCATCAATACACCTATCATCATTATTCTAATTTCCATAATAATATTATAATTCCAACACTACCAATATGTTCTAATAAGAATGAAAATGTATTTTCAAAAATCTATTTTCAACCTTAATGAAATAAATTGAATAAATTTATCTATTCATTACTAATTTATTCTTAACACTATAATTTACAATTCACAAATTGGTCTTCAGAAATTACATAGCCATTATCAAATATTCATCACTTATACAAATACTATAAAAATTATTTTTGGATTTATCTGTTAAGTTACCAATTGAACATTAACAAGATACAACAAAACACCAAATATAACAACTTTAAAATACGCATAAATGACGTTCATCATACAGAATAATATTTGCATTATTACATTTTTCATAATGTGATAAATACCCAGCTCCACAAATGATATGTATTAATTGTGAAATGTTTAAACACTAACCTCTCTTACAATACTCATATATTCCAGAACAATTAAAAATTCATTAAATAACCATCTCTGGCTAATAAATTCAAATCATCACTTTGCTCATTCACTTTAAAACATTACAAGATATCTCGAACATGATATTTACACTACTTCTCGTCCTTCTTTACAATTTAGGCAATCTCTAATTTGAAAAATTAAGCAACACTCTTAACATTAGTTTCTACATCAGTTTTCATTGATTAAATCATTACATTCTTCTTAATTCTAGACAGTAATTCCATCACCACTGATATTTATGCATTTAATTTACAATTCATCCAATTTCCATCCATAGAATCAAAAATGTAATATCCAATTTTAAATTCTGATTATCATCACATTATTCTACTTCATAAACTAAATTGTTGTCTCGTCAACAATAAGTAAATTTAGCTGAATTTAGAATGTTTATGAAGATTTTGAAACTCAGAAGAAATCATTTAAAATTTTAATGTTGCAAATTTTACAAAACCAACCTATATTATCAATTTTAATGGATGAGGTAATTTTATATTAAATTACGATTCAATTTTAGAATAGATTTAATTTTGAAATTATTTCAGATTTAAGTAAGAATGAATATTCAAATATAAAATTAAGCTATTTTTCTGAACTTCATCTTCATTGAGATAATAATTCATCATTTTTGCTAATTCTATTGCTCTGTAAGATAATAGTTTTCAAATTTCCTTAAATTTAGCATGAAATAAATTTTTTAGTCTTTCAAATAAGCAATAGTAGCAGAAGACTGCTTCATTTAGCAATATTATGTAAAATAATCTATAATTAATTCACTTTAGCATTTAGAAGAATTATAAATATTTTATTTTTTTATTTGATAAAATGGAATAGACTGATTATAGAAAAATGAGTTAATTTCAAGGAAATAAAAGTTAGATTCTTGATTGTTTATATTTTCATAATATTGTATAAATCATAATTCAATTAGATAGCCTAAATTCTTTGTTGTGTACTCAACTTTAATGTAAAATATAACAAAAGTAATGCAATAATTGAAACCAGAGCATAAATCCATCTTCTACTTGATTATTCTAATTAAGGTGGGTAGAAAGTGATTTGATAACTACCATTTGAAATCTATTGGAACAAAATATATTGATGGTAATATTGTTTTATGTTTTCCTGTTCAAAAGACATTCCAAGTAAAGTAAATTTACAATATTTGTTTGTATTTATTGGGAAAGTACATAAAGAATATTTCATAATATAAAGGGAAGTACCATTCTGTTATAATAAATTTATGATCATTGCATAATCAGATCTGTAGTCTAAAAAGAACCTTACATTAAAATAGGTTCTAATTAACTTTAATCTAAGAGATTATTCAAATAATAAACTCCAACAATAAATTAACTTTAATTTTAAAACTAATATTATTGCATCAAAACTCCATTCTTATAAATAGAATTGCCAGTATTATTTAAATTACCATAATTGGGAATAGTTGTAATAAGATCAGAAAAGAAGAGATCTCTTGCACTTTAAAATTAATTATCTAACTAATGTAATTGATATCAAAGTTACTCAATAATATAATTGCTTAATTATAAAATGTTTCCAGAATCAAAACATATGAATTAGGTAACCCAGTAAAAATATTATTATTATTGCAAGAATATCCTTTAATATAAACACTACTATGAAAAGTGATTTCATGATTTTGAACTGTTATAAATTAATATAAAAGGGATTAAAACTGTCTTCCTATTAGAATATAAAATATAATCAATTATTGTTATTATTAGATAGTAGAAGTTGTGGTTATAATTTGAGCAATAGAGAAATCTTAACATGTACTATTTGAATTAGATATCTACTAAAAGGTGTTGTTTTATTAGTTATACCAATACAGTTAGTATTTTTTTGATTAATCAAAGGAACCTAAAATAAAAATTTAGTTTAAGATGCTTCTTATTTTAGAAATGTTATATTAGTTTTGGGTAATTATGTAATATTTAGATTATCTATGAAACCAAAAGAATTTAATGAGAAGTTAAGTAAATATTATGAAGTAGTATTTAAACAAACTGAATATAATGTATAAATATATGAAGTTGATTTTAAGCATTCACTCAAATTTACATTTGAATAACTTAAATTCTATTGTTCGATTAAGTCTTTATTTATAGTTTAAATAAATGAGTTATTTTGTAAGGCAAAATATTCATTGTTTATTGATGTAATTATGGTGTAATTCTGTAAATTAGAAATATTACTAAAATTTTAAGAATATTAAGTCAAACAATATTGGTTTTAATTATAGTTTTAATTAAGATTCATCAATCCACAATAATCTGCTTATCTATTGAGGATTAAATTCATTGGATATGTGAAATTTTTACTTTTAAGGATAATATTATCTATATCTAGTTTTATTGATAGATTTTCTTAATTGTAAAATACTGTAAAGTTTGTATATAAAGTAATACTTTAATTAGGGGTTTATTATAAAGCTGTCTCATTCAACCCTGTTGTTACTGTATAGTTATAAATAAATTATGGATATCTTATTTAGTTATTAAAGTGGTTATTATAAAAGTTAACGATAAACAAAATTTTTAATGTCCATCAAGTTCATAAAAACTATTTCCTGAAAATATGAGTGACTTAAAATATTAGAATTGAGGCAAGTAAAATTTACTTGTATATGCTGGAGCACATAAAATTGGCGAAGCTAATTATAGCATATACTATAAACTCTTGTGATATGGTGAAGAAGGATTATAAACTTAAACAGTATAATTCCTAAAAGTTACATACAAGAATTAGTTGTCGGATTGTAATATTAAATTATCGTCAAAATTGAAGCTATAAAGATTCTCTACATAATAGTAATTAGGTAGATTTTACAAATTCCAAACTTAAAAGCAAATATTTTGATGATTGTTACATAGATATGATATTATCAATAGTTCGTTTACTAAATTTATCTATTTAATTGTCTAATTATAATGTATCATCTAAACTGGTATTAGATAGTCATTTAAATCTATTAAAACTATGATAACTTCATCAACATTGTTAATATATAATAAAGATGACTATAATTAAGTATTCATGACTATTTATATAGGGTTGAATTGAATATTGTTGAATAAATTATTGATTGAGGATTAATTTAATTTAAAAACATTTGTAAAATTAAATGCCATTATTTGAATTTCATGACTTGGAATTAGAATTATAATACTATTATATGTTAATACAAACTCCGAGAACTATTATTCAAAAGTATAATTTAAGTAACTAATTATACTGATGTTATTATAGAAATAGTAAAACAAATAGATTGTATCATTGGTGCTGAGCCCAATTATAATTCTTTCAGGATAAATGCTATAGGCTACCTATAACGAACTTGCATTTACACTAATATTAAATAAATCTAAATTCAACAAGCCCAAAGGATTAGTTGTTTGAGCCTTAAAGGCAAAGCCACACATCAAGAGAATCATTAGTATACCCTATAAAATAGTATACTGGAATAAAAGGATAGTCTACTGCTAAAAATTATACTAATGAATATTTTAAAGGTATATTCCCAACATATTAAAAAGTTGTTTAATTAACATTAAAATAGATTTCATTTGTATTTAGACTATAAGTTTAATAGCCCAATATATGAAAGGAAATATCAGTATCATAAGAAAGTAAATAATTATGGAATCCTTAAAAAGACATTATAGAAAAATAGATTGCTTATGCATACATAAATATTTGTATCTTACTTTGAGAGTATTTGCATATAAATATTCATTATACTCAATTTTTAAGGATGCAATTTATTGACACATATTAGAGTAAAGTTGTATAATTCTCCTGAAGTTTCTAAGTTAGTTAAGTTGATTTATAAGTAAGGCAATGAAATTTTATAAATAATAATTTCTAAATTAAATTAAAATATGACTCAATACTTTTTTTTAATTTAACTCGTTATCATAATTGAAATACAATAAGGAATTGCTTTAATTAATTTCATAAAAGTTAATACTATTTGTTGTTTACTTTTGCAAAATACCTCTCACATTAGGTGATTAATAAATTACTTATTAATTATTTTAAAGAACCTTATAAATAGAATCGCAAGAGCTAATTGGACAGGTAGTATCTATCTCCATTATTTTCCCTTTGCATCCTACAAGTGAAGCTACTTAAACATCTCTATTATGAAGTTATTTTGAAAATAACAACTATATTTGATCACATTAAGAGTTACTCTAATAATTGTAATAAGCAATTGTAGATGTAAAATTACTCAAATCAGTCGAGCTAAAATTATAATTACAATAAAATTGAAAATCTGAAGATATGGATAACTTTGAAGATCTCTTAGGCAGTAATTACATATATATTTGGACTTATTGTAATTGGAATATCAAAATCTACAAATTTGTTCTATAAGCTACTTAAATTGTAAAATTATGATGAAAATAAGGTAATTACTGAATATTCCCCAAAATATTAAGCATATACAACAAAATCATCTGTTTCATTCACTATTGATTATATTTTGGTCGAAGTAGGTACTATGATTATATAGAATATGCAATTATTGATTATGAATCAATAAGTTGAATTAAAATAAATTCATCGTTGTAATAGCAATCTATTAAAATTGAAAAATCTTTAGACAAATTGATATTGAAACAATTAAATGAAGATTCAATATGCACTGATTATCCTACTTATTGAATAATTTAGTTCTTCCACTAATATATAACTACCTCATTATTATTTGACAAAGTTCCAAAATGTGTGTTATTTGATGACAATGATATAAATTCTATCAGAATAATATTAATATTTACTATTCCCTTTTGTTCTGAATACTTAATTCTTTAATTATACATTTGGAACTTAAGGATGCATTTTACAGGTTATTTCATAATTACTCATAGAATCAGATAGATAGTTCTGATAAAATTCTCCTTCTGTTGGGTATAAATAAAATGTTTGCCTCTATTTTATCTTAGTATATTAATGAAATTTTTATTTTTAGAGTATTCTCAAAAAAGACACATTTCTTATTAAAGTTATCCCATAAATCGAATAAACAATAATAGGCATAATATTTTATTCATACTGGCATGAATTTGCATTGATTGATCTCTGATTCATAATTAAACGAAACATTAAGATAAAAAATTTGAAGATTTCAAACTTGAACATCTTTAGAGAGGTGATCTATCCTTTCCCCTTAGAAATTAATTTAATGTAGGATGGAACATCACAATATATTTAACTCTGTAGAATTTCTTATTTATAAAATGATTTTCTTATTATGGCGACTAAATTTAAATTGCTTCTAAAAGTTCCTAATCCATTTATACTGCTAGTCTAGGAATAACAGATGATAAAAAATTTGAATTTCTACAGACTTAATTCTTAGATGAAGATCTAAATTTTGGTTCTAGTCTAGCAGTTACCCAGAATGGAAGTAAGGTAGAATTTAAACGGTTAAATAGTTTTAGCCCTTCTGATTGATATATAATGAATAGGCTTTATAGATCAAATCTGATGAATGCGTTTAAATTATGATGATGTTATATATCAAACAGCACACCTGATATTTTTTTTTAAAATTGCTTTTGAATTGATATAGAGTATTTTGTATAATTAACTCTCTAGTATACATTTGATTATTTCCTTATCTCTTTCCAAATTCTTGATTTAATTTATTTGCATTTTTATGAACAAATTTTTCTAATTTTTCTCACTCTTTTGGGTTTGATTGTTGAATTATTTTTGAAACAATGTTCCATCTAATTAATAATAGTTTAATTTTACATATTTTTATATACCTATCTAGTTATTTGATATATTTCCACTAGGTTGCATCATTAATTTAATATCAAGTTTTGTATTTAATTATATAAAGAAACACTACATTAATTCTTAATTCTAATAAACATTTAAGACATCTATCCACTGAAGGTAATATTAATTACAAACTTTCTTATTTTAATTTATAAACACATCATTTCGTGTAAAAATCAGAATTATATCAAATTTAGAGATTATTGAACCTTAGTCCTTATAATAATAAGTGATAAGAGGTGTATCCACTAGATTATTAATTCTTGCTTTTGTCAAATAATGTTTTAAACACTTAACTATATGGACAATTGAAATATATGAAATTTCAAAAGGCTGCATATAATTTTAAGCTAAAATGCTTAATTTATAACTGAAATAAAATTTTAGTAAGGAAATAAAATATCAAAGACAATGACATTATTGATTTATAATTAATAAGAAATAAACATGAGGGTTTGAACAAAAAATTAAAATGTCAAGAAATAATTATTAAAATAAATTTAGTAATTTAGTTAAAAATTGCAAAGTTAAGATATGTATGCATAATTATGAATCATTAATTTCTTTGAATTATCTAATTTGCAAAAAATAAATGGAAAAATGTAATAAATTACAGCACATGCCTAATGTAAACAGTTTCATAAATTTATTCTCCTTTATTTCAATAAATTCACTATAATCATAATTAAATGATACTATACTNTTTTCAGGACATTGGAAATATAAAAAAAATATTAGAGATCTAAAAATAAGATTGGGAATTCAAAGTATTAAGTTAAAAATATTTCAAATTTTTAGTTGAAAGATATCAACGATTATTTACAAAATTAATTAGTCTAATTAATTACTCTCCTCAACACTTATTCAAATGTTACAATTGTGTGATCTTCTCTTAAACCAATAAGTTACATCAAACACTAAATGTAAAACAAAAGCCATTTATCACAATTGCCATATCACAAGGCTGCTTAAAACTTTATGTTATAAAAAGTTGAAATTTCAATTTTAAGAATATTTAAATTAATACATTGAAAATTTAAAACAAAATAGGATGGACATGTTGATAATTCTAAAAAAGAGTTAATTAAAGGTACAAAACTGGAATAATTCAAACTCATATCAAAATAAGCGCTCAATAAAAATTTTCGGAAATTGAGGAGACTGATTTCCGAAAAGCCTTGTAAAATTTGGACAGAGATTCAATTTTCTTCTTGATTTACCTTAGCAGTCCCTTATTTCACCAGCCTTACGAAAAAAAATTTTACTAAATTAGAGAATACTACCTGAAATTTCAATTTATCCTTTAATTCCTGATATTAAGGTTTAAACGCAACTCTCAGCAAAATTACCCTTAAATTCATTAGAGACAACTTTATAAGATTAATCTAAATGAGGTGGATTAGCAAAAATTAAGCATAACGTCTGCCTAAAAAGTTGGCACTAAGCATAATTAATTTCAAAAAATAAAGATCTTGGATTAAAAAAAAAATATTCTAAATTGTAAATTATGATAGAAAATTAATAATCTCTCAGAATATAAAATTGTGAAAACATTAACATAATTTAAATCATCACTTAAAAGTATGAGCTAGTTCTTAAGGAATTATAATTGACCGGAAGGCTAGTATATGTTCATGAGATTTGTTCATTTCCCAAGCTAGTTGCATACTCTTTACCGCCTCTTGTTATAAACAAGGTACAAAACATGGGATTACCTATCAGATGGAATCAGATTTAATATCCGAATAAGCTTAAATAGGGATCAAATTGATTAATATCTTGGATTGACTATATAATGCTTAGAAAATATTTGAAAAATTTCTAATTAGTGCCTTATTTTAACTATTGGAATGATCATAAACTTCTCACTATATCCACATATATTCTATTGTAAACCTATTCTAAACTCTCATAAAATAGCAATTTAATCTATATTTATAATTTACTAATTTTGAAGGAATTTCCTTTCAAAATTTATCATTATTTCAAATAATTTATTAATTCTACTTTTATGAATTTAAGTATGCGTGTTTTAAATTATCATAAATTGTTATTTTCTTCTTCAGAAAAGAATAGATATCAAATTTATTCATTTAAAATAATGTTAACTTTGAAGATTAAAATTTAAAACACTAATTCAATTTCAACTAAAGGGCTGCTGACCTATCTGGATTCAAAATTAAATTACTGACTTTAGAAAAATTTTAATTCTCATTCAGGTTCCTATATAATAAATCCCTAACTATCAAATGCATATTCTAGTGAAGGTAATGATAAAATATAGGCCTTCTATATTGAAATTAACTATGAAGAAAATATTTATTGGCTGCAGTTGCTAAAAATTAGATTATAAGACAAACCTAAGAATGCCATTGAATAAACACCTGATTTATGAAATAGTACGAATTACACAAAAATAACAATAACTTAAACAATAATTTTGATGATCAGCCTCTATATAAATTTTGTAAATTAAGCAGTTCCTTTAGTAGTGAAGCTTGATGGTTTAAGGTGATGTTGTAAATTCCTTAAATTGCTGCAAAGCGTTTAATTATTAACTAGGAAATTTTATGCAGATAATTGAATAGCTGGGAACCTTTCTTAAGTTAAAATTATCTAAAACATAAATCAGTTAATGAAAGCATTGAAACTAGTGGAATCGGAAGATTAAATGGTATTTTAATTTAATATTAAACCATAATAAATGTATAACTATGGAAGTTCACATATTGTATATCCTTCCCAAAAATTAGTATCCCAACCCTTCTTAAAACTTCATGTTAAAGAGATATCACATGAATGTAGGATCTGATTCTAATTAGTGAATTGACCTCAAAACTAAATTTTCAATGTGTTATTTACCAGATTGAAAAAAATGAAATATTTTATTTATTCTGATTTATTGAAAAATTAATCAAATTTCGAGGTGCTATAATTTCTACTATAATATTACGATTTTTCTATTGAAGCTGAGAAAAACCATAATGTAGTCATCAAATTAAAAAAGCAAATAAAACATTAAATGAGGAAACAGAATGAGATTCTATTGCGGTCTTGGAGAATGAGGTCCGTCCCCAAATACATTATAGCATCAAACTGTTTCTAGTTCTCTAGAAAGATATTTAATTGAATTTAAACTATAATACAGAAAGTTAGATTTTCTAGTATTATACTACTCAAAGTAGTAGAGCATTGAAGATTTGAGCAAGTAGATGTTTTAAGGCAAATTATTTTATTATTTAACTTAGTAAAGAATTGAAATTGTATCTCTAAAATTAGATTTCAAAATTTTTTTTGGAATAAACAAAATTTTCTGTTAGTCTTCGTTGCTTCAAAGTTGATTTCTCAAAAGAGGTTTGGACTTCTTTTATTGCTTCTGGGTGCTGTTATTCAACAGCTTATTAATGATTGTACTTGTGTAAATTAGGAAATCTTACAATTGTTTATTTCTCTTAAAGTTATATTGTTATGAATATAAAGGAATCTTAATATGCTTTCCCTAAGGAATTGAGGAAGATCTTTAGTAAATTTTAAAGATCAGGTTGCCTTCTGATAGCTATTAGAGGAAAAAATCTCCTGAAGTTTGCATAATGAAGTTATCTAGATTTTCATTATCAAACTTAGGTGATATTGAAGAATCTTTTGAATTCTTTGATGACTTTGATGTTCTAATATTAATAAAGTACTTACTTAGATGTGAATATCTAGAAGAGATGATGAAAACATAATATTATTTTATGTATTTATTAAGCTGATTATTTATTTTTGAAATATAAAATTTAGGCTTTATGGTAGGATGATTAACTATTCTTTTCACATTAAAACTTCTTGCTTTTCTGAGTGATATGATTACACAATTAATCCAAAATGTAATTCACTTTACAATATCATATTTAACTATGTTTTATGTAACCTCCTTGTTTTATTAATTTATTAACATTGTTTTAAATGATTTAAAGAAACAATTAATAAGTCCAAGAATGTTAAAACTCTGTAGGTATTATTCTAAAATCTTATGAGGTTAAAAAACAATACGTTTGAAAAAATTTATGCCTTTAACAGATGATAAAGTAAAAATATCCGAGAATGGAAATCTCTTTACAGCTGACAACTATTGTTCTATAAAAAGTGAATAAAAAATTGTAGCAGAAGAAATTATGGATGTTAAAATAAAAATTTTAAGCTTTGACCCTTTTGGGACAATTAGTATATCAGTTGGAAATTAGCAGAAAAATTTTACCGATTATTTTAGTTTCTATGGATGTCAATATCAGGTACTACCAACAATATCTTACGGGATCGGTACGATATTATAGGTATAAATAAATATGAAACAAAAAATAATAACATGCAATAATGGTTAATAAAAAATTGTAATATTCAATTCTTTATTTATTAATAGTCCAAAGATATTTTCGGAACACATTCGCATACAACTTCTTCAAATAAGGGAATTTAAAATATTTCTTGGTTTCCTCAAGATTTAATTTAAAACCCTTTAAATGAATGGTACTTGATAATAGTACTAGGTAAGTGCACAATTTAGATTCTTGATGAATGATTGATTGATTTAATTAAGTATTATAATAGTATCAATTCTTTAATGAGTCAAATTCTTAGATTTCAAATTACTAAATTTAAAAGTGGACAATAATATTTATTGTAAAGTTGTAAACTGCAGCAGCAGGGAAATCGTTTCATTTAAATTTGTTTGAAGGGAAGGATTAGCATCTATGTTGCACATTATTCTGTAAAAAAGAGATCAAAATCTAAGCCATAAAATCATCAGGATCAGATAAAGTAGTGATCTGGATATGATTCACCTCGAATTTATTTTACCTCATAATATATAATATAAAACCCCAAAACCTCTCAAATAATTAAAATTTTGACAGAGAATTTATCAAAAAATAATAAGAACAAGATAACTACACTTTTTTTTTGTAGATCCAAATGATTAGATAAAGAAGTAGATTGACACTAAGTGAAATATATTTTAATTTTATCAACTTCTGTGAGGCTACTTCGATTGAATTAATGGTTTTACAGTTCAAATTCAAAATAATGTCAGATGGAGAAAAACTGAAATGAAAAGATAATTAAGGGTTGTAATAAAATTGTTAGATTTCCATAAAAGAAATGATGGATAAATTAACAAAAATATCTTTCTCCTTTAATAAAGAAATAGTAATTAATAATATGAGACTCTCTGGTTGATTTCGAATGGTGAAGATTGCTAAAATTGTATTATCACAATAAAATAAGTCTTTAGTTAATTATATCAAAGGATTCAAGAAATCTGATTGAATTAATATTTAATTAAAGGAAATTATAAAATTTATTAACACTTAAATTTCGGTTAAATAAATATATTTTGAATGTTTTTGGTCTATATTTTTGCAATAAATTTTGTAATGTTAGTTCATTTATCAAGGTTTAATTTCCTTTGTTTTATATTTCTATTGTTAGTAAACTTATCTTATGTTATGAAGTGAAATACATGCTTCCCAGTTTTCGAATTGTATTTAAGATGAGAAATTATAGTTACATGATTTCAGAGTTAAATGATAAATTATGTCTATTTATTAAAGTCTCTAACTTTATGAAGCTGCATAAAAATTTATGCAGCTTCATGCAATATTTTGGGAGAAGATGGATGATTGAATTAAAATTTATTACTTTTTTGTTATTTCTTAATTCTATTAAACCTCTTTTAATAAGTAAATTATAGAGAAAATTCAGAAGTAATAAATATGAATTAGATTTGCTAAAGTATTCAAATTGCCTTGCTTTATTCAATAAAGACAGATGATGCCTAGGAATTTTAACTTGACAAAATTGAATTCCTAAATAAGACTACTAAATAATTCTATGATTCTATAAAAGATGATGAACTTCTTCAAGTAAAAGGCTTATTTGGACCACACAAAGAAGTAGAAAGAGAAATTAAATTTGAAATAAATCAAGAAGTTAGCCTATAATCATATTTGAATCACTCTGATAAGGGTAACTTGATTGCCATTAAATTCTAAAAATTTATGATATTTTGTTTCATTCTCTCTGAAACATTTTTTGTTAATAAACCTATTAATGAAAAAGCAATAGAAATAGTTCTGTTTAGAATATTATAAGATTTAACAGATAATATAAAACTGTGTTTTAATGATAATATTGTAAGAAAAAATTGGTATCAAGGCGATATAATTCCTTTTAAGTAAATTTAGAAAAGAGCTGAATATTATTTTGCTGAGAGTGAAAATAAGCAAATGTTAACATATGATTGTAGATGGTATTTATCATAACAAAAAAATTCAAATTACTAAATCATTAATTCATAGACCTTATCTCCTTAGTTTGCAAGAATACGAAAACTTCAATTGAGTCAGGAAGAAATACAAAACTTTAATTAAAATTATGAAAATTTTTAAATATAATTATTGATTTAAATTTTAAACATTAAAGATAAATAAACAAACCAATTAATGAAGCTATTTAGATTTGAACACTAAAGCAAAGATTTAAAAGTTATGCTAGATAAATTATCAGGCGATTTTGAAAATGAATGTAATGATACAATAAACATATTAATAAATAAACTAGTAAATAATTGGAAATCATTTTATACTTCTCAGAAAACAATAGATGACAAAAAATAATATTTTGAATAATAAGTAGACTATGTTTTAAAAACGGTTAGGATAACAAATTAAAAGAAATTTACTTATGATTCCTCAAAGATTGAATAAAATAACCAAAATTTCCATTAGGAAATCAATACATTTTTTGATAGATTATTGGAAAAAATATAGAAAGCTGCAAAAAAATATAATACTGAAAAAGATAAAGTAATTGCAGAATTATAAAAACAAACAACTTATGAAGTGGAAAGAATCAGTTTAAAATTGACAAGAGATGAAAATGAAATAGGGAAGGTGTAGAATATTTCATAAATAATAGATAATTAATAAAGTACAATTTTAAATGGAGACTTTTTGAAGCTTGGATCATCCAAATTTACAGTGGATGATATATTTGAAACAAAAGAAAAAGCTCACATATTTATAATAACTTCTTAAAACGACAAAGGTTAGCCTTTGAAAACTCATATATATTTCCAGTCATATAAAACAATTTAGATATAGCCAATAAAACAACTCGATATTAAAGATACAGAAAAAGCAATTTACTTTCACGATTATAATAGAGGACATTTGTATATTTTTAATGTTAAACACAAATATGTTGTATAAATAATAATAACAAGTAGAGGATCAATATAAAACGAATAATCAGTTTATTATTAACAAGAGCGTGACTGCTCCTTTGTTGTTTCTCATGTGGCATATCTGAAGATGCTTAATCGATTCATAGTATTGTCTATTGATAAGTTAGTTTATAAATAGTAAGATTAAGGATAAGATTTTGAAAAAGTGAAATGCAGAATATAAAGCCAAAATGGTGGTCTAGAACAAAAAGACTTCATACCAAGCATTAGACCAGAATATAAATATAATTAACTACTAGCTTGCCCTAGTGGTAAATATTTTTATCTTGCCAATTAATATTGCTGTGATAGATATGATGTAAATTGTTTGAAATTGAACACCATAGAAATAGAAGGACCAATTAAAATATTTGCTGATTATTCAGATGTTATAATATTAGGTCAACTTAATTAGAGAGAACAGAAAAAAGCCAAAATTATTTGTAATTTAGTATCTTAAAAGAAGTTCAATAAATAATAAAATGATGAAAAAAAAGTGATTGGAAATCCAGCACTTGATATAGCCAAAGGTTCCTTTATAAAATTTGGGCCAAACTCTCAATTTTTACTAAAGGAGAAGAATAATATCATCACTTTAAATATTAATAATGAATATTATAACATTGTGAAGGCTTACTTAAATGTTATGAAAGTCAATGAAATAATTTTAAGTTCTTCTTAGCTTTAGTCCGCAGAATTTAAAAGCTAATAGATAAAAAATTGTATATTTTCTAGAGTTCCTTTATAGTTATGTACAATTGAAAATAGCAACTTAATACCGCTAAATGATGGATTTAGATAAGAATCCCAAACTTAAACACGAATCAGTGTAGATTAAAAAGTTAAATAATTACATTTAGGATTTTTGGAAGAACATTTGTCAAATTGTGATAATAAGATATTTGTAGTAGGAATTATAGGTAAATAATCATCAGGCAAAAGTTATCTATTAAACAGAGTGTTTGGAACTCGTTTTGCTGTCTCATCTGCTAGATGCACTGATGGAGTTTGGGCAAGTATTGCATATGTAGAAGATTAAACATTTCTAGTATTAGATTGTGAAGGCTTATTCAATGGAGCTAGATCTGATAAAGAAGAAATAAAAATGTTGGCATTTCTAACTGCATTATGTGATATCACAATCTTAAATTCAGATCTAACATTTAATCGACATTTTAATGATTTATTCAATCATTTAGTTGAAGCATCTAAATAATTAAATAATGAAAAGTTGTTTAAAGGAATATTATATTTTATATTAAGGGATGTTAGTTCATAGGATAATGCAGGAGCAGAGCAAGAATTATTAGAAAGACTTGAAAGACTAAAAGAAGGTGGATCACAAGACATCATATTTTTAAAGAGGCTATTTAATAATAAAATTGCTGTTGAATCATTAGACAATTACAAACTAAAATAATTTGATGAATAAATTGTTTCTGTGAGGAAATATATATTAGAAAAATCTGCTATATCTAGTCACTGGAATTGTGGTAGAGAATTAATATAAATCATGAAAATTTTGTTATGTTAACTTGAATTGTCAGACAAGACTAATGCAAGCTTGATAGACTTATAAATATTAATTGAAAAGATTTTTGAAGATAGTTAAGAATTATGGTATGATTTTTCTTCAAATGAAGTTTAAGATAGTAATTTAAAGTTGGTTTAAAGCAATTATAAGTTTCCAAAATTTGAAGCATAATAACATATCCTATTTAATAAAGATTTACTAAAATTACTGTATGAAAATCTCATTACAGAAGATACAATCTCAACTCATAACAAAAACATGCTTTAAGTAAGAACCCAATTTAATATGATGATGGAGCAAAGAAAGGAATAAATTATTTAAAGAGCAAAATAAGAAACAAATCGTATAAATAATGAAGAGGTTAAAGAAATAATTGAAAAAAATATGTCTATTTTAAAGATTTTTTTAACTGATTAGATAAGATAGTATTAATTTTGCGATGATAAATGTGATGAATGCCATTTGTAATGTAAATAGTTCAAAAATCATATTGAGATATTCTAAATATTAATGTAAAAGTTAGATAATGAAATAAACAGTTTATTAGCTTAACAGCAAAACTCAATTAAAAATAAATCTCAAGAACAAGAAAAAAGAGATAAAATTAAAGAAATTATAAAAGAAGCTGAATACACCTTAGAAGGATTAACTATTTAAAGAACAATAATTGAGATTAAGGAAAAATTATAGAAAGAAATAGAAGCTATGAAGAAATATGATTTTTATGATTCAGATTTAAATTCTATAAACAAAAGAGTTTTTAAAATGACCTAATTTCAAAATGAAAACTCATAAACTGTTACATTAGAAGATATAGAAAACTTATAAAATCTATTTGAGAATGAGATTCCAATTCTTAAAAAAAAAAAAGAAAAGAATACTGAAATAATTAAATAACAAATGGATAAATTTGATTCATTAAATTAAGATTTAAAAACATATCAGAAAGATATAAATCAAATTGAAGTCCAGACAGAAAATTTACTATCTTATAATAAGGAGATTAGTGAGTAAAAACTTATTGCAGAAAAAAATTTGTAGAGCATTCAATCTGAAATTTCCAAAAACCTGATAGTTTGTGATAAAATGAATCTTCAAAATTTGTAATAAAATTTTGAAGACGAAAAGAAAAAGTTAATAGAAATCTAGGATGAACTTTAATATTAATAGTTAATGTATAAATAATATTCTCATGAGCTAGAGGAATTATAAAAATTGGATGTAAACGAATAAATTTAGTTTTTAGAGTAGCTAGAGTAAGACATAAATCAATATCTTGAAAAATAGAATCTTTTGGATGAAGAAATAGAATCTTTGAAGAAAAAGAAAAGAGAATAAGAAGATATAAGGTCTAAATTAGGAAAAGAATAATCAAAAAAAATGGGAAAAAGAAACAATATAATAGAAGAACTAGTTTAACAATTAAAAGGATTTGATGAGCTATTAATAAATGAAAAATTATCACAATGTGAAATTAAATAAAAGGAGTTAGAAAAAAATTTTAGAAATTTTGAAAATTCAGAGATATATAATAAATGTTTGGAAGAAATAGGTATACAGCAAGAAAATTAAATTGATGATAGCTAACTCGAAAAATAAGATCTTGAAATATAAACTGATGAAGTAGAAGAGGATATTTAGCAATGTCAAACATAAGACAAATAGGATCAATAAAATGAAATTTAATGTGAGCAGCAAGAAAAATTAGAAAAGCTTAAAATAATTAATTTATTCTTCAAAAAAAAGTAAGAAAAAGTAACTGAAATTCAAGATTAATTAAACTCTTTATAAGAGTAAATTGAATTTATAACAACTAAAAGAGATAATATTAACTAAAGAATCTAAGAAAAAATAAAGATAAATAAACTTTTAGATATTTAATAAAATTATTAAAATGAAATTTGTAAATTTGAGAAACTTCTTGGATAGTAAAATTAAAAATTATCATTGGAGACTGAAAAAATTAAGAAAGGAAAAGAAAATTAAGAGGAGGCAAGAAATACACTAGATTAAGTAATAAAAAATAATATAGAACTAGAAAATTTGAATATCTAAATAGACGAATAAATTAAAAATTTAAATTAAAGATTAGATTAAATAATAAGTTTTTCAGAGAACTTAAACGAATATATAATCTTAAATTCTTCACTATAAGAAGAAGAAATCAAATTGAAAAAGCTAAATGAATATGAATCTGTTAAAAGTTTATCACGTTCAGAGGTTTAAAGCTAAATCGAAAAGACAGAAAACTAAATTTATACTCTGAAAGAGGAAAAAGATTCATTAAGCAGCTAGTTGAGTACCTTTAATTAATTTGAATCACTTGAAAGGAATTTGAGAAGTTAGTAACATTTAAAATAACAACTTATTGAACTAAAAATTGAAGTACATTCATGTCAAAGGGAAAATCATAAATGCGATAAAAATTGTAAAATATGCTCTGATAAGAAATGCGATCATAAGGCCGGACATGATGAAAAACAAGAGCATATGTGTAACAAATAAGATCACAGATGTTAGGATATTTGTTAAATAATTAATTGTAAGAGCAACTGTATGAAAAGTTTCAACCATGATTTCTAGCATAAATGTGAAAATGATCATCCTTGTATGGAAAAATGTTAATATTGTGATAAAAAATGCAAGAAAGATCGCTCTGATTCTCATAATACTAATCATGATTGCTTAGATAATTATTGTCCTCATAATTGTAAATTGTGTTCCAGAAGATGCTGTGAACCACATAAGCACTCGTTAGAAAAAGCTAACCATTTTTGTGAAAATGTACATTATTGTAAAGAACCATGTTAAGAAGATGGAAGATGCAAATTAGAATATGAGGTAGTATAAACAATATGGAAAAATTAATTATCAGAATTCTAATACATTAAATATATCCCACAGGATAACGGTAAATAAATATGCCAAAAACAGATACCAGCACGATGCGATAAGCATGATGGAAAACATTTATGTAAGGAAAAAACTGAAAAGCAATTTCATCTTTGTAATTAACAATGTCCTGAGTGTAATACATATTGCGATTTAAAATACAATCACTAAGGACCTCATTCATCAGATAGACATAGGAATAAAGAAAATTAGATATTTACAACTTAATAAAAAAATTTGGACAACATTAAAATTTAAGATTAAAAAGAAACAACAATTAGACAATATAGGATTGGAGAGAGTTCAGAGCCTGAAACATGTGATTCGAGCTGCTAAAGAAGAGGAAGAGCTCATTTTCATTTAATTAAATGTGAAGGAGGTTAAAAATGCTTGTAAAAGAAAGATTAAATAAAAGCCAGACATTCAGATTAAAAATATGTTGGTTTTGAACATCTAGATTTTGATGAAGTGTTGTGTGAAAACTTTTGGAAATTATAAAATTGGATTCATCCAAACTAAAATGAATGAGAGAATATTACTATTCAATGAAAAGATGAATTATTAAATATAATATTAATATTGTTAACTTTTAATTCTAATATTTAACAGCAAAAATATTTGTTTATAATTAAACTATTAAGAAATTTATGTCTTAAACAATGTATAATATATGGATTTTACCTCTATATTACCGAATGATATATAATTTGAATAAGATAAGAAAATTAATCAACAATCATGATTTATTTTCTGATTACTAATAAAAATTTATAAGGTTAAAAAAGTTAGTTTCACATGAGACCTGTTGCAGTATTGAAAGATAAGTTTAGTAAAGTGTAAAATGATAATTTTCGTATGAGAAATATACAGGAACCAAAATAATAAGATTAGAGGTAATTATATATTAAATTTTGAGTTAATCTGGGTTAAAATTTTAGTTTTTAATATGAGATAAAAAAAAAATAGTTAAAGCTTTTTTCCTATTATTTTCATATGAAGCAAAACGATTAAATTCATCAATCCATTCTATAGTTAGAAGAAGTTATTTTTCATTAATAATTTATCCAGCCTTAATACTTAGAAAATTACATCTTAAATAAAAATTGCACATTGTTACATACATATAAAAAATTTCTTTTGAAAAGAAGACTATTTTAAAGTTAAATCAATCAAATCTCAAAAACCATTAGTCAAGATGTGAAACATTAAGACATTGAGCTATTTGAATTAGAAGAAAACTAAATTTTGATTTTATTCTTGATATAATGTATTATATTATAATCTTCTTTAATACATAAACATTAAAATCAAAACTATTTTTACAATATATTGACTTATCCGTTAATTGATTTTTTAAAGCGACTACATTATCATATATAAAATTTACATACGCATTTACTGATGCTTATTTCAAAAGCATATATTTAGGTTCTATTCCTTCATCAGTTTCATTCATTTTAGAGAAATCTTGAATAGTTTCCTCCACTTCTTCCTTTTTCAAAGATAATTGTTGCCGTGAGTTGGAATTCTTAATTAGCGACTTCTTTTTTTAGCCAGAAATTTACTGTATGTATGAATTGGGGGTAATAGTTAATTTTTTTTCTTATTTAGGCGGTTTTCTATATTCTGGGGTCAAGGTTAGGTTTAATTTACTATCTCGTACTCGAGAAAATGAATTAAATGATAATTTGCTTAATCTACTTATCATACTTGGTTGAATTCCTAGCATCACGCTTCCGTTGTTTTCCAATTCAGAATGAGAATCATTATAACTACTCACAGATTGCATTCTGTTCTTTCTTCTATTAATATCAGGAGCTAAGTTGGATTTTCTTTGTTCTGGAGTTTTGAGAAGTGAATTCATCTCCAATTATTCAAGGGAGTAATTGAGGAGTGAGCCTCCAATGTTATTAGATGAGACATCTTCTTTTGATTTCTTGAATCTAAGAGTTAATAAATTTGTTTAAATACAATGAGGGTTTATTATTTACTAAATTACTATTTTAACTACTTGGCAAATGAGCTTCAATTGTTTATTTTCTTTTATCATCATTCCTATCAGATTTAGGACCGGTCTCCCAATCAAAGATTAGATCTTTTTATTAAAAGTTGTGTTCTTAGCATACTTTTTTAAAAAGGGATTAGCAATATTTGTAATTAGGTTCTGCTTTGAATGGTAAACCTCGAATGTATTCTAGAAATCTTCCAAACTCTAGAGGAATTCCTTTACAGAGTTCATCCATTTCCATTTTCATCTTCATTTAGCCAACTTAACGCATTTTATCCTCTTCATCAATGAATTACAAATTTTACCAGGGTAATTAACCTTAATAATATAAATTTGGTACATTTTACCCTTTAATAAGAAGATCAGCATATATCCTAAGGATTCCAAATCATCTTTTCTGCTTAAAGATGTTCCTTTATGAGCATTGATGCTAGCATATCTTGTAGTTCCAATAAATGGTTGGTTCTCTCTATAGGAACTAAAATTTACTGATTCATCTTTACATATGTGAATCATTTTCATCCTTATAAAATTTGCTGATGCCAAAGTCGACTATATATAGTAGATTTTCTTCTTCTTCTTTTCCCACAAGAACATTTTCAGGTTTAATATCGCGATGCAACACTTTGCTACACATAGTTGGTATTATTACTTACTTTTTGTGAATATTTTCAAGAATGTTAATCATTTATTCAGCTATATTTAGTACGCATCGTAGTGAAAACTTACGGAAGGTTTTCAAATAATGGGTTAAGTCTCTTCCCAAATATTATATAACAAGCATGTTTGAATCTCCTTCTTTTCCTGCCCAATATAACTTTGGAATCTATGGTACTTTTTACAATCTTCGTAGTATTTCTGCCTTTTTGTATCATGATAATTCAATTACCTCTCTCTCTAGACTCGAGTCTTCCTTATTGCATTTGTCCATTTTTATGGCTACCAAGGCTCGGGTATTTATGTCTTGACCACAGTATACTACACCGAAAGACCCAGCTGAAACTCTCTTTTTCGTTATAAAAGTGTTGTTAATCAATTTTTAAAGCTATTGATTGATCATTAAATTATAAACAACTCAAATTATTAATGATCTCTAATAATAGGGAAATCATTCTCAAATCACAATTATTAATTCATACTTTTAATTTATTACTTCACTTCTTTCATAAAATAATATTTTTATCAACAAAATCTGAAACTATGAAGAAATTAGTTTTGATTCGTCATGGGGAAAGTATCTTAAATAAGACTAACTCATTTGGTGGATGGTTGGACGTAGATTTATCGACCAAGGGAATTCAGGAGGCTTAACATGCTGCTCTGTTATTATAATAAAATCATCATAACTTTGATGTAGTCCACACATCCATTTTAAAGAGATCCATCAAATCAGCAAATGTCATGTTGGAAACAATGAATTCTCTATGGGTGACACAATAAAGCAGTTGGCGATTAAATGAAAGACATTATGGAATATTGCAAGGCATGAATAAAAAAGAAGCTTCCATTAAGTATGGAGAAGAGCAAATCAAGTAGTGGAGAAGATCATTTTCCTAAAAACCTCCGTATTCTTAAGATGGAAATAGTGAAAGTCTTGAAGATGTCACCATAAGAGTCAGACCATATTGGGAGGATTGCATAGCAAAGGATATAAATTAAAATAAGCAAGTTCTTGTGGTTGGTCATAGCAATTCATTAAGAGCTTTATTATGCATCATAAAGAAGCTGTCTGAATAATGTAAGTGATCTTTCTTATAAGAGAACTGCTTGAATTGAATATTCCTACTGCAACTCCTTTGGTTATATAATTCAATGATAGATTGCAATACCAAGATGAGTTTTATTTAGGGAATCAAGAGTAAATTAAATAGAAAATAAAATAAGTGGCGAACTAGGGTTCTCTCAAATAGAATAAATGAAATTATAATGACAACAAATCATAAAAATTTAGAAGTCTCAGTTTCTATAATTATTTCTATTTTTGTTAATATTCAAGTCTTAGAGAACATCTAAAAAGGATATAATTTGAATTTCTTCAGATTTCATATTATATTTTCAAATTTAATTATTTTTATTTAATTTTCAGTTATGCAACAACAACAATAATTAGCTCCAGCATATGAAAAATGTCCAAGACACCCAATCAATGACATTGTTTTATTTTGTTTACACGATTAATGTAGAGAAGTAGGTTTAATTATACTATTTAAGCCTTTATGCAAAGAATGTTGTAAATTTCATATTCAATTGCACAATCAATAAGGAACACCTCCTTATATTGACACAATTGACAGTGTTAGAGAGATGCTATTTAATGATGTTCACAATCTGAAGGTTAAATTCGAGGAGTAAGATTCATAACAATATTCTAGAGAGAGAGAAATACTGCATCACTTTTCTGATGGAGAAAATTCTCAGCTTATTAAAACAATTCACGGTAAAATAGAATAAGTCAAGAAAAATCTACATTAATTAATTAATGACTATTGTAATGAATTAGAAAAAGAAGTGTAGAAAAGAATACATCAGCATAAAGTATTATTTAAATTCATCAATAGGCAGCCCATCCAGGAGAGAAAAAAGAATTGCATCATAAACTCAATACTGTTATTAATTAATTGGATTTATAGGAAAAGGGACTGTAATCGCAAAAATACATCAAAGCTTGTTTAGTTGTGATATCTGAAGAGAAGGATCATGATTTAGAAGGATTGTCTCTTGATATTGATAACGCTTTGAAGCACTATTTGGAAAATATGTTTGATATATGTATCCATAATGACAAATTTCAAAAAATTAGTAAGTTACATTTATAATTTTAGATGATGCTTTAAATGAGTATGTGGAGATTCATTAAGTTAACTTAGGAGAAGAGCTGGAGTATTATACTTAACAAATACGAGAAAGTAAAAAGACTACTGGAACACAATAATAATATCAATCGAAATAAATAACTAAAAAATAAGACGTTAATCCTCCTATTACTTAAACGCTACCTTAAAGCAAACTGAATTATTAATCTATTTATGACACTCCTCATAATTAATTACATATACGTAAATGTACTTATCGATTTAATAGATTCATCGCTTCAGTAATCTAGAGTAGGTGCAAACTCAAAGACTTATGAAACTAGATTGTAACAGAATAATGAAAAGTTGAAGTAATTTTATGGATGATATTTAAATTAAAAATTATATAAATAACAGCAAATATGAACAAGGGTTAATCTCCAAGAAGAGATCATTCTCCCAATTTCTTCTATCAAGTGACCAATGATAATTACATGTATAAGAGAAGTGCAGATACACAACAAACTGATCCCAATTGTATGACGAAGTAAGCTAGAAATTATGTCAATAACTCCAACATCACTAATTCTCCTAAACCTGCTGGATCACCTTCAAGAATGAACTTTACTATGCAAAACAAATATTTTCATTAATCAAATATCTTTGATGGAGTTCAACAAACTAAAGATTATAAACCACCTGAATAGCCATTAAAAGAGAAATAACGCGACAATAAGTCTCCTTCAATTTTGAATGGAGCTTAGATAAACAAAAATTACAACAGTACACTAGGTAAAGCATAGCCAATAATCAATAAATCAAAATAAGTTACTATTGAGTTTCAAACAGACAATAACAATTTTGATGCTTTGGATTTAAAAAGATCTCTATTAAAATAAGGCATTTAGATTTCGGATATTTAAATGAAAAATCCCATAAACTCAGGAAGAACAAAGAATGTCGGAAACCTTACTGTAAGAGGAGATGAAGACAAGTTATCAAATCTTCATTAAGAACTTGAAAAAGTGGGGCTTAAAACTTGTGATAAACCAAATAGTTATTATGTATTATCAAATCAATAATCTAGAAATAATAAGCTAATCAGAATTGGACGCTTTAAAAATAGAAATATGACAAAATTGAATATTTCAAAAATCGTTGATTTCAAATAAATTAAATACAATTTCAATATTATCAATCTTTTTCAATCTCCTCCCTTACTTGATCCCTATGAGCAAACGTTTTTTCGAAAAACATAGCCTAATCAAATCCACTAAAGAATTATTTCTTATCTACTTTCCTCATTCTCTCTAATCTACAATATTAAATTCAATTAATTACTCTTCCATCCTTTCCTATCTATATTTGTCCTATTAAATCAAGGCTTATTTGCCTCCTAATCCCCAAACTTCAATAAAGACAATTCCTATTGAACCTTCAATTTCACCTGCAATATAACCAGGTTGATAAGTGTCATCTTCAGAAGCAACTTTAGATCTATTCTCTATCTCATCATCTATCCATAATCGAAATGAAGTATGTTCAGAATTCCCTCCGAATCCTAATCCCACTTTGTATTTAGATCTATCAATGTTTTTCGTGTTTAAATAAGCGTAATTTTACCCATTACCAGTTGTACAATACGTTCTGAAACTAGGACTTATGGAGAAGAGATAACATCCAGAATCTCCTTAGAATTTTAACCCATCGCTCCAAGGATTGGGATTATATGCACCAAATATAATTGGAAGGTTATTTACTTCATATAAAAATTGATATTTACATTTCTTATCCAAATAGATAAGTATTAAAGTTGGTCCACCATATCCTAAAATGTTCCAGGCCAATCTATTGAAACTTGTACCACTGCTTTAGTTATTGTACAATTAAGTCATTTCTGTACAAAAATGAGTTTGGGTTGAGAGAACAGTGAATATTTCATCATCGATAATTTTAGAACTTTACTTTATTAGAGGTTTTGGTTATTTAGATTGAATTTGGTTGGATGAAAATATATTGACCCAAAAGGCCTCTATGTAATCACCAACCAGAGGCATTATGGAATTAACCTTATTGCACACATATCCTACTCTTTAATTGGAATCTAAACTATCATCTATTTATAGAATGATTTAATTACCATATATTCTATTCATCAAATATTTGGCTGCTTGTCCACTTTTTATCATAGTAAACAATATATTCAGTACACTCAAACAAACTTCATTCGCAATAGAGTCATTTTCTGAATATCCCATGAATTTAAACATCAATTCAACTGGACGCATCTTATTTAAATATTTAACATTGTAGTCAGGAGCTTTTGTTAAGATATCACATAAATCCAAGTATTGTTATAAGCTTAGGGTATCAGTTTTGAATATTGATTAGACAAACTACTTAAATTAAATTGCTAATTGCTGATTCTCAATAGGAATATGCGAAACATTGATTTTATTTTCCGATTAATAAGTGTTAAATGTCTTAGTATAAGCAATCTGATATTGGTTTTGTACTTCATTACTTTTCTTTGATTGTTATTATTGTTATTGATGTTATTGTTATTATTATTATTTGACTATTGGTTGTGTTGGTTTTTCTTATTAATTTCCCATATTTAATATATATTTTTTTGTATATTAATTTCAATGCAAAGACATCTTGGTTCTCCGATTGATAAAAAAGCAATGATGCAAAGAAACAATACATCTCTCAGAAATTTGGCAGAAAAATCAAAATTCGCCAAACAATAACTCAGTAAGTAAAGAAGATAAATGATCGTTTAGAAAAAGAAGTCAATCCATTAATCTATAAGAATAAGATGAGCCATCTGTTCATAATTCGCAACCTTTAGAGACAATGAGGGTATCCCAGCCGAGTTTCCCCTTAGTTCAGCAAAGTCCTAATGAATGTTTTTAAAAAGTTCTTGGGTCTAAAGAAGGATCGAGAGACGGTAGTGGAGAAGAGGATGATAGAAATGCTGCTAACGTTGTAAAACCCTCTAAGATTAGAAGACTATCTCGTTTAAAGGATACTGAACCATCACAATCTCTTAAATTCTCACTTATCATTACTCAATCAAGTAGATTGAAATAAACTTGGGATGCAATCATTTTTATAGTATTAATGTATCATAATACGATTTATTAGATATGTTTGTGTATTTACACCGTATAAGATGACATTCATAGATGACGGAGAATTCCCTAGTTGGGATTACTTCGATAACTCTATTGACTTTTTGTTTATGGCCGACATCATCTTCACATTTCTCTGTTCTTATTATGATGAAGAGAATAATCTAGTCAAAGATCATAAATTAATTGCTATCAACTACTTAAAAGGGTGGTTTGCTGTAGATCTAATAGTATATATATGAAAAATAATTCTTAGTCTTGTTTTCCATTTTAATTCATATTTCAAGATTATGATAAATCAAGAAACATTACAAGATTGTCAAAACTGCCAAAAATATATCGAGTCATCAAAATGATTAAAATATTTAGAATGATCTAATTGAAGGATTTAGAGTACATAAAGGTCATTAACATCAATATAGGAAGTGAAAGATTTCTTTATGCATTCTTTTTGTTGATATTCAGTTGTCATGTTACTGGATGCATTTGGTTTTTCATAGCCTCTCTCTCAGAAGATCCTGATTGGGAATACAATTTCCTCTCTGGATATGATCAATATATTGTCTCCTTGTATTGGGCAGTATAAACTATTTTAACAGTTGGATATGGCGATGTCAAAGTCTACAAGTGGCCTTCATATCTTTTTGCAATCTTTTGGATGTTAGTCTCAGTATACATATTTTCTTTTGCTGTTGGTTCTTTAGCATCATTTTTAGATAGAATGGATCACGCAAATTCCATTTATGTTCATAGAGTTTCTACTTTGAAGAACATCAAGAAAGAATTTCATATATCAAATGCTATATTCTAAAAAGTAAAGAATGAATTGAAATCAGGTAAGAAAAATCTATTATTGAATTATAATACTCTTTTGGAAGATCTGCCTCCTTAATTAAGGGTTGAATTATCATTCATAATGAATAAGTAATTGTAAGAGGAAATTAAATATTTCCAAGATAAAGCGCCTACTTTTATAGCTGCCATAGGACCTGTTCTAACACCATTGAAAGTAGGAGCTCATGAATATTTATTTATGACTGGTGACAATGCAGAAGAAATTTACTTTGTTAAAAGTGGAAAGCTAGCTTTAGTGATTCCAGATAACGAGAATTTCAAATTCCTAATGATCAAACCAGGATCTTATTTTGGTGAAATTGATATCTTGTTTTATGGAGAAAAAAGAAAATACACTATTATGACAACCAAAAAATGCGAATTTTATGTACTATCAAAAAAGCACTTCAAACTAATATATTTAAACTAGTTCAGAGATGAAGGAGCAAAAATGATTAAGGAAGCTCAAAAAAGAAAATAAATGATTAAATCAGCCTATGAAGAAGCTATCCAATTTATTGAAGTTCATGGTGAGAAGCAATTTAAAAGGAATTAACAGCATTCTTGTTCTATTCAACTTAAACATATGAATTCTGTCTCAAGCTCTAAGAGCCAGTAAGAAAGTAATTATTTATCAATATTTGAAAGTGTCAGTCTCAAATCAAAAATTCTAATTAGAAAAAATAATTTAAGAAGAGAATGAAGACGACGATCAAGAAAGAGAAACTGAAGCCTTTATGTCATTGATGGATAGGTAATAGTTTAAAAAAAAAATGACTCAACTTGAAAAATAAATCTAATAAAAGGATCACACTATTTAAGCTATCTAATAAGAACTTGATGAACTAATGACTGAAATCCAATTGAAAAACTTAGATGCGTTGTAAGAAAAAATTAAAGTGCCCAAAACTTTTGAAGAGCATTTACAATAACGACGCTTTTTAAAGGCAAATCAAAAACTAAAAGAAGAATTGAATAAAAGAAAAAGTAGGAAAGTTTCATTACGTTTCTCATTTAAGTAAACAACTTCCCTAAGTGAGTCAGAAAATAATCGTAATTCACTCTCTCCTTTAATATTGGATGATGAGTAAGATTGAAAGATGATATATTTATAACTAACTTACTGTAGTTAATGTTATCATAATTTATAAGTCATTCTAATTATGAATCATTCCTTATTTCCTCATCCTCTTCTATATATTACCCAGGAAACTCTTATGGTTTCTTATCTAGTTGAATTTCAACTTCTTCTTCTTCCAATTGTTATATTTGAACTTCAGATTCCTTTATTTCGAAATTCTCTTAATCTAATTCCAATTAAACATACTATTAATCTTAAACTATCTCTGTCACAGGTTTCTAAAGATCCAATAAGTTTAGAAGATCATTTTCAACTTTAAGTTTCTCCTTTGGATTTTCTACACCAAAGTTATTTGTTTGATTCTATTAAAGTGGAATATTATTATCCCCTTAATCCAGTTCTAATAGTATATTAGGTGGGTTTTAGACTATTTCACAAACAACTTGTTTGAGTTCTTCTTCATCATCCCCTTTATCTGCTGCAATTCCTAATTCAAAAACTTCTTCTTGATTGTTTTTTTGTGAATCTAATTCAATTTATGGCTATTAAATCATTTGAACTATTTTAATTTCAGGTTCTTCAAGTTCTAACAAATTCTGTGTTTCATACTTTTAATGAATTCCAAATTACTCTTTTGATTTTTCATCTTATACGATTTATTGGTATTCATCATTTTAGATGACCTCAGCAATTGGCTCCTATAAATCCTAGTCTGAATTGTCTTCTTGTTTTTATGCATTACACAATTCAAAGACCTCCTCATTTTCTTGTTAATTATCTAGTTCTATTTATTGAACCTCTTCAATTTAAATTATATTTATCTGAGGTTCTTACAATTCTTACTATTTTTCTTAGTCCTTAACTTCAAGTTCCTCTTAATATTCTTCAAAACTTTATGAATATTCTTCTTAATTTTCTTCTGCTTCAGGGGCTTTTCCCAAAGCAATTTGACTTAAATCTTCATTTTCATAGGTGCATTATTAATTATTTGGCTCTATTCTTGATAATTCTATTTGCTTTTCAGATTCTTATTAAAATTTCAATAACTCATTTTCGCATTTCACTCTCTATTAAATAGCTTCAAATGCTTTATTTTTTAGGTCTTCAATTTCTCTTGTTAACTTGATTTCTATTAACTGTGTTTATAAACTCATTTATCTAATTTCATATTATTTCTATTTTAATTATGAATCTTTATTATTTAGTTAATTTTCTAATTGTAGTATTGTTTAATTTTAATCCTCAATCTGTTCTTAGAATTATTTTACTTAAAACATAAGTTACTCTGTCTCCTCAGTAATACAATCATTTTAAGGTGCTTGTTATTAAAGATTTTTAATTTATTCTTCTTTTTCAACTATTGTCGATTCTAAATCCTAAATGATTTTCTAATTTTCACTCAACTCAATTGCCAATTCTTTTTGATTGTTGTATAAGTCTTCTATTTATTTTTTTGATTCATCTTACTATTCCTAATATTCAAATACAATCTATTTTAATCTCTCGATTTCTTCATCCTTCTCTTCCACTCTTCTCTGTTAATCCTCCTTCAGAGTTTATAGTTCTTCTAAATTTATTTTTAACTCATTATAATTCTATTTCTAAAGGTAGAGTTCCTTTTCCAATTTATCTATTTCTTCTGCATCATCATCAATTTATTAATTAAGTTAATTTTCTAATTCTTAATTTTTTTGTTTTAAAAAATCAATTTCCTACAATAACATTTCTTAATCATTTCCTTCTTATTAATTCTCTAAATTCTACTGTTACTCTTATTGCTCTTGTATTTCAATGCTTAACTTTTATAGTTAAAGTTCTAACTCATGATTCTACTATTCTAATTATTTTATAAATAGCTCCTTCTCATTTATTATATTTTATTACTCCTGACATAAGAAATTTACATTCTACACCTATTCATTATTATCAATTAAATGAGAATTTTAGGTTTCCAATTGATTAAGAAGTTCTTCATTATTTTTTTTAAGATTACTATATTCAATCTATTGTTGATTGGCTGCCTCTTCTAATTCTCCAATTCTTTCTTATAATTTGTTTCTCTGTTAGTACAATTTTGCATTTTCATTTTCCAATTAAGTGAAATTTGATAACTTTTCAGCATCTTTTTTTTAAATTTCTTTTATGTGATGATCAAAATTATTTTATATTTATTATTTATCTTTTTCTAAAGTATATATTTTTTGTAGATTTTCTTCATGCCTCTTAATATATGATTCAATCTCCAACTAACAACTTTGTAATTCCTTCGAAATTTCTTAATTTTATTTTTATAATAAAGCTACTTGATTTGTCAATTAGTTATTCTATATCTAATACTCCTTATTTTCAGCCTTTTATTCTGTTATTAACTTATCAAACTCCTTTGAATTTACATTTTATTTTAATAGCAAATCCTACTAATAGAGTATTTCAGCTTCTCTATCTTTATTGATCTAATTTAATTATTCTAATTATTTGTTTAGTTCATTTATTGATTCCTACTAATTTTGATTCTAATTCTTTAAGTTCTATTATCTTAAATGATTTAACTCTTATTCTAATTATTTAATTTAAATAGATTAGTCTTCTACCAATTTGGAATCTTCAGTTGATTATTATTATAATTCCTCATTATTCTTTCTCAATAGTAATAATTCCTCATTTATTTCTTCGAAATCCAGCAATTAATTCTAAAGTTTTCCATTCTCCTCCTATAATTCACTTAATAATCTTGCATAATATTTAATTTCTTATTCTAATTAAATTGTGTTAGATTTATTCTAATTTTATCCTTTTAATTAATTAATTTCTTCTTAAAGCAGCTTTAATTATTATTTTGTATCATGACTCTATGCTTTTTGATCTTATATTATCATCTAGAGATTTTCATTCTCTTTTTCTAATTACGTTACCCTCTGGAAATCTTTTGCTTATTATTTCAATTTTGCAACTTCCCCTTCCAATACGCTTATCTCCTAAACTAGTTAATTATTTAGATTTTCTAATTATAGCAGTCTCTCCTGATCCTATAAATTGGTTTTGTTTCTCTATTCTCCAATTTGGCTTAATAGATTTTGAATTTGCTTATCTTTAACTTGTACTTGCAATTAAAGATTTTAAATTTCTTGATTCCTTTATTATTCAATCTATTTTAATGAATAGAGATTAATACATAATTATTTTTATTGATTTATTCATTCAGTTTAGAAGTCTATTATTAGAGATGCAATCTTAATTCTTCCTTATTTGTCTCCAACACTTAAATCTTTTCTTTTAATTTATGGGTTTCAGTTTCTTTTTCTTCCAATTGAATTATCATTTCCTAACAATACTATTTATATTTACATTCAATTCATTGTTTTTCGACTATGTTTTATTCTATAGTTCAAGGGCTCTATAGAGATTTTCCCTCTCATTTTCAAATCTAATTTCAATAGATTCCATTTCTCTTTATTGCTATTCGATTATTTCTTCATACTTCTTCCTCATGAGGCCTTGCTCTTATTACGACTATCGAGATTATTGAGCTTAACGAAATTGATATTCCTTGAGATTTGCAAAGTACTTTTCCTTCCATTATGATAATTCCTTATTCAAAACTGATATCTCCTCTTTGTAATTGTCTTCAATTATTTGAATTTCATTAATCTCTAATACAAACTATTTGATTTGAGATTGCTGATACACAATCTCCTTCTCCCTTGCCTTTAATTTTGAGTCCTAGGAATCTATTCTGAATTGCAAATCTTCAATTTTCTTTTTTAGATAAGAAACATCATTATCCTTCAAATTGATAAAACTTCCACTTGTTTTAGTTGATATTTCATAAGACTTATTATTAACTTCAAAAGGCTATCTATTGATGATGAATGGATTAATTACTTAGAACTCCCTCTTTTAATGGAATCACACCTAGAACGGATTTCATTTACCTTCGCTTTTGTTTCTCTTATTCCAGCCATAAGATCTTAACAATTACTTTTCAAATTGTTTTCAAATAATAACTTCTTTCTGTCCATTTGATTTTATTAATATATTTCAAATCAACTGAATTTAAATAGAATTGCAATTAATTTGAAATAATCAATAGAAGCCAAGAACCCATAATTTTACAATAGATCAATATTTTGAAACTGATGAAATAACTTAAATATTCATCATTAATTTATTCAAAAGCAATGAAAACGTAATTTGAATTATCCAATATAAATATCAATTATTTTCCTTCAAAGTAGGTTTATATGTCCTTTGAATTGAACATCAATAAGTTAATAACTATTTATAATCTCGGAATATACGAATTAAAAAAAAAAGCATAAAAATATCAATAATTATAGAAAGAAAATTAATATGTTAATTGACTTGCTCCTTAATTATAATCTAATACAGCATTTTTTGAGTTAATAATACATTAATCATTAAGATTTTTGAAAGAAAGATGGGTCTTAACCACTAACTATAATTATTAAGTTTATTCTATTTGGAAACTCTTTATAAATTGATTAAATCTATATTAGTCAATTATGATTAAATATCCATTTATAAAATGAATGTAATGACTTAAATTTATAAAATGAAATAAATAAGTATACTTTCACTTGTAATTTTTTTATTTTATCTCAGGCATTGCAAATTGATTTTTGAGAACTAATTTATTATTTTTTGCATAGGTTACAATCTATGGTCCTTAATAAGTCTTCTATGGTTCAAACAACTTTTTCGAATTCACAGTAGAATTAGCTCTTGTAGAATTTGAAGTTGTGATTTTTGGTTAAACCAATACACTTGGTTATCGTTATTGAACAGCTTATTGTCCAACTATGTTTAGATCGGCTGTCTTCTTCTCTTGATTCTTCATCATTTGCCAACCCTTTCCATCGGATGGATTTTCACTTACCTTTAGTTGAAGTGGTTCCTTTTTTACTACCTTTACCTCTTTTTCATAATTTCTTAATTATTTAATAAATCCGTAATTAGGCTAAATGACACCTCTTCTCTTTTTGACAAAGTTAAAAGCCTCTTAAAACCCTAAACCTTTTGTTTTCATCAAATATGCTATGACCACTGAAGCAGACCTAGAGACTCCAGCAGCACAATGCACTAAAACTGATCCTCTTTTCAACCCCTCAATTATTTAAGTGTTTGTGTCCGAAAATAATCTACCAATGTTTGCAGTTTCTGAATCTAGGATATGATATACCTATTTTATATGAGATTATTTACCTTATGAGTTATTCCAGGCTCTCTATAAGAAACATCTAAGCCCGTTGCAACAGTTAACACTGTCTTAATACCTTTTGAATCGAGAAGAGTCCTGTCTAATGCTGCTGTAAAATCCCCAAGCCAGAGAACATTCCCGCTATCTTCAAAAATCTGATTCATCTATTGATAATTGGAATCAAACAATCTAAACATTTTTGATTATTTATTTTACTATTTTTATTAATAACATTTGTCACAATTTTATAATCGAAATTGACATCATTGGATTTAGATTCTTATGCAAACTATCATCAATCAAAATTGAATGAGAGATTAAACCAAAATATTGAGTATTAAGATAGCTAATCAACTATATATTGATCTTTTTTTTCTTTTGAATTCCATAGTATTACAGATTTATAAAATACTTTTGGACTTTTAGAAAAAAGCTAATTCTAGGATTATATTAATTATAATATTCTTTTAATGAAAAGATTTAAGTAAAGATATTATATGACATTTATGATGGTAATTATTTTAATTAAATATTAGATTCAAAAGCTATAATTTAGGAAGTATCATCATAAATGCACTTAAAATGTAAGAGTTTTAAGGCAAAATTTCAAAGTTATAAATTCTTTATTTAACATATTTTCTCTATTTAAATTATTTCTCATCAAATTAAAATATCAATGATATTTATTTCTATTCAGATTTTTCTTTAAAATTTTACATCTTAAATTTTTATGTCTTCTAATTTTAAGTTCTTAAATTATTTTCTAAAGAGTTTATGTATTATTTTAAAGATTCATTTCTTCATAAATTCAGCTATTTTTTTGAATCATACTATTAAAACGAAAGCAATATTATATTTCATATTCTGTGGATTAGAGCATATTCTATGAAAGAATGAAGAATGCTGATTTAAAATAACTTTTAAAGTCTTATATTAATTTACTATTAAAATGTGATAATATAAATCATTAATTAATATCTCTCATTGTCAATTATAATTAATTTTTCGAAGTAAATAAAATTCATAATGAATTTGATTGTTATTTCATTGAGAGATGATATAGTGCGTCCCTGCAGCTACAAATTAGTTCATTTAAATTAATTTTTTAATACGCTACTTCAAAAAGATCAATGAATTCATAATGTATACTTATTAATCTTATTGAGAATATAAAAAAAATAATAAATCATTTCTTTAATGCAAAATTAAAGCACATCTTTCCAAATCATTGAATGTAAGAATAATGAGACGATAAAAGGAACAAAATAATTTCGCTCCAAAAACAATTAGATAGACAATTAAAAAGAAAAATCATAGCCTGAAAGTAGAAAAGATTCAGAAGGAACTAATTAAGGGAATGTATAAGTTTAGTATAAATTAATAGAGTAAGGCTATTATGAAAAAAAAGAATGAAGAGTTTGATGCTAATACTTGTATTAAAAATCTAATGTTTTTATCTTTGAGTGTTATTAATGAAGAACTTCAATTTAATTGTTAGTAGCAGAATTAGAAAGAATAAATTTCTGAACAATGTAAAGTTTTATAATATTGTGACCAAAACGACATTGACTCATTTTAATTACCTCCAACAGCATAACCAATCCCTGCTTAAAAATAAAAGTCTCACAAAAAAGCTAAGAACAGGAAGAATAAAACAGATTCTCAATTGAAAATACCCAAAAATTAAACTCTAACTCAAAAATAGTACCCATAATAACCTCAAATTCAATAACAACCTAAAGAAAAACAACATAATTTACTGACTACTTAAGGGTCTCATAAAATAAAATAACAATTAAATTAGTAAAAGTAAAAAAAGTAGCTCAGCAGCACTCAGATTGAAAACTATGAATAAGAAAACAAAAAAGATTCTGCTGACTTTGATGCTTAATTTAGTCATGTATTTTATGTAACCATAACTTAGCTTGGAGCAAGAAGTACAACTGCAGGAAATTCCTAATCAGAATCAGACGATTGTCTCTAATAATCATATGACAATAGATAAATTGAATTAAGTGGTTAAAAATTATCAAGCAGAGAAAAAACAAAAAAGAAAAACTATAACAATAATGGAGAAAAAGTTGGTGATAAATAATATCCTCATTCCACATAAACCACACCAATTAAAAGAAAATAATTGAATTTAGTGAAATCTAAAACCTATGATATTGATGAATTATCCAATTATATTCAATAAAAAAGTTATCAAAATAGAATTAGAAAATAAATTTGTTTGAATAGACTTAATTATCTTATTTATACGAATTACCATCTAAATATGTATCCTTATGGATCCTTTGAAACCGGACTAGATTTAGAGATAAGTGATGTAGATGTCGGAATTTGGGGATCATAGAACTTGAGCTATAGTTAAATAGTAAGTTTTCTGTAACTATTAAATAATACATTAAAATAGACACCTTTTTTAATTAAATCGAAGTAATTGTCAAAATTTATATCTTTAGATTAATACAAAGTCAAATGCCAATTCTAAAATTGGAATTGAATCCGAAATCATGCTTTTATGATGAGGATTAACATATACAATAGAACTGGTCATATTTTCACTTGGATCAAAACGATCAAGGTATAAATCAATTATCACAATTATTAGGAAGGATCATTTAGGTGGATATAACTTGGATTTATTAATGGAGCAATGTTTATAATAATCCTCATTTAGGATTTGCTTCCACAACCATTGTTAAAGATTGGGTTAGTAGATTTGTTTGGTACAGAGATATCATGTTAATTTTAAAACACTTAGTTAAATCAAAAAATTTAAATGATGCCCACACAGGTATTTAATTTAGATAATTGAAATAGGTGGAATAAGCTCATTTTGTCTATCAATAATGCTAGCCGCAATCTATATGTGTAAGCATTACACTCAAAATGATAAAAAATAAATTCTTCTTGACTTTTTAAAGAAGTATGGTACTCAATTCGACCCATTAAAAGAGGGCATTTATATCGACAGTTATGGGTATATAATGAATCTAAATTAGACATTAACATCCATTTGTAGCCTTGGAAGAATGTCCTCCTTATAATCCTCTCACAATTTATTCACCTATTAATTATTAAATTATTTCTCAAAAGGCTCATCGATTTTTAGAGATTTAAGAAGAATTTAAATAACTTTACGAACACTTGACTAAATCTAATAAAATATAGGACTACTTTGATTTGCCTTCATAATTGAATTAACCATTATTTATATGATTATATTATGACTTATATTTTATTATGTTATCAGTGTTTAAAATGCACTACTTGTATATGAACTGTAAAATCTTAATGTAAAAATTAGATTATTTTTGAATAAAATGGTATTTTAACCATAATTATCTAAATATGATAAAATAGTTCTATAGATTTAGTTCTTTAATGAGTTCATGAAAATTCTTGAAAAATGTTGGCTAAATTTATTATTAGAATGACAAATGCAGAAAAAAGTTTAGGCATAGAATGATAAAATTATTATAGAAATAACGTACATTTTATACTTGATAAAATTAAGTAATGCTAGTATTGCAAAATCTTATTAGTCATCTAATAAAGGAGTTCAATTTGGAACTCTGCCAAGAGATTCATTTAAAAGAATTACATATTTGATATAATTAATGAGTTAGGAAATTAAGGCTAATCTTTAACAAACTGAATTTACTTATAAACCTAAAAATACACTCATTTAAGTTAGTTACTATTAAATTCTCTTTCTTAAAAGATAATTGATTAAATATAGATGAAAATTAAAAGTAAGAAACTTAAAGACGTTTTTAAACCTTATAAATTATCATGAATAAATCAAATATTAGCAAAAATATGTAAGTTAATAAAATTAGAAATAGATATAGATTTAATAACTATTTTATAGATATTATGTTTGGCATGGTTATTTATTATATCTATCAATTGATATATACTTCAACTTAAATATTTAATGTAAAGATATATCCCTGTAGTGATTAGAGCAGAAAGCCCTATTAAAGCGAAACCATATTTTGGATGATGAAATAGCCAAGCGAAAGCAATGACTAAAAGGGTAAATGGAATAGAAATTATCAGACTGACTATTAAAAAGATATATCCAGTTATCTAAGCTAAAAAGTTTCCCATAAGTGGGAAAGCTTAAAGTAGCCCTGCGACAGGGAATATTATAACCCCGAATCCAACTCCCTATAAAAAATAAATAATTGATATTACCATTATTATATATCCTCCCAATCTTAATGATGTTGTTGTAAATTAATTTTGATCTACTTTTTATTGAAAAACTTCATCTAATGTCAAAATTGATTGATAGATCCAATTAATATCAGTGAGAGGTATTTCAGCTGATCTAAAAGAGTTGCAACAATAGCAACAGCAGTCAGTACATTTGAATTAGGAATGATCTTAATTTAAAAAATTTTAATCCCTAGCCACAGTCTAATTATATCTATCTTGAAAGACAAAAGGTGTGAATTCATCATTCTACAAATAAGTAATTACAGTTGTAGGTCCAGTTTTTCTTGCAAAGAAAGAGACTCTCAAATCATTCAATGTTTAAACCCCTTTCTGTTATTAGAAATATATATATAGTTCGGAGTTTTCGCTATTATATTGATAAAGGTTACTAACAAATGAATCCCTTTTTAAATCCATAGAAATTGGCAGTATTTAATGCATTACGAATATGCATATGAATTCTTTCTTCTGTTATTTGTAGTGCCAAGGAATAACTCATCAAATAAGCACCAAGACGAACATTCTTATTAAATTATGTCTCTGATTCAACAATCCAATAATTTTTGTTATTACTGTGTTCTTCATCACAATCTGAATGAAAAATTGCGCTCCATTCTTTTACATAATAATAAACAGTTGAATTATTTTCTTCTTTTGTTTTGCGAACCCATTAATACATTTCCACTACTCTATTTAGTGTAATACAATCCTTCAACGACACACCAAAAGCAGCATCAACAACAAGATCATTGGTAGTAGTTCTGCCTATTAAAATAATATAGATGAAAAATTTCTTACCACTAGTGTGAATTAATTAATTATTTAGATTAGGATTAGCTTCGAGTGAGCTAACTGATGTGCATTATCTTTTTGCTTCGTTTAGTCTATATTCTGTGATTGCCTATCTATGTCTGTTAAGTTATGAATAATAACCTTCTTTCATTATACCACAACAGAATGGTAGCCACAAAAATTATTAACACTCCAAATATTTGATATGCATAAGGGTCTTAGGTCTATTATCTTTATTACAAATGCTTATTCTGATGTTCTAAAATATCTTATAAAAAATACATTGAATATGTTCTCTAAGATGATTGCTAGTATTGCAGGAAGATATTAATAAAGAAAATAATACGAGTACGACAAAATGGTGATTTGATGATATCAATCTTATCATTATAGATTTATTAAATAATAAAAATGTATTAACAACATTTTTTTATGTATATAGAAATAAATTAATATCCTAACCAATAAATTAATTATATGCGATTTAATTTTACAAAGTGAATTAATGGCATTATTCTTAAGTATTTTCTAGTTTATTGATTTAAAACTAAAACTTTCCTACATTTAAGGGAAAGTAGATCATATAATATAATAGAAGATCAAAAAACATATTTTATTTATATCATAATAAACAGTTTAACTAACACCATAAATATATTTTTTTTATATACTAATTATCAGACCTAACCCATTGCAATACCGTAACCGAACTTATATGAATCCTTTTAATAATCTGCAATTGCACATAATTTTAATTGATAGGCAAATCCTTACAAGGTTAAATTTGAGCTGAACTTCATTTTTGAATTGATAGTGATGATGACTTCTGATGTTGCAAACTTTTATCTGTAACCCTTAAAATATTTGAATTAATTCTATTACAAGAATAGTTCTGGATTCTCCAGTTTGATTGGAATACTCGAGTTCAGACATAAAATAGGCTTTATCCAAAAGCTAAATTTATATAAGTATCAATACTCTGTGATTGTAAGCTAAAATTAATTAATCAGCTGCTCCCACATATTAGGCATACAAATTCTACTTTTGATTGATTCCGAATTTGAAAGCATAACTCATCAAGGACATATTCCTTTCAGTCTAAGTTAGTTTAATTTAATACCAATGTCATCATCTCATAGCCTAAAACGAGTCTCTTTCCAATTGTTTACATCATATTGAAACTGTACAACCCAGTGCCCAATTTAATTGAATGAACATAATCCTCTCCAGTAATGTCGCAATCCAAATGGACCTAGGCATTGTTGGGACTAGAATCTAAATAGAAGGCACTGAATCTATTTTCATGATAGAATGCTATAGTCATACCTAAAATTAAATGTTTCATTCAATTTCTTTATGATGGCAGCTTCCAATTTGCCAGTAGAGTCCCATCTGCCAGTCATGATGTAGGATGGTTGATCAAACGGAGTTCTTAGCTCTCCTCCTAAATATTGAGCAGCCAGAGTGTAACTTGGGACAGGGGGTTATTTCATAGGATTAGGATTAGGGGCCTTGCCTTTGCTCTATGATTTTAGATATGATCAAAATACTGATGGAGGAATCATCCAGGAATGAGCTAAATGAAAATTATTTGATAATCCTCCTGCTACTTCGAATTTAAATCCTTTGATATGTTCTACTTTTTTTGTAACAGCCCTAACATTATTCAATAACCCATCAAAAAGTGGTGGTCTTCTTGGGTAACGATTTCTAAATTGAGGTGGTAAACCCATTTCTTCCTCATCATTTATTTTAAGATGTGGATCTTGTTAGGCAAATGCTGGATTATCCATGTCGACCTGTTCTTTGTTGATTGCTGCCATTATTAATTTTTAATTAATTTATTATGAATTTAGATGATCACAATTCCAATGAACAAAAACCTGATAAAAAACTTCACTATTACGATCAGGATTGGCCTCAACAATAGCAAACCATATCACCAAGATTCACTCCCTAGTAGTTTTATCTCTAACCACCATAAAACATCTCTGCATTCAATCTCTTACCTGAACAAGAAGTTCAAGATAAAAATAAGCCAAAATATCCATTTAGAAAATTATCTGCTGGAGATGGTTTAGATTAATAGGAGGAAGATCATAATCGACATTTTTACAATTATCCACCACCATACTATTAATAAATGCCATAACAAATGAAATATCCTCAAAATAACTAGTATATGCAGAAGTATCCATAACCCTATCCTCCTCCTTGGTATAGACCTCCATATCCTCCATTTTACTACCCTCCTTATGATATGTCCTAATATTAAAATACCTTATCAAAGGAGCTCTAATCTAAAGTTAGTCAACTAGTTTAATATTAAAAAGTCTCTCCTTTTCAATGCAATTGCAAAAAAAGTAAATGCCTAAAACTCTATTGTGAATGCTTTACAAATAATTGGGTTTGATTCATCAATATATTAGGTGTGTTCCTAAAGTTGTAATTGTACTGAATGCAAAAATAGAATCGACAATCCAAATGAAAGATCTAAAGCTATTGAGGAAGCTCTCCTTAGAAACCCAGAAGCATTTGCTCCCATTTTAACCAATAACGGACAATAGCCGCAAGTCGTCCAAGGTATAAAAGTTGTTTAAATATTGAAAGAATAAAAGTCTTAGAAAGACATACAGAAAGAAACTAAAAAGGGTTGCAATTGTAAAAAATCAGAATGCAAGAAAAAATACTGCGAATGCTATAGCATCAATTAAAGGTGCACGGACCTTTGTAAATGTGAGAATTGTCTAAATAAGGAGGAATAATAATAATAAATTCAACCAGAGAAGATAGAAAAACAGGTCTAGATAGAAATGATCCAGCATTAACAATAAGAGGAGGAAGAAGAAATACAAAAAAAACCAGATAGTAAAAAATCAAAAAAAATTAAAAAGGAAACAATATAAAACAATAAAAATAATAAGAAAAAGAAAAAAAATTGACATTCTACATATTTATGTGTATATTAAATACCTAAGATATAATTGGATATTTAAGAAACATAATATATATATAATCATTAGACTTTGCTTAAGTTTTTTAATTCTTTAATTAATGGCAATATATTCTTTCCTTCCCTAGATTACTCTTAAATCTTTTAACTTGCCCACATCATGAAAATCTCATCCTCCTTTTCTATCTTTCTTTATTTCTCTTCCTATTAATCTAATTATTCAAGATATTCTTTTTCCCTTAGTCCCTAAAAACATATTAAAAAATATTAATTACTATTTTTTCATTAATTTAATCTTATTAAAATTTTGAATTCTGAACTCGTCTCTCTCTTTATGCTGTAATTTCTGCCCTTTCTATCTCTTCTAGTTCTCTCCCTCTTTTTTCCCAATAGGATTGAAATTCCTTTTTGTGATAATCAACAGCTTAACATATAATAATTTATAATACATTTCGCTTCTCTCTCTTTAACTTCATCCTTAATCTTTCTACTATAATCAATTGCTTTACACATTTGTTCCCTCTTTTACTTCTTTATTTTCTCAACCTCTTCAGCTTTTACTTGTGCTTCTATAATTTATTTGTTCAAATGTTCTTCCTGTGCTTTTTTAACAACCTCTAACTACTATATCTGGCGATCAATCATTTTCTATCTCTGTTCCTATTTCTCATGAAATTTTAAATCCTCTCTAACTTTTCTCATTTCAGCTATTCTCTATTTTTTCTCTGCATGTAATCTTATCTTTTCATCCTCCTCTTTCTCCTTAATTTTTTATTACACTTTAAACTCCTTCAGTTAATCATTCGCCTGTTATACTAATCTCTAATTCTCCAATACTTTTTCTTATTTTAATCTTGATATCTTCTATTCATCTTCTAAAGCATCCTTAACCTTTTATTTAATCAATTCTCCTTCAATTCTCTCTTCTTTCAATCTGGTGAGATATTTCTCTTTCATTTCTTCGTGTTATCTAAATATATGTCATCTTTACTTGTGTAACATATCCTTTTATTCCTTTTTTCTTTACTACTACAGTTTCTATTTCAAAGTCTCCTTTTAATCGTACTCATCTAATTGTTCTTCTATTATTTATTTATAGATCTCTTCCTATTATTTAAGAAGTTCTTTCTTATATTTCTCCATCACAATTTATTCGTCCCTCTCCTACAACACATCAGAAAAGAGCATTTTTCCATGAAATGCTTTAACCCTGTCACTATCCTCATAAATTTATTTGTTTGCTTTTTCCAAAGTAATTTTCTTTTCTCCTTTCTAAAAGATCTCCTCTTCAATGTCAATTTTCCTTCTCTCTTCCTCTGCTACCGTGAATTTCTCAAATCTATGCTAATCTCTTTTTTATTTATAAGCTGCTATTGTGGTAGGCCAACGCTTCATCCTTTCCTCAGAATTCGCCTTCCTACAATTTAAAACAAGTTATACATTCTCATTTTATCCAGTTATCGTTCTTCTTGAGCCAAATTGCCCCCCTTAAGCTTCCCCCTAATGTGATTTAATTCAGAAAGGGGAATCAGAGTTTGAGTTTAAGTCTTTGAAAATTGGTTTTATTGCTGCCCTCTTGATGTATTAGATAACATTTATTTTAATGAGTTATTAATTAAACTCAAATTATATAAAACAAATTAATTACTTCTCAAAACATTATATATATCAAGTAGGTTTTTCTCAAATTCTTCAGGTTTGTAATTTATTTGCAACTCACTTAATAATCTTAAAATTTAGATAATAACATTTTGGATTGAAAATACTAAAAATTATGTTCATTAATAGCAATCTTTATTTTTCATATTAATGATCCTATAATTTCAAATATTATAGCCATAGATTAAAAATTTGGCAATAATTTCAGTTTTATTACTATAAAGTAATATTTTTAAGTCATAAAAGTCAAAATTTAGGAGAAATTTATTTCTTAAACTATAAAAAAAACATTAATCTAAATTAATGACCATTTTTAAGGGGTATAATAAAACTTAGAAGGGAATACAAAGCCAATGAGTTTTTTAAACTTTAAGCAACTTCGCCTTTATTTGTTATCTAATAAAATCAAATGGCAATAATCCTATTATTTTTAATCTGTTGGATTATAAATGCTTAATTTATAAATAAATTGAATTTAATATGCTAATACTAAAAATTATGAAATATCAATTAAGAGTGGTTTAATAATAAAATAAATTATATTAAATATCAGATCAATAGCTTTCTTTTTGAACATCCGTCCACCTGATTCTCTTTCCATCTGCCCACTCTCCTCTTTTGCTTGTTCCATCTGATTTAATAAACACTCCCTATCCTTATTACTTCCCATCAACCCATTAGCCAATATACTTTCTTCCATCACTCCAAATAAATGTGCCATGTCCGTGTTTTTTATCTTCCTTATATCTAAGAATTAAATTTAACAAATTACTCTCCATCATATGATCTACCATCTGGCCACTTCGTTAATCCAAATCCATGCATTTTATTCCTCTACCAATCTCCATTGTATTGTCTTCTGTCTGCCCAAACATACAATCCTAAATGAATAAATATTAATACTTACCTTTCCCATGAATATCATTTGCCAAGAATTCTCCATCATAAAATGAACCATCTATGAATTCTAATTTTCCTTTGCCATGCTTTTTACCATCTATATACTACCCTTTGTATTTAGATCCGTCTGGCCAAGTTTCTTCACCAAATCCTTCTTACTTGTCATCTTTCCATTATCCTTGATATGTTGCTCCATTACTGTGATAATACCTTCCAAAACCATTAGCTTTATCATTAGCCCATTCGCCATCGTAAATGTCTCCATCTGCATGTATTAGCTTTCCCCTTCCACATGCCTTATCATTAACCCATTCTCCTTCATATACTGATTAATCTGGCCAAACTTACCTCCCCCAACCATGTTTTTATTCATCCTTCCACTACCCAGTATAAATTGCTCCTGTTTCAAGAGTTACCGGTTCACATTTTTCAAGAAAAGAATCATGTTATAATTGAGTTTTTATTTCTTCAAACCTCTAGTTTGATCGCTTTAGTTGTTCATAATAATCATTATCATAATGAACTTAAGGAACATTAACATCTGAAGATTGTTGAGATTATCTAACTGAATGTCCTGATGCTTTTAGACCCTATTCAATCTATTATTCCAAATCTGAATGATTCACATGATTCGCATTAACTATTGTGTGATCCGTATTGCTTTATCCACATATTCCACTACAAGCTCCCATTTATAAATATTAGTAAAAAAAATTAATTTGATATATGAAAAAATTTCAAAATCTCAAAGAACTCCAATGATAACTTTATTTTCTCTATTTTACCAATCCTAATATGTTAAATCAATTAATATAGTTGTTTGAAATACTACCTTATTTAAATACAAAGAAATTCAAAGTTAAAATTATGTTATCTTAACAACAAAGCCAATTTTGTTCGCCAGATCTATAAGTTTATGCGGTAGCTTATTCTATAAATCTATAATCTAAGAGCTGTCTCTTACAAGTTCAGAGAAACTTTTTAAATGATTACAAAGTCAGTAAAATCAAGTTTAATGTAATTATTATTAAATTGAATTATTTTTGAAAGTTATGTTTGGATTTCAAAAATCTATATCATGTGATATAACTCTACGTTAATCAAAAATATAATAGATCAATCATTCAGGAGTTTAGTAACTTGTTGATATCAATTTGTTATGGTTAAGAAGCGATTATTTTTCTTCTTAAATTCATTATATACATATTAAACACCTTGAAAATCGATAAAAATATTAAGAAAAATTCATAGATTGCATATTTAATATTTTAAGTATTACCATTCTAATCATATTATATTGGTATCCTTTGATCGGAAATTTTAATTAATCTGGTAGTAATGAGTCAGTTTCTGAAAATTTTAATCATTTTTCTAATTTTTCATTTATTTACTAAATCCACCGTTCTTATTGATATTAAATTGATCATCAACCAAGAATTGTATAGAATTGAAAGTATTTGTTTCTTATGAAAAATTTCTTTGATATTCTTAAATTTGAAAACAAAAGGCGATAATTTACTTGTATGATTAAAATTTTATTCAATAAATATCATCGAGGCCTAAACTATTTTTTTATTTGTATTTCTCTAATTTTAATTGGAGTTTGGAGAGAAAGAGAAATTATTCTAAGTCCTCTTTAGTTTAAAGTCAATCAGAGCAACATCTGGAAATAAATCAATATTTTTATCTAATTTGTAATGTAAATATAGTGTGCAAGGCATTGATTATGTTTTTGAATTATTTAAGTGAAAAAGTTAAATTGAGTTAGATTAATTTTTGATAAATTTTGATTTCATTGAGATAATATAAAAACAGCTTAAAATAAATAACTATGTAACATTAATCATAAATTTATTTAAATTTATATATTAATTTTTAAACATTTGTTTGAGTCACAACCTTAAATCAATCCTAACCTTTAATATTTATTCATAATGTGTTCAATAGCTCATACGTTCTTCTCAATTAATAAGATATTCATCATCTCCGCCTATTCATTTGAAGTATATTTAAATTACTTGTTCAACTCTATGACAAATTCTGTGTACGCAATTTGGTAGTGATTTCTTCTATATTACTCAATAAGACTATTTTTATAGAAATATCAAAGAAATAGCAAAATGTTGATCAAAGACTCGATTGTAATTTTAATATAATGTTATCTGGATAATCATAATATCATCAGATCAAAATTGGGAATGGATTTGCCAAAAGACTAGAATAGATAAATGTTATCATACTTCACTTATTAGCTATTCGATGAGCTAATTGTGCCTTATAAAATAGCGTTTGTCTGGGATTGGTAAAATCGATTTTCTCAACTGTAAAATAAAAAAAAGAGTTAATAGAACTATTTGATTTTGATGCTTTGATTGTTTCTGGAGTCTGCCTCTTCATATGATATTTTATGTTTAATTATTTATTAAAAAGAAGAAATATATAGATTATGGCTTTGTAATTGAATAAGCATTTTTAACTTGTATTTTTAGTTCATCAGAGAAACTACTGCTATTTCTGAATCTAGATCCATCAAAAAACAATTGTTGCAAGCCAAGAGAGATCTTCTATTGGTATAAATATAGGACAGTTATTTTATATCTCCTTTTATAATAGAGATTCATATGTTTTGTATGATATAATATTAGATTTTAAATCAATGGGAATAGATAAATCCTAAAATAACCAATTCTTTTTATATTTTAGAGAAATTAGCAGGGAATGGAATATAGTTTTGGAAACTCTTCCAGATATATAATATATATTATAAATTACATAAAAACGGAAATGAGATTATTATTAGTTCTATTGATAGTCACTATAGTTTCTGCCTCAATGGCTCCTCCCATTACAAGTAACGACAAAAAATGGGTGAGATCATCAATTGAAAATAATGATTGCCATAAAGATTGTAAAAGATCAGAAGGCCATGTTTGCGCCGGATTGCATAAATCATAATGTTGTCAAAGACATTGGTGTTTATAGGATGAAAAACTACATGATGTTTGGAGCTGCAGAACTGGATTGTAACTTTTGTTATTATACTAAACTCTAGCGAAATTCATGTTGATTCATGTAATTCATTCCCTAAAAGAGATGCAGGATTTCTATAAGAAACAGATTGATATAAGCAATTAAAATCATTTACATATCCAGTAAAATACATTTATTCTCTTGCTTCGTCTTCTTCAAAATATTTAGCAGATCATTAAAATAATAATCACACAAAGAAATAGGAAAAGGCATTTATTTAAATTGAATCGAAGAGAGCGCTCACATTATTTTATTCCACTTATATAGTGGTCAATTAAGCTATTATCAATATATTCTTCAATAATTAAATAATAAGCTTCATTTATTAATTTTCATTTTATAGATACTTATTTTATATATTAAACTAATAACAATAACACGCGTGATTTGATTAATAAAAATATTAAAACAGAAAAATATCGAGATGGTACTTATTCTTATATAGCATAGCCATCTGCTTAAACAATGAAATTGAGAAGCCAAAACTATTAAGGAAACATTCATAAATAAGGAAAGGTTCCAAAATCATTGATTGTAATAAAATTGAATATTCATATATTAATAGAAAAAAGAAGAAAACCTCCCAGTGGGTCCAATATTATTAGGAGTGTTCTTGTTTGTAGTGGTTGGATCAGGTATTCATTATTATTTATTAAATCAAAGCCTTGTTTCAAATACTCAATGTAGCTTCAAGTGGATAAGATGTTTGATATATATTTATTTGCTATATCATTGTTTCATTAAAACAATACAGAAATTACAATCTAACGCAGCTATCTATTATCTTTCATATTTTCGTCATCCATTGTTTTTGCCTCTCATTTTCTTAATAAAATTCCACTTACAAATCATTCAATCATGCTTCCAAGATTCTGTGTTAAAATCGACGATTTGAATCAATACATCAATTGATAATTAATTATATCATTGACTTCTATCCTCATACCTGATAAGAAAAAATAAATCTGAGTAAATTGTGATTTTTTGTAATACCAAATTTAATTTAATTAGATAGCGTTTCGTGCTATATTCTTTGGTATTATACATTTTTGAAGGCGTTTTGCATGTGAAATCTAATATATAAGAATTCAGATTAATTTTATGAGAATGAATTTATTTAGAATTATTCTAATAGAAAATTAATATATTAAAAATTATTATATTTCATCAATATATATGATATTTAGTTATCCAAATGCCTTATATTCTCAAACTTAAAAACTAAATTAATCATTTAATCTTGTAGAAACTTATTAACTTTTGAAAATAGATGCAGGGAAATAAAAGTTTATTGAAATAACTAAGAAATTAATTTAAATTTTCAAGTTTATGATTAAGGTAATTAAACCTATAGCAGCATTTACTAAGCTATGATTAAGAAAATTAGTTTAAAAATGTTATATAAATAATTTTTAGTTGCAATACAATTANTCATTTACATATCCAGTAAAATACATTTATTCTCTTGCTTCGTCTTCTTCAAAATATTTAGCAGATCATTAAAATAATAATCACACAAAGAAATAGGAAAAGGCATTTATTTAAATTGAATCGAAGAGAGCGCTCACATTATTTTATTCCACTTATATAGTGGTCAATTAAGCTATTATCAATATATTCTTCAATAATTAAATAATAAGCTTCATTTATTAATTTTCATTTTATAGATACTTATTTTATATATTAAACTAATAACAATAACACGCGTGATTTGATTAATAAAAATATTAAAACAGAAAAATATCGAGATGGTACTTATTCTTATATAGCATAGCCATCTGCTTAAACAATGAAATTGAGAAGCCAAAACTATTAAGGAAACATTCATAAATAAGGAAAGGTTCCAAAATCATTGATTGTAATAAAATTGAATATTCATATATTAATAGAAAAAAGAAGAAAACCTCCCAGTGGGTCCAATATTATTAGGAGTGTTCTTGTTTGTAGTGGTTGGATCAGGTATTCATTATTATTTATTAAATCAAAGCCTTGTTTCAAATACTCAATGTAGCTTCAAGTGGATAAGATGTTTGATATATATTTATTTGCTATATCATTGTTTCATTAAAACAATACAGAAATTACAATCTAACGCAGCTATCTATTATCTTTCATATTTTCGTCATCCATTGTTTTTGCCTCTCATTTTCTTAATAAAATTCCACTTACAAATCATTCAATCATGCTTCCAAGATTCTGTGTTAAAATCGACGATTTGAATCAATACATCAATTGATAATTAATTATATCATTGACTTCTATCCTCATACCTGATAAGAAAAAATAAATCTGAGTAAATTGTGATTTTTTGTAATACCAAATTTAATTTAATTAGATAGCGTTTCGTGCTATATTCTTTGGTATTATACATTTTTGAAGGCGTTTTGCATGTGAAATCTAATATATAAGAATTCAGATTAATTTTATGAGAATGAATTTATTTAGAATTATTCTAATAGAAAATTAATATATTAAAAATTATTATATTTCATCAATATATATGATATTTAGTTATCCAAATGCCTTATATTCTCAAACTTAAAAACTAAATTAATCATTTAATCTTGTAGAAACTTATTAACTTTTGAAAATAGATGCAGGGAAATAAAAGTTTATTGAAATAACTAAGAAATTAATTTAAATTTTCAAGTTTATGATTAAGGTAATTAAACCTATAGCAGCATTTACTAAGCTATGATTAAGAAAATTAGTTTAAAAATGTTATATAAATAATTTTTAGTTGCAATACAATTATACACAAATTACTACTATATATAGATTAAGTATAAGAATGGTTACATATGCATTTTACCTGATATTTTATCATGTTAGAAATATATTAGTTAATAAATTAAAATTAGTATTGATCTTATAATTTTAAGATTTGAGTCTGCCTGATAAAATAGATTGAGATTATTGATAGCGTTGAGTATTATTGGTTCTAGAAATGAATGAGAAATTATTATTTATTTATATTTAATGAATAAAGAAAAGGATAACCAAGAACTATTAATAGGAAAGGATTGGGAAGGAAACCAAATTCATATCCATAATAACGATCTTCACAAAGCAGAATATGTTGATGTTTAGGCTATGTTAAATGATACGCTTGATAAATTGGACAAAATAGAGAAGATAGAAATATTTATGACGTTCCTCAACTTTACAACGAAAGCTTTGTGTCTCTATCTTGTCCTGATTTATTATGACACAGTCTTCAAATATGATTCTCTCTTGCTATTCAGTTATCTCCTTTATGCATTGCTTGAATTAGTTGCCTTTGGAGCAGCATTTGCAGTAGTTTTGAGTGCCCGAATTATATCAGCCTTATTGGGAGTGAACGTATTCTATTTAGGTAACACATACGCTATGCTTAGACAGCTTCATTTATTTACCCATTTTGTATTCTGTATTCAAGTTCTGCTTTGTGGTAACATTTCTTGTGTAATCATTAACCGTTGTGATCTTTTCTAAGTTTTCACATTGGATATTCCCCTTAGTTCTAGTATGATTAGAGATAATAATAATGATAGATAGCCTCACTCTTCGTAACTCTCATATTACAAGTTAGTCGATTGATCCTGATGGTTGGAGGGAAGGTTAGTTCCATTTCGAAGTGTTTTGATACCAATTGGATATTTAAGATATTGGCTCCTGAGAATTGGTAGAAGGTATGCTATTTGATCCTATGAATAATGCAGAGTTACCAACTCACAAGGAATATGCTCTATCAATTTTTGAATATCTTCGAAGAACTCAATCCGGAGTACAAGGAATTCATTCAGAAAGGGTACAAGTACTAGAAGTAAGTGATTGAGTTGAAAGAAGACATCTAATGGGCGAAGGATTTCATCAAAAGATCCATAATAGAAAATAACGATGTACCAGGCAATCCTTCTTCAAACAAATAATCTCTTGTCATATAATCATGAATATAAACTAGAAGTATAAGCATTTCATAAAAAGTTTAAAATTATTATCTTTCCCCATATTCATATATTATTATCAGATTAAAAATGAGTTATTTCTCTCTATCTAGCAGATTAACATTCTTATTAATTTAGCTTAAAAGTCAGGCCCTAATTACTTCAGACCAATATTCCCGACTTTGCGACCATGCTGCAAAGGATGATCCACAATTGAAGCAGTTGATTGTTTCCTATGAGAACGGTTTACCATAGAGTGAGTTTATTGCTCAAATGTCAAAAATGCTTGATACTCAAAATGGCAATTAAAACATTATCAAATCTTACTTGTAAGTCTGAATATCATCAATATTAGTGACTCCATAGTCAATATTGGCAAATCACTCAAGAGTAAAATTAAGTAGTTTTATGGAGACATTAAGGTAAATTTAATCTTAATTTAATCTTAGCAAGATATCAACGAAATCTATCAAGAGTGCTTCATAGCACAAAATCATCAGCAGGAAATAAAGAGTCTCATTCGATTAATTCTTAAGCATTTTAACATTAATGAATTTACTTTACTACAATTTATGTAGAATGATCAATGCCACATTCTTACAAATAATTTTGAATCAATTACAATTAAAGAAGTATAACACATTCAATAGTTCGTTCAAACACAATTACATAATTAAATCATCTAGACTTCAAAAGAATTAGTAACATTATTAAAAACAGATAAATTACCTTAATTTTATATAATAACAAATAATGGTATAATTTTTTTTACCTTTACTGAAAATATCAATAGCACTTTTAAATCGTACTTCACGATTGCCTTTCTTTACAACCAAATTATATCAATTATCAAATAAGGATCTCAAATTGTTGCATTAAAAAAACTATAGACTATAAGAATGGAAATCTTATAATTTGTATCAAGAACTATACAGATTTTAAACTACAAACTCCTCTTTAGCATTTTGATTTAAATAATGAAATAGTTTAGTTTGTAAATTTTGGTTAGCCAAAGTGATCTATAGGAATTGTTGCAATAAAATGTAAAGAATTATCTAATGCTAAATTTTGAAAGTGAGTGGGATGGTGTGTTTATTGATTTGGAAGGCAATCTTTCCACTTAGTTGAAGGAAAAAGTATAGAGTACTTTTAGAAAGAGTATCAAACGATATAGTAAGAAATTAAGATAGAAAAAGTATTTATTAGAATCATTCTAATAAGTTACTTAGCATAATGAAATGATTATGTGTTTATTCTTTAACAGTTACTTATTTGTGTATTATATGACTGTTTAATGGAATCATGATTAATTTGTGTACTTAATGCATATAGATATAGGTCTCGATTCAAACTATCCAAAGAAATCAATTTTGGAGATCCACTCTATAAGATCTTTGAAAAAAACCCTATTGTAATAGCAAATGTAAAAGAATTAATTGAATCTAAAAATGATCATTTGGAATTTAATGATGGTTTTTATAAATTTTCTTTGAAAGTCGAAAGAGGAACCAAATTGGAAGTTAAATAAATTTCTGTCTATTTATTCAACATGCAATTGAAAAGGTATTTGATATGCTGATTTATAAGACCACTCTCAGAATTGTTATAAATCTTTCGAAACAAAGTTAAAATATTATTGACACTAAAGAGGGCAACATTGGCATTTAAATCGAAGCAACTTGTGATGGAAAATCAATTCTTTAGATAATCAGCTTTGGTGATGTATTTGCCAGATCAAGATATGAGGAGAATAAATGCGATCTATAACTAAAGTCATGAATAAGCACTAGAAAAATATAGAGCATACACAATGAAGAAGAAATCAAAAAAATTGGAATAGTTTTTAGCTTAATTTGAAGAAGACGACAAGAATAATCCAGATGGTCGAAAAATAGCAATTGATCCTAATTTATAAGAAAGACTATTAGATTACGAGTTCAATCTATTGAACAAGAAATTGTATAAGAATAAGTTTATTATTGTGTATAACATCTTTGATATGCTTGAATACACCAAATAATATACATTAAAAAACAAGGAACTTGTCAATTTTTTAACTGCTCTCAAATACAAGTATAATAAGACAGCAAATCCATTTCATAATTTTACTCATGGAGTCAATGTAATGCATGGATGTTTTCTTTTTGCTCATCATCCAAAATTTGGTTCATGTTTTAATGATTAATAGAGATTTGCTATGACACTAGCAGGTTTATGTCATGATGTGGGACATCCTGGAACAAATAACTTATTTTAAGTGAATGCTTAGACTAAATTGGCTTTGTTATACAATGATAAATCCGTGTTAGAGAATCATCATATAGCAGTCACTTATAAATTGCTGGCTTTGAAATAATGTGATTTTCTGGGATCAATCCCAAGAGCAGACAAAATAATGATCAGAAAATACATTGTGAATAATGTCTTAGCTACAGATAATTAATTCCATTTTAAATTGCTCAATGATATCGAAATTAAATTTGGTCAATCCTTAGGCGATCCAAAAATCTTTAGTATCTTTAGAAGTTATATTAAAATTAGAATCTGATGATAACAAGCTTCTTCTGAGTGGGTTCTTGACTCATGCAGCTGACTTTTTCGGAGCAGCAAAGTCTTATCAAATAGCCAGAGTGTGGAGCGAAAGATTAAGGAGAGAATTTCAGGCCTAAGTAAATTACCGATAATATGATTTTAAAGTCTTAATTAGAAGATATAGTTGGTATCGCTTAGACTCCGTATCTCAGAAATTTAGACAATGAGATTCAGTATGCCAAAAATGAGATTGGATTCTTGAAAGTTATCGTGAAACCAATTTATGAATCCTTGAATCAGTTCTCTGATGGAGCTATGTCATTATAATTGGCTAATATTAATCTAAGCATTAAAAAATATTCAGAAATCGTTGATTCACATTAATAAGAATGAATATGAGTCTATACAGCCTTATAAAATACTAATATCATTATAATTCACTATCTGATAGATCTGAATCATTTCCTGAAAATGCTTCCAATTTTTTATTGATATCTTGCATCAGATCGATGCTTCGATTAAAAGAGTTCCTACATTCCTCAATAGACACTCTGTTTGTTGATTTGTTCTAACTATTGTCCCTCTCTGAACATGGACAACTGACCAAATCTAAATTGTTATCTATCCTATAGTAAAACAATCCTTACTCTTATCTTGTTCATTCATAGCTGCTTATTCCTTTTGTTCCTCTATAAGTTACTGATTTCTAGACTGTAGACACCCCATTAAATAATTAAAATATTATTTAACACTCATTTATTTATCAAATATATGGCCTTGGTTCTATACTCTACAATAATTTTACTATTTATTTACTAAATAATAATAAGTAGTAGCAAAATGTAGTTCATTTAATACCTGGAGTGATATGAATAATGTTGCTCCGATTTCATACATTAGAATTTTGAAACTATTCATAATGTCCTCATCATAGATTTACTTTGATCTAGTTATGGAAATTAGGTTATCAAATTTTGCATCAATTCTATTAAATCCAAATAACATTAATTTAAATGATTCGCATAGACTGATGTATCACAATTACAGAAATCATTAGGTTCTTTAATTAAATATGGTGTATGCTTATGAAATAATCTGATTGAAGAAATTCTATGAACTCATATTTGTAAACTAATACTATAATTTTGTCTTTATAAATTTTGAAATATATAAGTAGTAAATAATGTCCAGATTGGCAATTTTATATTAGGTATTCAACTTCCGATATTGTTTAGGATTTAAAGCTGAGTATGAAAATTATTAAAATAATAAACTATTGGTAATAGACAATTTAATTGTATATTCATAATTTATTCATATGATTTCACACTAATTAAGTTGTAATTTATCTGTTTGACACATTTAGAGATGACTTTTGATTTTGAAATAATGTGTAGGATTATAGACACAATTAAGAGCAAAAATTAAGAAGTATTTTACTTTAATCCACAATCAAAATTAAATACAAAATAACACTAAAATCTTAATAATAAATTTTGATCTTGTATATTTATCTCAATAAATAGTCTTTTGGATCCTTGTTTTTATTGACTTCAATCATAATGAGAGGGATTGTTATTTCTATTTATTTTATATGATGTTGTCTTGCACAGTTAGATAATATTAAAATGTGAAACACATAATTTTAAATCTAATTTAAAAAATCCAAGATTTTTATGAAGGTAACTAAATATGCTTTGCTTAGTTCAACATTTCCTACCCTTTGACAGGCGCTTAAAAAACAGTCGAAATCGATGATGACAAGAAATGGTAATAAATTATTGGTGATTATGTAGCTCCATATTCTTCGATAAGAGAATGGGACAAGTTGTCGAGGCTGACAACCTTGGTGATGAATACAAAGGTTACGTATTCAAGATTACTGGTGGTAACGATAAACAAGGTTTCCCAATGAGACAAGGAGTCCTATTCAAGGGAAGAGTGAGAATCCTCATGAGAAAGGGACACAAGGGCTACAGACCAAGAAAGGATGGAGAGATGAAACGCAAATCAATTAGAGGATGCATTGTGGGTCAAGACATCAGAGTCCTTGCCTTATAAGTCGTTAAAAAGGGTGCCAATGAAATTGTTGGACTCACCGATCAAAACGTCCCAAGAAGATTGGGTCCAAAGAGATTAACCAAATTGAGAAGATTATTCGGATTCAAGAAGGCTGATGGTGTTGCTATAGTTTAAAAGAATCTCATTAGAAGAACTTGGACCACCAAAGATGGAAAGAAGAGATAAAAGGCTCCAAAGATCCAAAGACTCGTCACTGAATCCAGATTGAGAAGAAAGACCATCCAAAAGAAGACAGAATAAGCCAGAAGAACCAAAGCCAAATAAGCTTTAGAAGCATATAAAAAATTGGCTCATGATGTCCATGAAGCTCACAAGAAGCACAGAAAGGCCTCATCTGAAATCAAGGAGAAAGTTAAGGAACAACCTAAAGTATGAAATTCAAGCCAATTCTTAGGCCAAAGACACCAAATAAGTTAAACCAACATAAGCAACTAAACCAACAACATAAGCCAAGGGTGCTGCACCAGCCAAAGTAGCTGCTCCAGTTAAAGCCGCAGCCCCAGTCAAGACAACTGCACCAGCCAAGACTGTACCATAACCAACTCAAAAAGCTCCAACCAAAGCCAAGAAATGAAAATGATATTATAAAATAAAGTACATTACATAAAATAATGATAAAATTAATAAATATCAATTTGAAAATGAAAAGTGAGGAGATTCTGGTTGTTATTTCTACTCTGCAAATTCAAACTTTATCATTTATCTTTATTTTGAGGTCTAGGGTTAATATTTAACTCCTTATGGATTCAATTTATTCAAATTTGTTAACGAGTGGACTTTGGTTGTGTTATTTTATAAGTCTTTAAGGTAACGTTGTTCGACTACTAATGAAAAAGGTGGCATGATTTAAGAAAAATGCGAAAAATTGCGATTAAATCGATAAAAGCTAAGCATCTTTTATTAAAGTACTTAACACTATTATGATTATATATAAAATTTACTTCTTTATATAACTCTAGGATCTGCAATTTGTTCTATTTAGAGTCATATTGGTTTTCAATAAGCGATTTGACATCTTTCATTATAAAAATAGCTATGTCTTGCAAATCGTAATAGATGAATTTCACAGTGTTGGCTAGTAAATAATTGGTTGAGAAGGAGTCTACTTCTTCAATCTATGATTAAATGCTTATTCCTAAAATGCATTAATTCGATAATGTGAAATAAATTAATAATTCGCCATTGATTACGTCTTCATTAATAAATGTTGTTTGGGAAGCCAGCTTATAAAGATAAAAGTAATATTGTTGACAGACTTTCCCTAAAGTAGTATTGTTGATTTGAATATTAATTTGTTTTGATATTAAAATTTTAGATAATTCAGCTCGAGCTACTTGTGAACTTAAAATGAGGTGAAGTAAAAGCAGAAGTTTTAATTTTATTTAGAAGTTCCCTTCCTTTTGAGTCTCTCTTTCAAAGATTTTAAATAAAGACTTTAAGAATTATTTCTAGGGATAATGAATGCATTATAGTACTTTAGTTTGTGCGTTTACAAAGAAGGACTTGAGACGAATAGAAATTTATTGTTGGGATTAGAATTCATAGTTGTTGTCGAATATGTTGAGATCTCTAAGAGCGTCAAGGATAGGTTGAGAATTGTTGACAAATTCTTTAAAATTAGTAATCATAATATTGGATATTTTCAATTTGAATTCCATTTTAATTGAAATTGTTAATAATAAATGAGAACAAATAGTATAGAAAATTCTTGTATGTAAAGAGTGACCACCGCAATAATTTAGTTATAGTATTATAATTATTCAAAATTTATAAACAAATATTAGGAGAGATGAAAGCAGCTTGTGTATTTTACAATTAGAAAAGTAATTATTACTAATACTATTTTAGCGTATCTGGGACCAACCATATTTTTGGTATTGCAGGTAGGTTTACATGTTTGGGCTTACAAAGACTTCCTCATGAATTGCCACATTTTCGGGTTGTTATATTAATGAACTATCAACAATAGACCCTTGATATTTCTTACAAGTGGATTGTATTTCATAGTACGTTTCAAAGATCCTGGAACTATTCCAATAGTTAAAGTAGAGCTTCCACTTGAGAATAATCAAATCGAAGTAAAGATTGAAAATAATGAAAAAAGAGAAGTACTCAATGCTTAGGCAAATGATGAATCTCAAGGTTAGATTTCATTGGATCAATTCAAAGATGGTCCAGACAATGAAATCACAATATAAAAGTAGAATTGTACAGGATTATCTTTTTATAGATATTATCCAGAGTAATAGCAATAACAATAGACAGACAATCAGCAAATCATATCAGGTAGAGGAATGCTGTCATCGCCTTCCTCTGAGTAGGCCAAGATAAATACTCCATAAAAATAAACTTGTATAAGCACATCAAATGCAGTTATGCCTCCAATATTGACAACAGAAAGGAGATTCTGCATGCAATGCTTAAATGAATAACCTATGAGAGCCAAACACTGTTAATATTGCAAGAAATGTGTTCCATTGTTCGATCACCATTGTCCTTGGATTGGCATATGCATAGGCGAAAAGAATAAGCTTCTGTTTCTGATTTACATGTTCGTCCAAATTGCTTAGTTAATAGTGGGTATTCGAATCTCGGTTCAGAATATTGGATTGCTGGTGGTTATGGGGGTTATTGTGCTTTTGCTGACTAGTCTATTGGGATTTCATGCGTTTTATGTAGCCAAGAATATTACAACATGTAAAGTGATCAATAATCTCAGGGGAATACTTGAGTTGGAAAAGGATTTCGTATATCAATTAGAATTCAAGATATCCATTTGACAAAGGTGTGATCAATAATGTTAGGTTGCTTCTCCAAATCTCATGCGAAAAACAGATTTACGATTGGTAAATATAATCTTAATGAGTACTTTGATTTTAAAATAAATTCAAATTTATTTATATTAAGATTTTTATCATATATTTTCAAACCATCTTTTGAAAATGCAATCTCTCTTTGTCAAGTGTTAAAAATGTTAACAAAGACCTGCTACCATTAAGTGTAATCAATGTAGATATGGTCAAACTTACAGATTATGCTATTCATGCGATTCTTAAATTCATAATCGAACAGGCCCTGTAGATCAGCAACATAAAACTGAAATCATCCCATATCAAGGTATTGATTAGCATTAACTCGACTCTAGAAATGTACTAGAAAAATTAGAGTAGTGTTCCTGTTCCCTAAAAAAATGATTAAAGAAATTCATTCAAAAAAAATGATTACAAACCTTAACCTCAAGTTCCAACCAAGGACTTTCTAAACAATGAGTACAAGAAGCCTGATTATTCCAAAACCATCGATATTAACAGGGTCAGCAACAAACATGATTATTTGGATAAGAAAATCGATAGTCATGAGAAAAGGGCTGATCAACAGTATCTCTCCAATGACAAAAGACCTTACTCTTCCAATTAGAAAATCACATCCGATAATGACCGAAATAGTCAGCAATTAATTAGTTAGTTAAAAGAGGAATAATAACAAACAGAAAAACTTAAGGCTGAATTGTCATAGGCTAATTAGAAAGAAAGGGAAGCATAACGAAGATTGTAATTAATCATTGTATTCTTAGATAAAAATTAGAATAGGAATTTGAACAAAAAATTAGAGAGGATAAATAAAGAATTCAATAATTAACAGAAGAAAATAGAAATTTGAATAATAAATTAAATTAAACCAACAAGCACATTTAAGAGGAAGTAAATAAAGTCAGAAATCAATATGAAGAATAAATTAATGAATTAGAACAGATTCTTAATGAAAAGAATTAGCAATTAGAAAGCATCGCTCAAGAATATAATTTGGTAACAATTTGTTTAAATTTATTAGGAAGAATTATAACAAACTCTTAATGAATTACAATAAGAGTCCCAAATGAAAGATTAAATTATTGAGTAATTACAATAAAACTTACATGACAATTAAGAGGAACTCCAATAAATGAGAGAAGAGTTGATGAATAATTCTAAGAAGAATTTGTAATCCTCAAATAAAAAATCGGTGAAGAGTAATGATAACCAAAAAGATGAGTATATCTAGGAATTAGCTTAATAATTAGAAGCTAAAGATGAGGAGATTCACAAATTAGAGGGTATATTGTAATAATTATTCAGATTTAATCGAAAATTTCAAGTAATTATACTAGCACATGAGTGATGAAAAATAACAGTTATAAGAAGAAGTAGAAAAGTTGGCAAATGAAAATAATTAATTTAGAGATATATTCAGTGTATGAAATAATGTTTATTGACAAATAGCAAAATTTACATCTTTTTGGAATTGACCCAGAATAATTAAATGAAGAAGGAGAGGAAGAAGAAAACGACTATCCAGAAGAGATTGCTGAAGAAAATGATGATCAAAACGATTGATTTTTTATATCAAATAATAAGAAATTAATTTGGAATTAAATTCTTTTAATCTTTATATTTCTATTCAATCTAAATTCATTTTTAAGATAGAACTCAAATGAATTAAAATGGATCCTTTTCTGTCCTATCCTAATTAATACTTTTTTGAATGCTTAGAATTATAAATTAATTATAAATATAAATACATGTAATAATATTTTATTGATAAAGACAAATCAATTTGGATTTTACTTGCATAGCATGTTAAGGATCAATAAGCTTTTAATAAGGAAATAGGGTTGAATGAGAATTGCATTTACGCTTTAGTTAATCCAGAATATGTAAGCTATGATGATTATTCTAGCTTGTTTCATTGTAGGCATGTCTAATTGCGATTTATAGGATGCTTAAGAAAAAAGAATATAATGTTTCATCGTAATTCCAAAGAGATCTGCATTATTTGTTAACACCAGAATGTTAAAGAAATGATATTAGATTTGGGATTACAAATATTTTGACTTAGAAGATGTTGTGCATATTCCTCACACCAGTAAGTGAAGAACAATTGAACAGCTTTGAGTTAGACGAGTTGACCAACTTATATCAATATTGCAATATTCCTCAGATGATCAAGTATTATAAAATAAGCGATGAAGAATTGAAAGTTGATAAGGATGTGAGAGGAGCTGTTTATAATTCCATTGCACTTAAAAAGTTTAAGTGAATAATATATAAATATTTTATAAAATAAATTTTAATGGATAATGGTCCATGGTATTCTAAATAGGAGGGCAGTCCACTCAAATTGTCTAGAAATGCCTCAATAACATCTCCCAGAAGAATGGATAATTCTGAACTGAAACTGGTGAGAGAATACAATAGTCAGGTTTCGATCCCTGAACATTAAATACTGTCCTTTGATCACTTGTTAGATGAAATCAATTTTGGAAAGTTCTAATACTGGATATACGGTATTATGGCCTTGATGAGTATTAGTGAAGGAGCTTAGATTACCATATTTACATTAATGGTCCCCATATTAAAAAATGAGTGGCACATTTCTGATTCATTAAATTCGTTATAAGCAAGTTTTGTTTTTGTAATAGTGTCATCTTAATTCAGGTAGGATATTTAGTAGGTTCAATGTTGTCAGGACAATTGGCTGATAGAGTTGGTAGAAAGAAACCATTTCTAATTAGTTCATTTTTTACCTGTCTATTATCCTTAGGAACCATAGCTTGTTAAGAAATTTATTCACTTTTGATAGTCAGAGCATTGCTTGGAATTCTGGGTATTAGATAATGAATTAATATATATAGTTGGTCTCTTTGCACCCTGTGGAGTTACTATGATATCTGAGATTACTCCTGGTCATTTAAGAGGCAGATACATGGGTTTAATAACTTTGACATTTGCCATAGGTCAACTATTTGGGCTGCTTGTTGCTGAATTCACATTAATATCGTTGGATGAAGGCAATTGGAGATTGCTGACTTTTTGGTGTTGTCTACCAGGATTTTTAGCTTGGTTTATTAGTTTATTTCGTTTGAGGGAGAGTCCTAGGTTTGCGTTGTTAAGTGGATAGAAGAACCTAGCCTATAACATTATTGAAGAGATGATTTAATCAAACAAATCTTCGATTCAATTTAATGATGAAATGAAGATCAAATTATCTAATTGGACTCATGCAATGAATAGAATTGCCAAAAATTAAAAAAATGTAATTCATCTTTTTATGTTGAGGCTTCAATCACGTCACTTTTTGAGAATAATAGATTCTTCCTGACAATTTTAATTTGGTTTAATTGGTTTATACTTTCATTTGTATATTATGGAATTGTACTTTTATTACCAGATATATTGTCGCACATCGAATAAACTCAGACTGGAAGAGATAAGATAATTTAATTAGTAGTGTCCTGCATTAGTGACATTTTGGGTGCCGTAGCAGCTGCTTTCTTTATTGAATTAAAAGGATTTGGAAGAAAAAACTCTTTAATAATATTCTTTACTATACAAGCCTTAACAGCACTTATGGGATTTTATGATATTGAACATCGTTTTATATATTGGGCAACAGCATCTAAGTTTTTTTTATCTATGACTTTCATCTTTTCGTATCAAAACTTAATTTTATTTAGATTTTAATATACGGCTGAAGTATACCCAACCAAAATAAGGACCACTGGAATAGGAATGGCCAATGGAATAGGAAGACTAGGAGGAGTGATCATGCCATGGATATGCATGTATATGAATAGCAAGCAACTGAGAAGTCCATTTGTATTATTTTCTGTTCTCTCTGTTATTACGTCATTTTCAAATTGTTTCTTGCCATTTGAGACACTGGGGAAAGAATTGGAATGACTAATTAAGATATAAATATTATTAAATATGGAAATCACAGAAGAGTAACTCATTCAAGAAGCACTTAAAGCCAAAGAAAGGGCATATTGTCCATATTCAAACTTTAGAGTGGGATGCTCTTTATTGACAAAAAACAACAAAATATATACAGGATGCAATGTCGAAAATGCTAGTTATGGTCTATGTGTTTGTGCTGAGCGTGTAGCGATATGCAAAGCTGTAAGCGAGGGGGATCGTCAAATTTCAACCATTGTAGTATCATGGTACATATCTAAAATAAACATTAGTGACACTGATGAGCCTACATTCCCTTGTGGTATGTGCAGACAAACAATCATAGAAGTAAATACAAACCTCTAAATAATAGTTTTGTTATGCTGGCAATGATATTAAAGTTATTGCCATAGGAAAGGATCACACAAAACCTAAGTATTCTAAAGGCTCCGAAGTTATACCATATGCTTTTGTTCCTAAAGATCTTAATGTCGATCCTTAATTGGAAAAAAAATGACAATAAAATATTTATAAGAAACAATCACACCCATTCCCTAAATCCCGTTTGCATCTTTTGAATTATTTAATTTAATTTATAATGTTAATCTTTTTGCATCTATTATGATCAATTATCAATTTTTACTCCTTATAATAAAGGTAACTATCACAAATTACACTTCAACGCTACTATCATCTAGTCAAGCAAAGAATCTCATAATATATTTTTATATAATTTCATCTCGATTGCAATTTTGAAGGAATAATTTGTTTGCCCAATTATAGGTATTACTTATTAACCTCCAAAAAACAATATTTAATTAATAAAAAAGTTCATGGCTTTTGTGAGCATTACGAATATTGTAGTTGATGACAAACCTCAACCCTTCACAAGCCCAATAACTATGGATATTTACTTTGATGTGATAGCTGACATTGAGGATGAAATAGAATGGACGTATTAAATAATTTATTAATCTTAGTCTTCTTTATATAGGGTCTCCAAAAGATGAAGCTCATGATTAAATATTGGACTAATTCTCTATGGGCCCCTTGACTAAGGGAACCAAGCAATTTACTCTTGAATCGAATCCACCTGATTGGAAAAAAATTCCTCAAGATGAATTATTGGGTATTACTGCATTCATCTTGACTTGTTCATACAGACAAAGAGAATTTTTCAGAGTCGGATATTATGTCTATAACACCTACACATCCCCTGAAAACATCGAAAACGACCCCTAAGAAGTCATCATCGAAGATATTGCTAGATAAATCTTCAATAATAAACCCCGTATAACTCGATTTGAAATCGATTGGAATAACCCTGCTAATTCTGAGGTTCAACAGCAACCAATTTAAACAAAGGCATACATGTTTTAAGAATAATAAGAGAAATAATCAGCTGATGCAACAGAAGTTTATGATGCTCCTCATTAGATTCAAAATGTATTTGACTCTTGATCATATTTTAATTAAAAACTTATTAAATATTTAATTTATTTTTTTACATATAAAATATTTCACTGCAATAATTCAAATTCTAATCAAAAAAATAAATTAGAATATGACAGACCTACATTCTAAAATAGTAAATTGATATAAATTAGGTGATTGATAATGACATGCTAAATTTGATTTGAATCTCCATTAAACTAAAAATTAAAGAGAAAATAGATAATTTAAATTTATTGTTACTTAACTGCCTCACACATTCAATCAAGATGAGACTCATAATATTGATGGATTCAAAGATAATCAGTAATTTAATTTCATAAAGAAAAGGAATACTCAAACAAAAGTGTTCCTCTAACATTATTGTATTTTTATTCCTCAATCCTAGTTGCAATTAAAAGAGTTATTTATTATTATTTAAATCAAAAATTGGTAATATTCCTACTACCTTCTCAAAAATGAACTAGCCTGTCATTTATTAATGAATTTGCAATAGAGTTTCTTCTATTGATTCTTCCAGTTCTTGAATCCAAACACTTAATTGATTCTTTATATTTTAGAATATTTGATAATTTCTGATTCGAATTCCATTTAATATTCAACTTAGGAATCCTCCCCTTTAATACTTTCACCAAATATTTTGAAATCAATATTAAGAATAGAATTGAATCTTAAGTACATGTTTAACAACATTTTATTCATGAACTATTAACAGACACTAACATTAACTTAGTATAAATGCTCAGAGTTCCTCCTTTAATCTATTCTATATGAATTTTAATCCTTATTGATAATAAATTAAAAATTCCTATAGAAATTAAAATTAATTCATTCATTTTTCTTACCTATTTATATTTATTTTTACTAATGTCGGAAGAATAAACATAAGAATAAACACAAACAATTTAAGAAGTACAATAGGAGCAATCACAATAGCCTTAAATTGAAGAACAGAATAAATAAGTTAAGGAAGATATTCAATAAAAAGAAGACAATCAAGAAAAGTAGGAAAAGCAGGAATAAGCTGTTTAGTAAATCAAATAAGAGATAGAAGCCAAGAATGATAATTAATAATAACAAGAAGCTACTTAATAAGCAGAAACCATCACTTAAAAGGAACCTGAATAAGAAATTGCTTAAGATGAAAAAAAAGTTGAAGGCGATTAAGCAAAAGAGCAGGAGGATAGATAATAGTTAGCTGAAAAAAATCCAGAAACAATGTCATCAAATTTGGAGAATTTATTCTTAAAAGCAGATTATAGTTTTCCAGTATTTTAGTATTCTATATTTTAGATTGAAATAAAAGTGGGTGATCCTGTTTAGAAGAGTGGAGGTATTTCAAACTATGTAGTTTACACTATAAAGGGAAAAGATTGCTTTGGAGAATTCGAAGCACAAAGAAGATTCAATGAATTCTACACAATCAGAGAACTACTCTTAGCCAAATGGCCTGGATAATATATACCTCCAATCCCTGAGAAATCCGTAAGTACAGGAACAGAGATCATTATTGAAAGGACAAGATTGCTTAACATATTTTGTATGAAGATGATGTAGATTAAACACCTCTATTATTCCGAAGAATTTTATGATATCTTTTTAAGGTCAACAAGTCCTGATATAAACAAGGTAATTTATTCGTACTATCTTAAATAGCAAATAAGTTAGATTCCCAAATAAAATGTGTTTGCTTACACTGAGAGATATAAGCAAGCATTTTAGATCACAGAAATAAAGGAAATCTCTCCTGAAATGATTAAGAAAATGAGTGGAGTTTAAATCTTTTTAAAATAATCGTCAACATCTTTGGCCAAATTGTTAGAACAAGCTAAATCCTTAAGTTCGAGTAGAAAATAATTGAAGGAAACATTTTTCACAATCTTTGGACTTAACTTTGCTGAATATGAGAAATAAATTTTTCAGGAATGGGTACCTCAAAATAAATTGATATTTTCTAATCCTGCCAATGATTTTCTAGAACTTGCTAAAAAGATTGTATTATTAATATGCTAATATAGAGAGATCCTAATAACAATTCTCTTGACAAAATATAGGATTTAATTTCAACAGAGCAAAGAGACATTGATGCATTTATTTAGGCATTCCAAACTAGAGATTCCTTAATGCAATCAAAATAAAAGGCAGAATAGAAGTTAAGTGAAGAATAATCAGATTTATACAAAATTATGAAGGGCAATTCTACTATGAAAGGTTCCTTTAGTAAAATAAGTCTAGAGGAATAAAAGTAAAAATTAGAACTTCAATTAAATGAGGTAATTAATATTCATATTATTTAGACTCAAAAAGAAGTAGATTAATATAAGTTGTTATTCTAATTGGTTACTGATGTTTTGACTTCCTATACTATTGATAAGTTTAAAAAGGACAAGCATTAGACATATAAATCTATTTTGGCTGATTTAGCCTAATGTGAATAGCAACAGTTAGAGATCCAATAGTAGTTTTGGTCAAAAGTGTAATAAGTTATAACGTAAAGTTAAGAACCTTGAATATTATTTTCATAAAAAGAAATGTGTAATTTATACAAATCATTAAGACTTCTATTTACCAACTGTCTTCTTCTCTTAAATTTAGAGTAATTCTTTCTGTACTCTTAAACAGAACAATGACGATAGCAGATATACAACTCCAGGTCCACATGAAATGATATTGTGTTTACTTGTCAAACTTAATGTTATTTGGAGCATTGATTCCAAAACATGAATTTTTACTTAGAATGGACTCAAAGTAGTGCCATTCTTATTTTTAAACATCTAAAATAAATGATAAATAAAAGCTAAGCTCTATGCATATTGAGTTGCCTAACATAAAAATCCAATTGATTCCTCCGTCATCTATTACACAAAATATGAATATTGGACCAAGATTGTGAATTAATAAACAACTTAAGCAAACTATTTTTCATAAAGCAATGCTGCAATTTGAAATATGATTCCAATTATCAAATGGCCTAATATAAACTCATTAGAGGAATATTTAATCTTCTTAAATACTATATAGAAGGACAATATAAGACAAGTCTTTAATATCATTGTAGGTCCTACAGGGATAAATTGTTAAAAATACCTATTTGATTGAAAAAGGAGGATTCTTTTTTGTAAGTTCGGAAACCGAAATAGCAGTAATGTACAAGTTAGAATGCCAAAACAAGTTGAATGTCTAAGAATTGTTGCTTATCTTCTGATGGAAAGTCCTGTAATATGGATGGCTAAGGTTCCATTTAATTTTTATAACTATCTAAATTAATATTATAATAGTAATTCCAAATATTTTTATTTTTATATTGACTAATTATATTGGTAAATTGTAGGGTTGTATTTCTTAACAATAATAATTAATTTTGAGATTTAATTGGTATAAAGTGAGTCTATCTATTTCAGCTTTTGGGTTTTACAAGATAAAAATAGTATTGGTCCTTTTTATTAATAATTTGAATTGCCATTAATAAAAATCAATATATTTTAAAGAATTAGACTTTTATTAACACATTATAATTAAAATATTACTGAACCCTTCGTTCTGATTATTCTCTATAAAATCATTAGATTCTAGATTTAGCATAGACAATGTTCTCACACAAGCAACTCATTTTTGTCTAAACATTTTTGCCATCCTAATAATTATATGATTTACAAAGGATGATGAGCATGTGATACATGAATAACACAAATTTTACCATCCTAAGTTGGAGGGGAGTATGAGTATAAAGATATTTGTAAGGAGGGGGAAATTAATAATAAAATCATTTGTGTTTTCCACTAATTATATTGAAAAGATTTCTTTAACAAGACACTGATCTATAAAAAGTGTTGTAGTCATGTTCAAAGGGAATGACTTTTTCTTTTTTTACTAGAGGCACAGTCTTGATTCTACTTTTACAAACAATTGGACTGTAGGTTCCAATTCTCAAATCTGCGTAATTCTTTATGTTCTATTCTGTAATGACCACTCTTTGGGAAGGGTAACTTTAGACTTCCTAAATTTTAAATTCGTAAAATGCAACCAAAGAAGGTTGAATTTTTTTTCGATGGTATTATAAAAACATTAAAAAAATGAATGAAAATTTGATGGGATTTGCAATTCATTAAGTAAGAATTTCAACTCATATAATATTAGTGATATTTAATACTCAATTTTCTTCACTTTGCTTTCCCAAAATTTCATTAATTCTATTTTGGAGTATCCTTTTCTCCTAAATAGATTCTGCTAATTCGCTATTAACTTTTTCATATTCTTATTATATCATTTGATATTGCTATTCCGATAGGAGATGATTAGTACTTTCATGAGAATTGCATACTTCTTTTTTAATTCCTTGTACTTAGTTTCATTATATGAATCCATCGATTTAACAAATATTAATTTTATTAATTATTATGTTTACGAGTGAAAGTGTGCAAGAACATATACTTTATGATAAAATATATCAATATCTTTGGGTTAAGTCTGAGACATCGAGTCCACCTTCTGTGTTGATACCTGACACTGTGATTTTGATAAGGTCGATGCCAATATATTGGTATTTTACAGATAAGGAGACTGGAGAGGTGAAAAAAAAGATGAGGAAAAACGTTACGAAAGAAAATATAAAAGAAACCTGGTTGAATTAGGTTGGGAGATCTGGAGTAGTAGGATATCTGCTGCATTTTATGTATAAATAGCATACCTTACATTATCAAGTGAGAATTTAGACTTGAATTATCCTCCTGAGAAGCTCAAAATAAGTGGCTAAATTTAGATTGTGTATTTCGATGAAAAAGGGTTCGAAAACTTTATGAATTCAAATTTGGAGCTTCCCTTTGGAATACTCTAACGATACGTTGAGGCAGCAGATGACAAAAATTGTATTCATCTCATTAAAATCAGCATAAATATAGGCATTTTGGAGTAAGTCAGTTACGCTCTTCACCAAGAGAGTGACAAAGAAAAGTTATTTGAACAAGTCAATGAATATATATGAGAGGCTTTGTACATTCGAAGGGCCTGAATATTTGAGTGAAGCAAGTACGATATTATGATAATATTTACAAATTAGCTTAAGTGAAGGATTTCTAATCTTAACGAATATCTGAATAGATTGAAAAGATGATTAATCATTTGGATGCCATATCATTTGGAAAATTGAATATAAGTTAAGGAACTTTTTATTTTAAGGTTGACAAATAAGCTAAATGTTGGTTCCTATTTTGTGGAAGTCTAAAATTCGATGACGATAAACATTTTAAGAATTATCCAAAAGATTTATACACACAATCATAAATTTAAATACCAAAATCAGTGGATGGAATTATGTCAGTGTATAGTCAAAGACCATTGCAATTGAACAAGGAATCTAAATGCATTAAGTGTGGGAACATTGACAAAGAGAACAATTTCATTGATATTCCATACCATTATATTTTAGATTAAAATGAAGAAAGCCTGCCTGCTGATGAATGGCCAAATGAAATTAAGAAAGAGGCCAAAACAGTAAAAGTGGCAGGGGCTAATGCTGGAACCCAAGCATTATTAAATACAATAACGTAGGTTCCCTTGGTATTTTAGAAGATTCACGAAAAGTTAAATTACACAAACTTCGATTAATTTAAAAATTCTGATGGATTTTTGCATAAGAAATTATAAGTCTGTTTAGATTGCTACATAGTATTAGGTATATTAATCTAATAATTTAAGTTGCTCATCAAGAGAAAGTGTAAAAGGGTTGTGTAATTAACAAAATCAGTTAAAATATTCGAATTCGTAAGTCAACAGGAGGATTTACAAATGCTAAGCAATTAAAGGCATATTTAAGATCACAATAGAAAGAATAACAGAAGAAAATAAGTTAGGTGAAAACAACAGAAAGCAATACAAGCAAAGGAACATAAAAAATAAGACCAATTTAACAATATATCAATATGAGATTACAAAGTTTAAGTCCTTAATAAAAATACTCAATCGAAGTGCCTTCTACTGCAGATTACTTATCATTTAAAACGAAATCATCTAACTACGACAGTAATTTGAAAATAAGAAATTTATATAACTTGTCTCTTTAAGCAAAATTGAATTCTTGAGATTATATATTTTTGCCTCTATTTCATACATTTTTTAGCTTCTAAAATAAGAATTTTATGTTGATAGTTTTAATCTTAGATTAATTATTTTCTAGAGGGTTTAGAACATTTAAAATAATTTCTTAGAGTCAAAAATATTACTGATAAATCTTTAATATTTATTTTAATATTCAAATATATATTATTGTTCATTTTTTAACAGCTCTTGTTTTTTAAACCTTTTGTTAAAATTAGACACTATTATAAGAATCTTCTTATGCTTAAAAGTCTTCATCATCTTCATCTGAATCCATCTATGACAAAGTGAGTTTATGATCATTTCCATTTTAACTGCCATCCTCACTGTCATCCTTGCCATTTTTGATTCCATCATTTTCTTCTTGTATCTTTTTCACTTGTAATTTCTTGGAATTAAAGTACTGTGATAGGTTATCCAACTCTTCTCTATCTACTGTAGAGAATAAGTGAGACGCATTCTTGGTTACAACTTTTATATCAAAGAATTTATTCTGTGTTGTCTGTGTGATCTAAAAGAAATTATGCATATAATTACTCTCTGAAAGATAATCTCCTTTATATCATCATGTTTAATGTAGATTACTGGTTTCTAAATATATAGCAGGGATTTCTCTAATGGGAAGAGGAATCCTGAATGAGGTACGACTGAACATCTCAGACAAAATAAACCATTCTTGCATTTGAAATTCTTAGGTGATACTACTTTGATTCCTGTGATTTCTGAGAGAATATCACATACTATATCAAACATGGAGCCCGAGTATTCTAATCGAATGCCTTTCCATCCAACATTGTCTAATTGCTCTCTTGTGTATTTCATCTCAATTTAAGCTTCCAAGTCTTTCCTAAACTGCATCACAATATAATTATAGGCTGTTTGACCTTGCTTAATGGGATTTTCAAGACCAACCACTAATGAGAGATTGACTTCATCTGGCATTGGAAGCAAAAAGAATCTAGTTATACTCTTATAATCAGTAGTGAATTGATAGGTGTTGCCATGAAAGCGAATGTCTTTTTTAAAGAAATCCATTGTATATTTTCCTCTGGGAACTATTAATGGGACTTCGTGAATGGTAAGTATGGAATCGCTGCTACCTCCAATTTTTGCTTTTTTCACAATGTGATTCTAAACCTGTTATAAGTATGAGATTTCATCTTATTCTTCTTCATTTGATTCTTATTTCTTTTTTTCAGCTTTCTAGTATTTTAATATTATAAACATACTTGTTCTTTCGGAGGAATATAAAATCTGACTTCGCACAACATGTCTTCACTAAGAAAGTATAGAATGAAATTTCATACTTCTCTGCACATTCATCAGTACTTAATTGCAATACGATGTCATTCTTTTGAATATTGGAATTTGTAATTTTCTTGAGAGGGAATTTAATGACATTTTGAGAGAGATGAGATAAACTCAAATTCTTCTCATCTATATTGACTCTCCCCCAATTAGTTCCTTTGAGTGATTAATCTGCCATGAATATTTATTTATTGAACCTTGTAAGTTTTGGTTTTTGATATTGTGTAAGTATTCTAATATTTGGCAAATAATATTTATAATTTTGAATTCCAAATTATAATTGATATCAAAATCAATAACTGTTGGATTATCTAAAATATGAGGTATTATTGATTGGAGAAGATACTGAAGATAAATGAATACTTAACATTTGATTACTAAAATAATTATAGAAGAGAGGGGGATACTAAATGGATACAAAAATATCATGCAAAGAATTACAATTGAATTATAATAGAGCTAGTACTAATAGAGAGGAGAGTCAGAAATTGAAAAACGATAAGATATCAAAATGAATATTGATCAAGATTAATCTTCAGTAATTTCATCGACTTCTTTAATTCCTAATTCGTTAAGCATCCTATTAACTTGGGATCCTCTCTTTTTTGAACCTTGTTGTTCCTGTTGAATATTCTGCTTTTGTGTTTACAATTACCATTCACTTGGAGTAATTTCTTAATTTTAATCCAAAATAGTTCCTAATTAGAAGATTAGTTTATTATTTGAATTATACAGTTCTTCCTTCATCTCTAAGCTGCTTTGAATATTGCATATGTCTCCAAAGGGGTCTTGATGGATTGTTTTATCTATGGGGTTATTTCAAATTACAGATACTTGATGAACCACAAAACTGAAGGCCGCAACTTTTATCAAGTATTTCTTGTCTGGATCCCAATTTACTCATAAATGCATTGCTACTTCCAACTGAGTTCATTAATTGGATTTAACCACATTTTTCAGTGTGTCTTTGGATGATGTGAATATTCCCAAAGTCCTATACTAAATCATTAATATTAATATTTTCATTTTCATTAACGCTGTTTTATAACTTTTTGATGACATTGCCCCACTGCTCATTCATTTTTAAACTATTCTGCAATGATTTACACCTTTCACAATTATCCCGTTCTATATTATCTTTACTCAATAAAGCCATAACATCGCGAATGGTTCCAATTTCAAAGAAAGGATGTCGAATAGCTTCCTCTGCAGTTATTCTACATTCTGATCTTGGATTGAGCATTGACAATATTAAATTCGATAATGGCAACTCAAGATTGGTTAAAGATTCTTTGAATGTCCATTTATCTGGACTGCCTAATAAATTAATAAAATCTGATAATTCATTGGAATGTAAAGGTAATTTTTGAAAAGTACATTAATATATGATGACTCCTACGGCCCAAACGTCAACTTCTTTTGAGTAACTGCTCCTGTGAAATATTTCGGGGGCACAGTAAAAAATGTTGCCTGTTTTTGTCAGCATGTCAATTTCTTGTCCTTTGGATACAAATCTACGGGAGACTCCAAAATCCACCAGTTTGACATGGGGTGGATTGCTGTTCTCCTACAAATTGACAAGTATATTGTCGGGTTTAAGATCTCGATGACAAATGCCTTTGGAGTGAGAATGCTAGACTGCAAGCAACAATTATTTTATAACCACTTTTAACTCATCTGTCGTCAATACACGCTTCTTGATTACAGTCTCCAAACTGGGAAAATTGCAGTACTCCATAACTAAAAAGGAGGTTTCGCTTTTCTCATTGATATACAATTCAATATCCTGAGCAATGTTTGAATGCTTTAGGCATCGAGTATTGTTGAATGTCCTCCTCACATTGTTTTAAATCTCCTGATCTCCAGAACGCACTATCTTCACAGCATAAATCTCGTCTGTTCCTTTTTTCCTTGCTGTCTTTACTACTGCGTGAGCCCCTTAGCCTACACTCATCATAACTTCAATCCCATACCTATAGTCTACAGACATTCATAATGATCTTCAAATCTTTTGGTTTCAATAGGTTCAAATGTATTCGAATTAGATTAATCATCACTAAATTGGATTTATGTTTTGAGTCGATTCGCCATTAAAATAATTAACTGAATGCTTCGATAAGTAAGTGGCAGTGCCATAACCGTAGATCCCATTAAAAAAAGCAAGTCCTCTTGTTCCACACCCAGTAAAGAATTGCAAATTGATCAAATCATTCACAAATATATTGGCATGGACAGAACTGCTGACACATTCACCTCTTCCATCACCACCATGTTCCATAACACTCTTCCCGAAGAGAAACAGCTCCTTGTCTCTCCATACAAGAAGTTGACTGAAAGGGATTGCGAAAAATATTTGACAACCTTTCAAAGACTCTCCGATCGAAAATCTGATAATTTAGAAAGTCCTCATTAAGATGAAGAATTTCATCATCTCAAAACTTCCAGCGATTATGGTTCCTCCCATAATTCATTGCATGAACTTGCACAAAATCTAGAATAGGTTTTTGATTCCCCAGAAGGCACCAACAATATACATACAGACAAAAGTCCTGAATTTTATAATCCAGAAACCAAACTCAAATCTCTACCAAAAGAACTACCTATCATCGAGGAAAATGAAGAAATCCTCAACACACATCAAAGATTAAATGGACTCATCACCCAAATAGATTAGAAAATTGGTCTTCATCAAGTCAATTAACAAGTCATTGAAAAAATTAAAGAAAAATACCTACCCAGAAAAGAAGAACTCTTGGAATTCCAAGATTTCCCTGAATTCAACCCATCCGATTGGCCCAAAGACGAAGACTTAGACAATCTTAAAATTGAATAGCCTAAACAACAATCCCCCAAATAAATTGTTGTTAAAGAATTCAGAGTTCAAGCTATTAGAAATATCACCTTCAATTCTAATGAATTTAACGATTTCATTTAAGAGTAGTTTCAAACAGAAGAATAAGAAAAAAAAGATTATTCTACCGAATAATAAATAAAAAATGATAGTCATGCAGAATAACAAATAACTAAAGATAATCAAAATGTTTTTCTACAAAGAAAGAGTTAAATTCTTATTGCAAAAAACTCCAAATTCAAATTACCTGAATTAAAAGATCATCAAATAAGATTAGTATCAAAAGTAATAATAATTGTATTGATATTGACACTGTTATCACAATTATTTACTTTAATATTATGACAATGTATATATAAATAAACTTTCATCTTTCAAGCCTGAAATATGTACATTAATGTAAATTCAATAATTTATTGTTATTCATATTGAAATTTCTTTTTTCATTTTTTTTTTTTTTCAATACTCTTTTTTTTTAAGATAATTACATACAAACTAGAAATATAAAACCAATTAGAAATCATCTCATACATTCTCCTTTAAAATAATCTATGATTATAAAATTATTTGATCTTATGAATTCAATCAAATTCTAAATTATCTAAATGATAGATTATTAACTAAATAATTTGGATAATAAAATTGTTGTTGAAACAGTTTGTAGAATTAAAATTACAAATGCAACCAAAATCTAGACATTATTTTTTAGGATAATTATAATACTATTTATCATTCTATATGTCTTTAAACTTATTAAAATTAATAAAAGTTTTGATAAATTTTATATTCAATAAATTCAACACTGTTATAGAATCCAAGTGATTTTATGTTGATTTAAGTTAAATCATCTCAAGAATATTCTAAGACTTAAACTTTTAAATTCTTATTTGTCTTCCAAAATAATATATATATTCTCATTTATATTGTATAAATAGTAAAATAAATTATTCTAAAATTCTTTTGCATCTGTTATATTGATTCATTTGTTAAAGGAATATTTTAAAGTTCCCTTCAAAGTATTAAAATTAATTGTACTCAATATCTAAAACAAAGTAGAGTGAGAAAAATGTATTAACTTTGGTAGTTGAAAATTATTGTATAATACTTCATTAAAAAATAAAAATTATTTATGAATTGATTTATATATTAGTATCCAGTTTTTGATACAAATAGAAAATTAGGATCGACTTGAATTCTCCAATTACCTATACGGATGCTTAAAAACAGATTTCGATAATATTACAACAATTTGGATACTTAATTTAAAAACGACTTAAATTGATTTTCTCCAATTCATATATTCACTGTTTGTAAAGACTGGCATAATCAGATATGGAAAAAGAATTCGAAATAGACAAAGAAGAGATTGAAAATATAGAATCATACAACATTAGAATTACAATTCTTTATATATATAAGATATGAATAAGAAATTCCAGAATAATATTGGATAAGCTCGAAAATTACTAAATCCTTTTTAGAAGAGCCTAATTTGAAATTATCTCATAGTCTCAACCCTCTCAAGCTATAAGTATGAAGAGAATTTTCCACTTCTTAGAAAATAAAAGCATTGAAGATTTTAGTATTCCTCAAAAATCCATAAAATCAAATGGAGATCATAATCACTAATACTTGCGTGTTGATAACTATTTAATATTATGTTTTAATATCATTATTCCTTTATTTTTTTCTATGCTATCTCTGTTCTGTCAAATGATTCATAATAATCATGTATTAAGCTAAATATTCTTAAATTTGCTAAGGTGACAAAAAATGCACCAGCATAAAGGTAAAGATTTCTCTCGTCTCTGTATAAATCCTCTTTGTCTTCAATGTACTCCAATGTGGTTTTATCCAAATGCATGTCAATATGTTCAAGTTGCTTTTGCACTTGATCAAAATTATAAATCCATAAAAGGCAAATTCCAAAGCTGATGATGCCATAGGTAAATTTCAAATAACCATACAATGGCTATTATCTTAACACTTTTGACAATGCCTGGTATAAACGTAAATCATTACTTTTTATGCTGGATTGAAGGCTTTGAACAGGAATCCAATTGCTGTAAATCCATAAATTATAGACACGGCAATAAAGTATGAATATATGAATTTATTTATAAACATTATATTAATGAATACAATAATATCAAATATTTTAGATTAATACAATAAGCATTCCTATTAGTTAAATGTTGTTGGTACTCTGATAACTTTGCAAAACAAGAATGAAATGAAAATATAATATTTGATTCATAACTCTCTAGAAAATAGGTCTTAGGACATCCGATATAGCAGGATGATGCAAGAGTGATAGGATGAATAACTTATTAATATAATAAAATAATGTTTGAGAATCTAGGAACCTCGAAACATTAACTTAATAATCGAAGTTGCCATCATCCCAATTTACACAATAATTTAATTTAGGTCTCATGACTATCCTAATCTCTGCAATGCAATACAGAATTCTTGATAGTCTAAAACCATAAATAATAAAATTAATATAAAATAATACATGATTTTTTTCAGACTTATAAAGTGTTAATAAGTTCATAATTATATATGAAAGAGAATATAAAATGCAGCTATAAATGCTTATTTCAATAAATTGATATCCACTTTTAAGTGTATATGTTAAAGACAAAATGAAATATAAAATAAAATGCCGTATTGTGTATACTAATATTTTGGAATATTAATTAATGAATGAAAATTGTAGCCCTTGTTCAAATTGTAACTAATTAATTGAAGATACTAAATTGGTTCTTCATGAAACTTATTGCATACGTTTCAATATTAAATGCGATAGATGTGGGTAATATTATGACAAAAATGATCCTGAATCTCATGAAGAAGATTACCATAAAAAAGAAAAATGCTAGTATTGTTACGTAGAATTTGATGGTTATCATATTGTTTTGATTTCCTAGATTTATCTAAACATAAATGCCAAAAAACACCTAAATTATGTTTGTATTGTGAACTCAGTTATCCATTGGATTAGATTCATCAACACGAGAATCAGTGTGGAAGCAGAACTGAAAAGTGCCAGATGTGTTAGAATTATGTTATGAAAAGGGATTTGAATGCACACTATCAGAATTGCAGTTAGGAGATACAAACAAGAGAGAAACAAATTTAAAGACCATCCTCTATTTAAGAAAAACGCTAAAATCCAAATGAGGAGATTAATGAGTTGTATCAACAACAAAAGAGTTAATAGAAATAATCAATTATCGATGCATTGCCATAATAGGTTAAAACAAAAAAATAAGTTCCCCAATAATAGTAATAATAATTAAGCAAAATACCTTCAAAGGAGATAAGTTTTGGGTCAATTAAAAAGCAAACATCGCTACAGCATTAAGTATCTTAGGATAATAAACAAAAAGAGTAGATTGAATTTGATAAACACTTTAAGTATATACCAAATAGACCTCCATCATCAAATTCTTTATTGGGATAAAGACCTAACCTTAAAAATAACAAACCATCTATATCTTAAAATAGAATAAGACAACAGAGTAATTAAAAGCAAGTGAATCCAAAAGGAGAAGTGAATAATCTTGAGTTCTAATTTGAAAAAAAGAAATTAGCAACCAAGCCCAAGAATTCAAATTTGCCTCCTCTTGGAAGATAAATTTAGAATCCAAAGCAAAATCTCGAAATTAAAAATAGCAATCAAGATGTGAGAACGAAAAGTCTTTAATCAAGACAACAAGTCAAAAGGAGTGTATAAAATTTTGCAGAAAAAAAAGAGAAAATTGAAATTGAAGGGTTAAGGTTTTCAGAGGAAGAGTTAATGCAATAAAAAATGATCTACGAACAACTGAAGTAATAGAAAAGGGATTCCAATCTTAAAGAATAACCTCTTGTCAAAAGATAAAATTCTAATTCTAAGGCAAAGGCAGCTATAGAGCATTCAGATTTTGGAGACTAAGGGGATTTCGATTAGTTTATGAGTCCAGAGGAACGGGCTATGCAATAATTGATATTGGATAACTATTAATTGAATTCGAAAAAATAATGAATAACATATTATCATAGAATCATATTTAATTTAACAAAGGCAGCGAAAATAAGTTGAGCGGGGATCATCATGAGCTCAGAGCTTATTGCAAGAATCCTACGCATCAAAATATATTGCAATTCTGGTGTAAGGGGTGTTCCAAGGCAATGTGTTAGAAATGTGTTGTTGAGCACAGCACTAAGCAATTTAGAAAAATACATCAATTGGTAGAGTTGAGTACGTTGAGAAGTGAAGTATAGAAAGAGGCCACTGATTTAAGTTAAGAATTAGATTTATTAATGTAAACATTGTAACCAGAGTATAATTTAGTTGAATAGTAAAGAATAGGCTTATAGTTATTATAAAGAAGTCAAACCATTTTGCAATAGGCTGTAGCTAATTTCTTTGATGAACTCAAACATACATTCATTTCTTTAACATCTAATCATTCAAATTTAACCTAAAAGAAAGTATTATAGGAGGAATTGGAGAAAATTATGTTTGAATTAAATGAATATATATCCACAAATGACTTTTAAATATCAGAATTCTTTGAAAGGGATTTCAGAGCATCAATCAAGAAAATGAGAGAGAATGTTACTCAATTCATTGAGAAAACTAAAATTGAGTATAAGAAACCAAACATAAAAATCAATGATAAATTCACCTAAGACATTCCTCAATTGCTTTCAAACTATATTAGTATAACATTCGAGAAGAACCACATGGATAAGACAGAAATTAGAGCACCAAAACCAAGACAAACCTTGCATTTCATAATGGAAAGAAACAATAGTCAGAGACTAGAAAGAAAGATGACATTGATAAATCCCCAAAATTTGGCTTAGTCTCAAATTTTGAACCATACTTATCTTTAAGCAATTACAGAGTAGAACCTGGAAGACTAGCTGATTTAATAGTTTGACTAAAATGAAGAAATCCAAAAGATTGTAATTCTTGAGCAATCAAGAGTGAGATATTTACATTCATTAATTGATTCGTAGACCCTTTTTATACATGATATCCAATTAAAAGAGAATTAATTAATATCACTTCCTGAGAGTGCAAAAATACCAGAGAATGCCTAAACACTGATAACAAGTGATTTAATATTGTACATTTGCGGTGGGATACATAATTCAGTTCTTAGTTAAAAATTCTATTAATTTGATAATGTTCACGGATTATTGCAACTACCAAACTTATTAGAACCTGTAAATCATCATAGTTTAATATATGTGAAAGGATTCATTTATGTGATTGGGGGTAAGACTCAAGATGGTGTAACTGCTAAATGTTGGAGATTTATTGTGAATACTTAATTATGGGAGGAGTTTGCTGCTCTGAATGAACCGAGATCTCATCATTCCTCGTGTGTTTTTGAAAATGAGGATCAAGTATTTATTTACACATTTTTTGGATAAGGATAAGGAGGGATTCTGTTGGATTCAATAGAAAAATATAGTAATTTGGAAAGGAGATGGCAAAGTATTTTAGTTAAAAATATGATACCTGGCTTTGCTACAATAAGAAGTTGCTGTATTTAATTGGATGAATAGAAGATCTTAATCTATGGAGGGTATTACAAACATCTGAAGAATGCGAATAAAATGATTACTTTCAATACCTAAACAGCGACAATAGATAATTTAAATTAATTGAATCTACCAATTGGATAGTTACAAGGGTAACCAATCACAATAAACAATTCAATTTATTCTCTTCATAATTGTCCAGATTAGATAGTTCCAAAATATTCAGAGTTTGGAGATGTACTCTACATTTTGGAAATAAACAACAATTCTTGTCACATCCAGGATGTAATAAATTGTAGATAACTAACGTTAAAAAAAAATTGAAGTTTTTCATAATATTGGCATACTATCATTCCAATCTAATTCTAATTCTCCATATTTCGTTTTCAGTAAACACTCGATCAAGGGGGTCACTTTATCACTTGAATCAAATTGAACTCCCTCTATTTGAATCTTCTTTTTCTATTTTCCTAACTACGCACCTAATCTTCTAATTGTGATGATTATGAGATCATCGGGGTTATTCAATCCATCATAGAATACGAGATCAAACTCCTTTAAGTTTTTTTCTAAAATATATCTACTTCATACTTAAATAAGGCTAGTCCTAAATTACATCATTATTGCAACCAAAAATGACTGAATAATGATATTCCTTGCAAATCACCCATATGGGAAGTAAAGGTTCCTTCAGATTCTTACCCACTTCAAGATATTAAAAGTGTTCAAAGATAGTCAAGAATCCGATTTCGCTTCTTTCTTCAATCCCCTTAATTTTCATATCATCTATTTATTTGCATCTATAAATTAAACCATATTGTTACCCATCAAAGCAATTACTAATAGCCGATCCAGTCAACATGAGATTAACAGCTTCTTGTGTACAATGACCATGATTACCAATCAAAGGATTTACTGCTGAGTCCATTTCCTACATTATTTATTCTACGCCTTTTGTTAAAATAAGGGAATAGAAGAATAAAGTTACTCCATTCTGTCCGAAAAACAGAGATGCATGTTCCAATAATACTTCATACAAATAACTTAGAGATTTGATTTAAAATTCTAATTGATCGCAACTTTCAATTGCTATAGCTTGACTCATGGAGGAATCCCTTGCTGGAATAGCTATAATAAGCTTCTCTTTATTAGCCTTATAAAATATATCAGATAAAGCAGCAAGTAAGCAATTTTATTTGACAGAAGGCTTGAAATAATTGGATTAAGAAAATAGAAAATGTTTAAGATAATAGGCTTAGACTGAGGCTAAAACACCGCATGGACCACCTTCTAACTAATGTAATCCGAAAAAAGTAGGTTCATCTTTAAATATAAATGGCTATGACCAACTTTTTGGTAGTCCAGTCATGGTGCCTTAGAATAGTAGTTTCTTAATAGGTTGTGTGATTGTTTTTTATTGAGGTCTTCTTTTCCCTTGATTAAATCCTATTGTTTTTTCATAATTAAGATTTGAAATTGGAAGTTGCACATTATGTTGTTTAATATTGCACTTCTAATATTCGACTTTGATGTTCAAAGAGGGATCCTCTTAATTATTATCCTGTAAATCTTTTAGCATTACTTGATCGGCTTCCTTCCTTTCTGATTATTTTTTCATATTGATCAATCTGGGCGGTTGAGATATTATTATCTGAGAGGGTTCTTTTTTCTCTTATTTAGATTGTTCATCGACTTTTTCCTCTTGACCATCGAACAATCTGACTTGTTTGGTTGACGGTTTTCTTGGTGCTTCGAATACTCCTTTATTTGATGAGAATGTCTCATCCTTCTTGTCCTCCTTCTATTCAATGACGACTTCTTCTTCTTTTGATAAGTCCAGGTTTTTGGGTTTGTATTCTGATTAGGGTCGTTTCTTCATTTTATTCATACGAGATGCACCAACACTAGGATCATATGGCACATCTTAAGGTATGTCTTCAATCCTTTCAGCTTTTGAGGCTATTGTTAAGGCTTCCAATTATGCTTTCTTATTGAGAAGGTGAGAAACCAGGATTTCCAATAAACTCTTCAAAGGTTTCAAAGATTCTCTGTTTCGTTTTACAACTTTTGAAAGTCCAAGCTACAAAATAACATCCATCTTAGTTATGGTAGTCTTGTCTTAGTACTCTTTGTCCAAGGCGTTTAAGGTCTCAGTAAGTCCTTACTTTATGAGGAATTCTCGAATAAGGGCTTTAACAACAATTTAATGCATTAATATTAATGTCGTTCATAAATGATTATTGTAAATAGATAATAAGACCCCCAAGAAGAACTTACTCAACACAACTTCTAGGTATTGATTTCACCTCTAACAGGCCCCAAAACCCGTTTCATCAAAAATGTTCCAATAATCAGAGAAGACTTTGAATTTACCTCAAGATAGCTAAAACTTCAAGCTAGTTACTTTGTATAAGAATCTGTTCATCATCGTTGTTTGATATATCTCCACTGCAACGCTAGTTGTAGATTGGAGGGATTGCAATATGTAGATAGATTGTAGGCTGCTGGAGTCAACTTATGCATTTTTGATTTTGCTGGGTGCGGTTTGTCAGATGGAAAATACATTACCATGGGAACATATGAAAGTGTAGATGTTAAAGAACTCATGAACTACATAGAATGTCGGTTTGGTAAGGTCGACGAGTTTATTTTATGGGGGAGAAGCATGGGAGCAGTCACGGCACTCATGTTATCCCAAGACCCCAGAATTACTACCTACATTGCTGATAGTGCATTCACTTAATTAAGAACGGTAATTGAGGAGTTGGGTTAACAAAAATTTGGATGCTTTTCATTTATGATCAACGGTTTTATGCCATTTCTTAGAAGCAAGATAATCAATGAGGCTTAATTTGACATTGATCAAGTCTCTCCCCTTAATTGTGTTGCCGTCTAGAGTAATAAAAAACGATTCTATTTCCTTGCTGGGAAAACTGATCAACTGGTTCATCCCAGACATTCACAAATACTCTACGAAAACTGTAAATCCTATAAGAGAATTGAGTTATGTGATGGAAATCACAACACAACCAGGCAAATTGAAACACTGGATAAAATCTCTAAATTTATCAACCTATTACAATTAGACTCACCATTGAATGTTGATTATGCTAAAAAGTGCTCAAAGTATTTTTAGGAAGCCCAATAATGTCTAAACAGCTATAGAATGTAATAATAAGAGTAAGAAGAGAATCTGAAAGAATATGTCAAATAATTAGAAAGAAAAAGTGTCTTAAAATCATATTAATAATAATCAAGGGACCTTTCAGATTTAGAAAAATATTTAGAATGATCCTTTCAGTTCTTAATTTCTATTTCATTTAATAAATTAAATTCTTAAGTAATTTTTGCAATTATTGTCAAATTCTATTATTGTTAATTATCATTCAAATTCTCTTTATTCTAAACTGCAGTAAAATCAATGTCCTTTCCTCTTTCAAGTATTCTTAATAGATTATAAGTAAGCAAATCAATCAAAAATTTGAATTATCATTTTTATTTTTCATTTCTCGCTAACTCAAAAATTATTTGCAGGTCTGCTTTTATAATTATTAATGCATATATAGTCCGTATTTCCAATATTTTCTAAGGATAATAATGATATTTTGGCTATTTATTAAATTATATTAAATAAATGGGAAATGGATAATGTTGTAAACGTGTAGAGAGAATAGAAACATTAGAAGTTGATAATACACCTCCTCAACAATCAAAATTAGGCTCACTATTTGATGCTCCACAATAAATGATTTCTCTATCTGATTCTGATGAAGACTATTAACCATAAAAATAACCATAGTTTGGAGTGTTTAAAGAAAACTAAAAAAGTTCTCAGTTATCAACAGGATAATAATTTTCTTTCCAAACTCTTCCTTCTGAATAATAATTCTCCAATTTTGTCACCTTTTAGGCACTACCTTCTCAGTAAGGAATCAAAAATAATGTTTTTTCCAAATTCTAAAAAGAAATGAATGATATTGCTAAAAATGTTCCACCACATTAAAAGAACTATAAACAAAAATGAGAGGACCTGATAAATGAATTTTTTAAACTTAAATATCATTATTTTAACTAAATAATATTAAGTACTAATTTCAAAAGAATTACACCCTTCCAAATTTCCTAGTCAGTAAATTTGACACCTATTTACATCGAATTATATATTTCTTGATTATTGTAAAAACATATTCAGATTTTATGATTTAATAACTATGTTGAATATAATACAATTAAAAGAATTTATTTGAAATTGCAAAATTGTAAATTAGCTTTTCCAATTACATCAACCATTGCGAAAAAGGCGACAAAAACCATTTATTCTTTTGATTAAATGCTTAATTTATTGGTTTCTTAAGAATGGAGTTATATAGCGAATTGATTGATAGAAAAGAAATTGAAATGATTTTAATTGAAAATATGACTATATTAGTACTAATTCATAATTATGAAATTTCGAATTAAATGTACAAATTCAATGAAGAATATACTTATTTATTAGCCTATTTTCTATTAATCCAGATAATAGAGATTAAGGAACTCTAAAATTTCAAAAATTTAGCTTTTCTAAGTGAATATCGTTTTTTTATTGAATTTTTGATCATAATATCCATTAATTTCTATTTTATCACAATAAGCATAGAAATTCTTTTTGAGAATTCAAGAATTAAATTAATGAGTTTATCTTCATCACAAGATCTGTTCCTTTGAGCTTTTGAAAAATTTGGATCATGGTCAATTTAAATCCATATAATATGTTTTAAGATTATAGTTTTGATCCTGTTCATTTAATATTTTTAAGTCACTTTTTGTTAGAGCAAACTTATATTTACTAAGTGTATGAGTAATCTATGTTAATTTTAACTTTATTTACTTTTCTCAAAAGTAAATTTCTGATTTTGTTCAATACTTAAGAATAGATAAAAAACTTATCCTAAGCTTATGCATGAGTATCTTTAGAAGGGTTATAATTTGAAATTGAGTATTAATATAAATTTTTACACTAAAATAAGTTGAAAATGATGAATTTTTAATAATATTTGCTTAATTTTATTTATTTTGATTTTAGATAAACGAATAACCCAGGATAATAAAAAATAGCAATTTAAATTATTTTATTAAATTTATAAAGATTCGAGCTTGCCAATGAATTTTTACTTGTTCATTTAAGTTTAAAAAACAATCATCGATAAATTTCTTAATAGGAAAGAATTAAATAAAATTAGCATCTTATAAATATCATCATGAGATATTTTTTATAGTTATTAATATATGATTCCCTCTAATTTGCTATGATTGATTACTATTCATATTTTTATCTTGTTTTGCACTATTAATTAAATATATTAATAAATGAAATTTGTGAATATTATAAGAAACCTTCATTATAATGCAGTTTGGAGATGTACATTTTTGAGAATCCACCCTCTAAGCTAAATTCCTGGAATGCAGGGCTTATAAGAGTTCAGTGATTCTGAGGATTGGTCAGAAGAAGAGAATCCTTCAGATTTAGAGAATGTGGAGGAATTCGATTCTAGTGGTGATGAGAAAGATTAAAATTTTGGGGATAGAAAATGAATTCAGTAATATATGTGTGTTCATCATATTTGCTATCTTTATTGTTTCAGAATTTAATCATATAGTAATTTTTATAATCTCAAGGGAACTATAAATAATTATTAGAATATAGATAATATATCATATGAATATTTAGATAAGAATATAAATATAATGGATTAATAAAGGTCACATTATTAGACAGGCTTAAACATTATTACTAGAAGGTCTCTGGGAATCATTTAATTTTTCATCCATGGATTCATAAAGTCTTTCAGATTGAGCAGGGGCTCCCAATTAAGGAACTGGCATAGTATTAGGTCTAATAGTCTGTTGTTAAATGGCACTCATAGGTTTTTAGGAGGAGCCCATTAATTGTTAAGCCACATATTAATCTTTGATTCTTTATGATGAGGCTACAGAATTAGCTTTACTATGTTGCTTAAATTGCTGTTCTGGTAGTGCTGATCCCTAAAACCCTGGATTCATGAATTGTTATTGAGGAGATTATTGGATTTAATTAGTTTATTAATAGAATTCTCCAGAGAAATTAGTTTAACTGAGATCTTATTGTTCTTAGCCATAGTTTTACATTTTGAAGGCATTACCCATAGTTTGATGAAAATCGATGACTTATAATTTTCCAGAAGCAACACTTGATTTGGGTTCACTTTTGAGGGTTGCTTCTTATGACCTATCTTCTGCATCTCTTTGTTGCAATCGTTCTAATAATTCCTTAGGGTCATTATAAAGTGAATATTGAATAGTTCCTTGATTATACATTGGTTTTTGAACTTTAAAGGAGATGCTGCTGGGCTATTAAATGATTTGAGTGGGCAACCAATATTATTGTATATTGGGCATACCTCCTCCAAATCTACGTTCCAACATATCAGGATGAAAACCATGAGCAAGAGGAGCAAAGGATTTAGATTCCCAAATTTCAATTTTTTTGAATGTTCTACTATCCAACATTTAATGATAATTATCCCAGTTGAGAAGCAATTCTTTCGATGGATTAAATAGATAGAGACGATCTAAGATTTGTGGAAAGTTTTAACTCATCATCCAAATAATGACTTGAAATGTTTTTTAAGGGAAGTTGTAAAGACTCATTTAATCCGTTTCGACAATAACAACAACATTTTCAACTTTACCTGGATAGAACATATAATCCTCGCAGATTACGAACAAAATGGAGAGTGCGTGAATAAAGGCATCTGAGTCGAACAGATATAGATCCATCATATGTAAATTAATCACTATAATTGGACGATATTGATAATCTTTGCCACCTATGTAAACTAAACCTTCTCTCAAACAGAGGAGTACTTTTTCTGGTATGTTAGAGAGACGACTGGTGTTCAACCAATGAATGTGTCGTTTATATAGCTAATTGGAGATGGAATTAAAAATACTTCCAGACAATTGGTCATATTGAAATATCCTGCATAAAGAAATCTTAATAGTACATCTTCAGAACTCACACTTATGTTTGCACCTCTAATGATGTCTTTGAATTGTTGAATTTATTTCTTCTCGAAATGATCATATTCGACTGATTGAAAGATCCTTCTTGTTGCTGTCCTTTCAATTCCTTCTTTGATGTAACCATCTTCATGGTGTATCTCTTCAACTGTTCTTGGTTTGAGTTTCAAGTAATCGAATTGACTCCCAAACATATTAATAAATAAAATGAATTTGATTAAGAAGAAATTGCAGACCCTTCCCAAGGATTATAGAGCCAAGATCATGCTTAGACTCTATGCAGGTGTAGCTAAACCAAGTCCCAAGATGGGTCAATCGTTGGGTCCTTTGGGAATCAATATGATGCAATTTTGCAAGGAATTCAATGCTGCAAGTTAAGCCTTCAGACCAGATGTCCCCCTCAGGGTTTAGGTTATTGCCTTTCCAGATAGAACATTCAAATTTCTGATCAAGCCACCTGAAACTACTTGGTTTCTGAGGAAGGCCACTGGTATGATTGAATGTAATAATCTTACTCTTAGGTACTGATAAATTCACCAATTTCCCTGGTTACATATGGTATGATACCATCTCTTTGTAACAAGTCTATGAAATAGGTATTATATATCATAATAATGTATTCAATTAGCCAAAGTGAAACAAGAAATGGATCCCCACTTGAAGCATGTCTCCCTCCCTGCCATCTGTAGGATGATCATAGGATAGTTGGCATCTTTGGGATGCAATTTGTCCACGCAGTATTTTAAGCCAGAAACCGTTGTTAGACCAGAAATAAAGAGTTGATTTATATATTAAAATATGAATTACGAGACCCCTCATGCTCAAAAGATGTTTACACTGTTTTAATCTCCTGCGCAAGTAGGTCTCTTTTAATACCCTTTGCTAGATGCAGAGTCCATATTAGCAATTGTTTCTGTTGCAGAATCGTGTTCCTGTTGATAGTTAGCCCCAATAAGCGATCCAGAAGATCAAGAAGTAACTTTCGATTCCCAAACCGCCTACGCAAGTCAAAAATAAAATTCCTCAAAAATTGGATTAGCCAGGTTCGCAAAAGGCAGTTGTCAACAACTAAACTCCCATTCAAACTTATCATAACATGATTGATCTTATCAGACAAAACTAGGATTTGAAAAATGAATTGATTGAAATAGAGAAGGACATCCAAAATTACAGAGTATTCTTTTGATATTGATTTAGAGTTTGATAGATATACGATCCAAAAAGAAATGATTTTATTTTTATATATTATATGGGTAATTAATAAAAGCAAAAATCTATTCTAGAACTCTGGAATGAACATTGCTTGAACAAGAGCAAACAACTCAAGAATCAAAGTCTCAAAGAATATAAACCAGAAATTATACGCAAAAATGCAATTGAAGTCTTGGAATAAGCAGTTCATCAGGATCATCTACAATCATACAAGGAAGACCTCAAGAAATTCCTACTCTATATGGATCCTTAGAAATACGCCCAATAGTTAGCAATTTCGGTTTATCTTAATCACAGTAAGGAATGCTCTTTCTATAAAAAGCTCAAACTGCACAATTCTTGATTCCTTAGGTAAACAATCTCAAAGAGGAGTTGATCTATAAGCAGATTGCAGATCACCATCTCATCAAAGACTTAATGAATATATGGAGTGAAATATTCAGTAACAAATATTCGATATTTTAAAATCAAGAAGAAAGGGAATATCTGATAAACTTAATACAATCCAAAGATTTCGTTTATTCCTCTCTTTGTAATGACATTAAATACTTCATTGAGTATTTGGAGTAGATGCTCAGATTGATTTATGAGGTCTAAAACAAAGAGAAGTTTAAGCAATTGCTAATCAAAATGATCTTTTAGAATCAAAATATTAAGAAGATCATAGTGGACACATTCGAAATTTATAGTTTAGACAAAACACAAATATTCAAGCGGAAACTCTTTAATTATAAAAACATTTCATTGGCTGAATTAAGAGTACCTGAACAATACTATTCGGATTATCCCAATACGATAAATCAATTATAAGAAATATTAATAATCGAGAACCCTTGTGATAAATTTGATTTGTTCTCTAAATTGGAGTAATCCATGATAAAGGACATCAAAAGAGAGGGAACCCAAAATATTCTACTTGAACTAGATAAGTATTTTCATTGTTTAAAATAGTTAAATAGGAATATTGACTTTCTGTATTTTCAAGATTTAATCTGACAAATGGGTGTTTTAGTTAAATTTCATAGAGAAATTCTTAGGTGCAGAAATGACATACAATTAAGGCAGAGATTCAGCCTAATTTTCAAATGTTCTAAGTGCTATTGAATATATAATGAGTGATAAATTTAATATTTCATGATTCTTCATCAGATAGGTTTTCCTTATTTATAACTTATTCTGTAATCTAATTTTTAGTGCCTCCTTTTAGACATTTGTGAATTTTCTTATTTTATCGAAAAGATGAGTTCACTTCTGAGGTGTCAAGATATGCACTCTTCTCTAATTTTTACAATTCCTTTAATTAATCGTATTTGACGAATAGCTTTTGATTTTCTACACCAAGCCTATTAATTTCATCCTATAATTTCTACACAAAATGATTATAGAATAGTACCAGCATTTTTAGATTCTTTTCATCACAAATCTTTTTTAATTTTTGACATTCCCTAGAATATTTCTACTTCTCATTAATCACTTAATGAACTCCTGATAGCATTTTTTCAATGTTATTATTCAACTCCTTGCATTTTTCATTGTAAATTTTATTATCTGAAATTCATAACAACGTATAACTTACTTTTATTTAAGGTATACTCTAACTTTTAGCATCTGGCCTTTTCAGCATTCAATAATTGCTAAGTTTTATCTAATGTCTCTAATAACTATGATTAAGTGCTAGAATCGGTTTGCAATTCTAGATTCTACTTTTTCAATTAAGCCACTTGACTATGTAATTCAGCCAATTGATCATCTATTATTCTTATTACTAAAATTACTGTGAATGTTGAATTCCTTCTTGTCTTCTGTCAAATAGGTCATAATCTACTCATTCAAGACATCCTTATGATGTTTCTTATACAAATAGGTGATTTATTTCAATTTAGAAGTGACCTTCTCTTTAGCATAGTTCTCAATTAAAACTAATATTTGTTCGTCATCAATATAAGAGTCATCTCCCATCCATCCCAATTTTTAAGATAAGAGTCTATACAAATGAGTTTATTTTATTTTAAATTCACTTTCCTGTTTAGCAAACTGCGTTTGAAAATCTTGCATCTCTAAAATAATAGATTAGGATAATATTAAAACTTTCTTGCATTTCGTCCTCCTTTGATCTAATCTTATTCAGGAATTCGAATTCTCTTTGTTCGAAAGTGAACTCCTACTATTTGTAAATTTCGATTTCTTATTCGTATTTTGTGATCATTTATTGCATATTGAATAATTATTCACTATTATTTGGTTATTCAAGGAGAATATCCTCTTAGATGTCCTTAATCATCTCCTTGTCTTCATCACTAATGAACATCCCCTTCTTATACTGCGATAATTGTTCCTGTAATAACAAGATCTCCTTCTCTTTCTCCTGAACAATAATCTTGAGCTCTTCGATAGTGTGTTCCTTATTGATTTTGGGTTTGTTCTTAATGGCTTTAGCACGAACCCCGAATCTCAACGTAGACAGAGTCTCCTATAAATTGAATTGAGCAGGAGAACAAGTGATGATGAGTGTGGTTCTACTGTTGCCACCAAAAGAACATTACAGAATTCTGGTTAATTTAGAATCTCTATAAGGAACATGTTGACTGCCATCGGTCAATGCGTTGATGACTTGTCCCAAAGCGGATAATGATTTATTAATGCCTTTGGCTTCATCCAAGATTTTGCCTTCAGCTCCTGTTTTCGACACTTTCTCACTTCCCGCCAAATCAACCAAAAATAGTTTACCAACTTTTGCCGACTGATCTCTTTAATCAATTGATTAAACTGACATTAAAAATATCATATGGGAACGAGAAGATTATTCGTTCATATTAGTACTGGCTATCATCCTATTGGAATTGCACATCTTCAGAATTTCATAGATTTCAGATTAGTCAGCAATAGAGGTCTCAGTTACTCCATCGATATATGTGGAATGATTCTTGTCCTCCCTTATTTTTAAATCACTCTTCTTGATGTTCTACAAATCTCTGACTTTTTCCATATACAATTCAGCCACTGAAATTTTGATTCGGTATTCAATATAGTCAGGACTGGCCTCAATAAAATCAAACACTGTATTAACCATTCTTTTTATGATTCCCTGATCCTCACCAAATGAGCCTTCCATCGTATGTGTCTTTCCAGATCCTGTTTAGCCATAAGCCACTACAGTGCCGTTGAATCCCTCCAACACACCTTTGATTACGGGTTCTGCAGCAACCTTAAATACTTCGATTTATTTTCCAGGGTGAAAGATATGATCGAAGTTGAATTATTGATTTTCTATCAGAACACTCTTGTCATCAGCAAAATAAATCTGGCTTTCAAGTTACCCAGGAATGGACGGTCTGAAACGACAAATGACTTAAATATTGGTTGTCATATAAATTCAAAATAATTATAATTAGGGATTGTTAATTTCATTACCGATCTGTCTTGAATATTGCTATTATCTTCTCGACGAATGCAACCAACCATTCCACTATTTTAATTTCCTCACTAACCCATTTCTCATTCACCTCATGTTGTTATAACTGCAATCCAGAAGTAGTATTAGCCTATATATGTTTAATTTACATCTCATACCAATTACAACACATAATCCAAGTCTTCCTCAATGTTCGTCTTAATCAGAGCCAAGTTCAACAGCATCTTGTGTTGTTCCTTCTACTCCATCATTTTTTAAACTATTTCCCTTGCCAAAACCAAAGAATCCTATTCGTGTTGCTCGAGGTAAGATTGCAAAATCAGCAGAAATGACACCTAAAACTCCTTGTCAAGATATTTGTAGATTTTATCCATGTCCTCAATAATTCCATCATTATCAGCGTTGGGCAATTCAATTTAAACGTTTTCAGTGTTGTTATCAATGAGGAGGTACAATTTTCTCTCCTCATAATTGCAATGTTTCTTCAAATCCTTAAGTTTTTGCTTGTTAGAAATAGAATATTATCCAGTACCTTCAACTTTCTCGTTTCCTCACTCTTCTTCGTCTTTGTCGACTCCTCCATTGTATTACTCTTTTAACCAGTCTTGTACCGCAAAGCCAAGCTTCCCTTCTCACATATTAGAGTTAGCATTTGCAAAGCCCGATATACATTAAACCATTATCTTTTATCAACCTCCTGAGTTGCCTCATTATTTTCTTTCTTCTTTTTTGGTCTTCCCTAAAATAAAATGAAGACAAATTACAACTTTTCCGTAGTTCTAATCTTCTCCACCCATTTTACTCTTTTTTTATTTTTTAATACCTGAACTTCCTTTTCCCATTTATTAAAAATATATTTATTAATATCTATCACAATCTTTCTTTTCATTCTTATATATTATTCATTTTTTGTGTAGAAATCAATATTCAAATTAGCAACATCTTACTGTTACACATCATCACAGGTTTTGAGAAAAAAATATTAATTCAGGAACAACAAATACCTCAAATTATTTGGAATGTATCATTTAGAAAAAGAAATAAATGCATAAGTTCAATATTCTCTTAAAAAATAAAGATTTTAAATCTAATTATTCTACGATTCTATTGTGTTGTCATATTCTCTCATTAATTCAAATTGATGGAAAATCCCAAATACTTATATAGATTAACTTTATATAATATTCATCATTTATATTATAATTCAATATTGTTATTGTTACTGAAATTAGCATATTGGGATAGATCCTAACCTGATTGTTGCTGGGTTTAACCATCAATTAATGCTCCTGTAGAAGGCGATACAAACAAAAAGGAGTGTAGAAATGATATTAGGAAGCTATATTAATATTATATTCTTACCCAACCCCTATATAAGTGAATATGGAATCTCCACAAAAAATATACAAAACAAGAACATTCACTAAATTATGTTGAGAATGTTACATAGAAACAGCAGAACCTTTTTTTTATCAGTTGATAGGAAACCAAAATTGGGAATATAACCTAAAAAGTCATCGTTTCTCAAAGCAGCGTACCAGCTAAGAATAATATTGAATTCATACAATGCTATGCTCAATCCAACACTAATTAAGAATGAAATATTTGTTAATCCTCCCAAAACAACAATGGCAATTGTGAATTAAGAATAAGTAGCTCCAAATTTTGAGAAATTCTCTTGCAATCTAGTCATGATCTAGTCACTTTTTGGAAGAGCATAACTGGAAGTATCAAAGATCTTTTTATCACTAAGATAATAATCTACTTGTACATTTAAGGTTTTTAAAGGACTTAATGGACTTAATTCATTATTCTGATTTTAATTAATAATTAAAAATATATTCAATGCCAATAATTATATTTCATCAATTGTTGTGAATTTCGCAATGATTAAATTAGATTTTCTGATTAAGTTCAATTCTTTTCTTTATATTATCAAATTAGGATATATCAAATTTATCATTTTTCTTTTGACCCTTGTCCTCATAAATGAAATCGTCTAATTCGTCTAGTGTTATGGATATCTAAACATTAAATATATACATTACTTCATCATCGTCATCATTCATAATATTATTGAATTCAGTAACAATTATGCATTATTTGATTTATTGTTGGTTCAGTTACAATTTCTCCGATGAAATTTCTGTCTACAATTAATCCTCAGATAGCTTTCCAAACAATTCCTCATATTAGACATAGATGTCCTTCTTTGCCTTCTTTAGACATGACTTAAGTGGAACTTTATCTAACTTTGGAAAATCCTTTGAATTTTATGAAACAATCAAATTATTTCCTGTCATTTTTTTGGAACTCTCCTCTTACAGTTTTTTCCATTCTAAAATGCTCACATATTATTGATTCTCCTCTAATTCAGAGAAATCTTGAGTGTCTTCCTCTTAGGATAATATTTCTTCAACTTCCTATCCTTTATTTTAGTAAGATTATTTTTTGCTTTGATGTCTTCTTGGTTTTTTCTTCATGTATTCATGAGGACACTTTTTAATTGGGTGAATCACATTTCTATCAAAACAAAATGAAACACTTTTGAGCTTCTGAGCATCTTGGCTTTGTTTTCTCAACCTGTCTTGTACTCAAGATATCTAGGTCTACTGAACAACAAATTCTATAATTCAGCATAATAATTTATCAAAGATACTATATTTTTACGAATGCTTATAAATGATATAAATGAAAAACTCAGTTTTGAAAGTGTTTATATAATTGCTCCTGATATATCAATTATTCTATTTAAAATCCAGCTCCCGAATACTTTTTGCCCAAAATCTATTTTAAGTCTTTGTACATCTATCGAATAATTTTAATAAGAAGTACTTCTTAAGAACTCTGCTTATTCTCAATAGCCTTCAGAATTCTATTGTAAGCAAAGTTAAACAAATCCTAGGGAATCTACTGCAAAATACTCTTTTTCAGGTTTTCAATCATTGAAATTTTTGGCTTAAATTTCTCATCAGTCTTATAAAAACTGGAAGAATACGACGACTCAGGCTCTTCCTATATTTCTATATAATTTATTGAATTCTTGATTTACCTGCCAGAGTTTCGTTTCCACTTTTAGCTTTTGCTAATTCATTTTTATAGACTTCTACCACATTTTATAAATCTTAATCAGATTGCCTTTGAGTTAATCTTGTACCATCCATTTCATCACCCAATATTTCTTCATTGATAACTGTCTCATTCTAAAATTCATTATCCGAATCGTAATCCTCAAAGTCATCATAATACTCAAAATCCTCGGGATATTCGTCGGGCTGATAATCCATTGTTTAATTTTTTGAAGACTATTCTTTCTTTTAAGCTTACTTCTGCTTTAAACTCAATAAACTTTTCTTCATAACTTCTTCATCAATTGGTTTAAATTTTGAAGAGGATTATAGACTCTAATCAAAATTAGGATTCTGTATCTACTATTATTATTGTTTAGAAGTCTATTATTATTATTATTAAACTTAGCTTTTTTGTAAAGTTTATTCTGTTTGTTATTGTTTTTAATAAAATTGTTATTAGGTTGTTGTTTGCTATATTTCTTACTGTTTCTATTGATAAAATTATGATTGAGTTCCATAGAGATTTTAAATTTTCCTTAATTCAGCCTATTTTTAGTTCTGCTGACTAATATTTTAAGCCGCTTTAGATAGCATTTCAATTTTCTGTTAGGTTTCTTATTCTTTCTTTAATTTTAGAATAGACTTCGGAGATATTTGTTTAGGTTCTGGTTCTAAAAATTATGATGCTTAACTCATTATAGTATCACCAATTGTATATCTACTCGCATTGTCAATCTGCTCTATTTATTTTTTAAAGTCTTACTTTTATTTAATGATTGCGACAATACAGTCTAATTAATACTCTCATCTTCCTTTTCTTTATTGATTTCATCTTTGATAGAATGTTCATAAGATTCTTGATCCTATTTCGATTAATTTATCTAGTTTTATTAGATTTAATGTTGATTATGGGCTTGAATGTCATGCTATTTGATTTTTTTGACTCCAACAACAGAGCAGAAGTTTTGTTTGCCTCCGCTTCTAATAAAATCTTGCATAACAGATTAAATGAAGGGCATGTTAATAATCTCGGCAACAAGGGGACGCGATTAAACTTGCTTAGTAAGAAGTCTATGAATTAATTATTGCAGATCTTTTGAATAATGAGAAGGGAGGGTTTCAGTTTGACCATTCAAAATCTTAGTTACCAAACTCAGTATGTTCTTAGCATCAAATGCATGTTTGAAAGTGCATAATTCGTGTAAAACACATCCAAGAGCCCAAACATCTGATTTAAAAGTATAGGGTTTATTTTCACAGACTTCTGGACTATTATCAGAAAAACTTAAATACCTCATATAATATGGAGTACCAGCAACGGTTGATGCCTAATCGAACGTACTTTCTAAGACTTTGGAAACTCCAAAATCTCCAAGTTTAACTAGGAATAAGGTTGAAATTTGATACCCGTTCCATTTGAAGTCAGAAATATATTGCTTGTTTTAATGTCTCTATGTAATATCTTTTTTGAATGGATGAATTAGAGAGCAAATAATTATTGGATGAACCAATTCAAGATCATTTTCTCAGGAAAGTATTGGATTTATTTACCTTACTTTCTTTTTTTGATGTGATATTGTAAGTCTCCTTCTAAAGGCGTTTATAAGATAATGAATTTACCCTCGCAATATTCCATCAATATAATTAATTAACTACTATCTGCGAAACTGCCCATATATTGGACAATGTTGGGATGATCTAGACTTTTTAATAGTTCTGCTTCTCTCAGAGCACTTATTTTCTCTTTTTCTGAGAGTTTGCCCAAATGAACCTTTTTAGCCACAGACAATTGGCCAGTCTTCTTATTCTTAACCAAATATGCAGATCCTATATAGAATGGAAAATCGAGGTACCATAACTCCCACTACCAATGGTCTCTAATTCTTCATAGAGGTCTGAATATTTGAGAGACATAAAAAATAAATATAAATTATAATTAATAAAAATACAAAATTGTGCTTTTTTAATTCATTTGTTTGTATTTACAATAACAACAATTCAATTGATAAAATTGTTATCAATATATTCCTTATATAATAAAACACTTCAAAAATAGATCCCCCAATGTCGATATAATTAAATATATTATAATTATTTATCAATATTATCATTAACTTAAAAATAGATTATTATTTTTAGAGTTTCTTGTTTTTTCTTTCAATAACTTGTAATCCTAAACCAATTGAGAATTATTCCCTATAGGAAGAGGCATGTAGGTTTTGAGATGTAGAGTGCTCAACCTTGCAGTATTATCAAAAGTTCTCTTTGTATCCGTGGGATCACGATCCTATGATTCATGAAAATATTCAGTCTTGAATAATCTGAGATTGGCATTGGTTAACAATTCTGTACTTGTGATAGTTAATTAATTGTTAATTTTGTTCTCTTTGGCCATTTTTGTAACTCGATTCTAATCAAGTTCAATTAATTGTATATCAGCATTGGCATAGACATTCTAAGTGTACCCTCCAAAGATGAGGATTTTAGAATCAATTGAAATACTGCAATGACTGCACTTGCCATGTTTCAGTGACCCAATCTATTGCACCATTACCCAATTGAGTTGTTGTAATTGTAAAACAAATAAATCATTTAGGATATTGCCTTCCTTCGAGTCATTTCTACCTCCATAGACAACCAAGGAATTAAATTGGTGATAGTAGTTCATGCTATGAGAATATCTTGCTATTGGAGCTTAGCCCTTGGATTACGAGATTAAAGTACTTTAGTTTTTAATTTAATGATTCTTATAGGCTTAAATCCAAATTGAATCACCCTCAAATCATTGGATGCTTCTCCATTTTGAACTCTACCTCCATAAATATAAATCCCCTCGCAATTTACTTGTGGATATCTCCCTTTCTTCTTATTGCATTCATAACTAAAATAAGGGTTTTCCATCTTCACTTCCCCACCAAACAATGCAGTAGCAGCTGCATCTGAAACTCCATCCTAAAACTGATTTTCCACTTAGAGTACTGCCCTAGAAATAAATTCATTATTAACCATTTATTTGTCTCCATATTCAAAGCACACACATCATTCAATATTTTCCCGTATGAATTGATACCCCCATATATAACAAAATATTTGCCTATGCCTTAAGCAATGTGATTCCTTCGGCCTTCTATCAAGTCTCCTGAAGTTTTGACCAGTGTCCACATTTTGTCCAGAGGATTAAACATCCTTACATCTCCATAACATTCTCTCATCTTCATAGCGTTGTTGTATTTCTTCTCCCCACCATAGATTATTATCTATTATTTGTAAAAGATGGCTGTATGTCCAAATCTTCCCTCCAAAGGAGCTTCACCCAAACCAACACCTATGTCCTTCCAAGTCCAAGTCTAAGTATTTAATTGTATCATGTTCTTGAACAAATCATTTCCAATACCCCCATACATGTAGGCCTTATTGAGAGACGAAATGTAAGTGACTGTACATCCCTCTCTAATGGGCGGCTTCCATTCACTTATTTGTATATTAAACCAAAAGACCTTTATGATGTTTGAACTTTCAAATGGCCTCTCACTATTGTCAACCTGTTCCTCTTCTTCTTCCTCTTACTTAATAGTTTTTACCTTCAATTTCACTTTCTTCACCTTTTATAGCTGTACCAACTCTTCCTACTTCTAAAATAATTCAGTAACTTCATTCACAGTACTATTCCATTTTTTATTCAGGGAACTTTTAAAAGTATTCGCCTAAACATAATTAAATTGCAATCTATTCTTGAGAGTGGATTCGTTTGGGTTTAATTGATCAGCCTTATTAATCCAACTTGAATTGGTTTTCATCATCTCCGTGAATGTCTTAAACCCCACATCCTCACTTTGCTGTTGCAGAAAGATCAACTTGCAATCCCCCTTTGAAATATAATCATCAATAGCCAATGTTTGCTGGTGCTTCAAAATAGTAGGCGATTTCATTTAAATTAATTTCTCCGTTCTACTCATCCTTATGTTGTCAGTCCTCATGTGATGAGTCCCTATGAGCTTCCTCGATTTCAAATCCTCCAATTTCTATTACTAAGTTTGGATCCAACGACGTTTTCGTTCTTAATCCATAAATTTATTAATCCATTAATTATATAATATAATGTATCATACCCAAGATGAGCCAATAATAAAAACAGTCATTTTCATCAAATCCCCATCCAATCTCCACTGTAAAAGTAGTTTCTGAAACTGTTCCCAAGTGAAGTTCACCTTTTCAGCATCTCAATTCAACTGCTGATCTGCCATCCCAAGTAGACTTTGATGAGACTCAAATTCCATACGATATCTTGAAATCCAAAACAATCCATTTGGATAATTAATTATTTCATACTGGATAATATTATATGAAATCATTGATAACGGTTTAATTAATTTAAGCTCAATATCCTACATACAATTTAATATGGACAACTTGTTCTGGCCCTTCAAATTTATGAAGCAAGAGATTTTTATATACCTCCAAAATATATTATTAAATAATGCAAAAATAAACTTAGTTAACCAAATTTTTCTCAAAGAAAACTAAGGAATAGCAGCAATCTCCTGTCAGAACCAAACTAGATGATTATGTATGGTTTTGTGCTAATGTTGTAGTAGATGTTTTTTTGTACTCCTCCAACATAAGAAATTTAAAGTAAAATAGAAAATCAAAATGCAAAAAAGAAATGCTCCAATAACTTAGACACATGGATTAGGAAATCCTCCTTGCAATAAAAAAAGTGGTAATTTAATTTTAGTTATTAAAAAAAGGCCATTTTTACCAAAAAATCTGATGTATTAGATTTACAAATTTTTGTAATTGAGAGAATGTGCCACTTGTTCCTAGGTCTGTAAGTTCTGGATGATTTGCTATAATGATATCTATTTCTCGTACAGTTTCTTTAGGGAATTCGAGACTTCAAGGTAATTTTGACTATTTTAATTTTTTTGAGATTTAACGAAAAGGAACTTGCCACCGTGTTGAAGAGATCAAGTAAACAATTGAAGCACATAAAGAAAGTTGGAGATATAATAAAAGGACAAAAAATCAGTTCATTTTTGGAGAAGACTGAACTCAGAACAATGTTATCTGACAATTCGCAATAACAAGGATCCCTATTGGAATTATTTAAATTAGAACCAAAAAAACAATATACATCAGTATTTTTGACAGACAAAGATTTGAATAGCATTTGCAAAGAGAGCTAGTAACAATATTGACATTAACAATTTTAGCAAATCACTACAGTACATACAATTGATTAGTTGTCAATTTATGACAGGCAAAGGCTTTGAGGTTATTGGAAAATGTTCTCAATTAAGTTTGATTAATATCTAAAGCAATTGCAATTTGAAGGATTAAAATGTTCAAGTCATCTTAGAATAAGTTTAGGAACTCAAGACTTTAATGCTCTTAAAATGCGATGGGTTGACAAATTAGATTTTTGAAATCATCGGAAATTACTGTAAGAAGTTAGAAAGGCTGGATATTGGATGTAATCCATAATTGGATCTAATCGAAGTAAAACAAAATATTAATGTCCTTTTAGTGCAGTCCTTTAAAGAGGATTGAGAGTTTGCAATCACTTTCAATCAAGGAGAATGTTGTTAATAATGAAGCCTTAGAGATGATCACTACCAATCTCTACAAATTGCATAGTCTCAATCTGGAGGGGTGTTATGAAATCAATGCGTATTCCCTGATGTAAATCTAGAAGCTGAATTTGCAGAGGGTCAATTTGAAGAAAATATAATTCAAAGAGGAAGGTATTATTTAACTTATTATTTATTAGACATCTATAATTTCGTTCTTACTGCAAAGAGCATCAAGTTGCTGCTTGTGAATAATAATTTATTGAGTTCTAGAATAGAAAAGATCATCCATTCTAGACAATGATTACCAGATATAATTTACTCTTTTTTGTTGTTAATTATTTAATATTTTATTTAATTGAAAAATGATTGAACCACCTTAAGGTCCTATTCCAAGAGAAGTAGCCAAGTGGCTAGATTCATTAGACTTGGCCTATTAGGTACGTAATTTCAGGAGAGATTTGGCTAATGGGTATGATAATATCCTACAGTAGTTTCATCGTGGCTGAAATATTATCTAGGTATTACCCCAAAGAAGTTAATATCTACACTGTATATAACGAATAGAACTTGGATAAAAAGCGTGATAATTGGGAATAGATTTCAAAGCTATTGAAGAAAAAAGAGCTTCAAGTTCCATCAGAAGAATATGAACCAATCTTTCATTAAGCGCCAGATGCAGCATAAGCCTTCCTCTTTAAACTCTATGAATTTCTAACCAAAAAGAAAATAGGCTCCATTTTTCCTGAGAAGGACAACAGAGACTTGAAGAAGCAAGTTAAATAACAAGCAACTTTGCAAAGATCAAAGCCACTCATAGTCTAACCTACATATGCGAGACCAACTGCAAATACAATTATCAAAGACAGGGAAATCACCAGAGTTGTTGATGAAAACGAGAGGAAAATGTTAACTAAATAAGCCATTCAAGAGCATGTTGAGAAAGTCAGAAATGATAAAAAAGATGATAACATCATTGAATATCTGATTCTAAAAAGAAAAAAGTAAATAGAGGAAGAGATCAAAAAACAAGAGGAAGAATTGCTTAAAAAATAAATGAAATTCAATAAAAAACTTGTTAACTTAGATTAATCGATCTCATAAACTGGACAAGATGTCAAAGAAATTCAGATCAATTGTTATCATAGCAGTACAAGCAAAAAAGCAAAGGAATAACAAGGTTAATTACTAGAGACCAAAGGTGTTATTGATTTCTTACATGAAGCATGTGCTTCCTTATTCAAAAAAGATCCCATTAAGAAGGACATCTAAGATTTAAAGCTTGAGCCCAAAGAATCCTAATAAAATAATGGTTTTCAAGTTAGCAATCAGAATGTCCAATACACAGCTGTTATCTAATAGCTTTTCTTAAGATGCGATGAAGTCTAAAAAAAGTCTTTGAAACTTCTATTGACCTAATTTATAGACGTTCACTCACAATTAATCCTAGAATAAGTTCAGAGTAATTTTATAGGTAATCTCCTGATGTGATAATTTAGATTTTAAACGATTCTTTCAAATATTCCTTAGACCTATCCAAGTTTTGAAACCCACATCCAAGACCTATCAATACATTCTGGAGTTAATAAGGTTTATAGGTTCGAAACTTGTAGAAATAGATCCTAATGATACACAAATGATGTTTGAAAGCATTTTATTGGATTAGTTACTGTAAATTGCATTGCGAAATCCAAAGAAGAGGGAAGATATTGTTCAACTCTTTTTTGTATTCACACCCATAAATTGTGTGAACAGAACACAATTACTCAAAAGTATTAAAAGTAAGCTATCGACTGATCTTAATGCATTTACTCTCATATTAAGTATTTTGATATAATCTGACTACCCTAGTCAAGACGAAGAATTGTATAGGTTCTTTCTCAATTATGCATTTAATTCCTTAGATTCCCCCTCTCCTCTTACAAGAGCTAATGGGTTGAGAATTATCAATTAAATCTCTAGTTGGGATTACTTTCCTGTCCTTTAAAAGATCAGTAGAATTCAAAGATTGATGAATGATTCTTGGTGGGAAGTTCGAGCTCAAGGTATGTGTATATGTGCTGATTTGTTATTGTAAATTGCCTAGAATTCCAATCGAAGTATGGATGAATAAGAAATCACCATAGACTTTGAGTAATCGAAGCAATTGCTGTTGGATTTAATTTATTAAGTTTTTGTTGTTTCTACCACTCCAAATGTAATTAGGATTGGATTGATTTACCTTGCTCCTGTTTTGTAGATGTATTCAGAATTGTGTCCTCGATATTTGGAGATCCTATTATCAGTTGATTCGGAAATCAGAATTTCAGTGTTAAATACACAAGAGACATTGATTCAACAAGTAGTCAATGGTTGCAATTCATTTCGATACAAGATTACTGGAGCCCCCATTGATTGGAATAGTGTTGGCATTGCATAAGCTATGGATGTCTATGTTAAGGAAAAGGAATTACAATTCTTTAAACATGAACATTTAGAAATTATCTATGGATGTCTACACAAACAATTATTGGAATCAGATGGTGAAATCTGGCTGAAAATATTTGAGAATACCAAAAGGCTTTTGTTTCTGGCTTTGTCGAATGAAGATTTGTGTTCATTAGCTCAGGTGATCTTGCAAAAATTCTTTATGTTTTAAACCATTCAACAATAAGTTTTGGACAATTCCAATGAAATATTTTAAAGGATGCTTTAATTGATTTATCATCCAGATGTGCATTTGAAATGCAAGGAAAACTTGTTGGAGTTCTTCACCTTTTTACAATAGCAAGGGGTATTATTAACTAATTATCATTTTAGTTCTAAAACTATTGTTACAATATTATTAAACAATTTTCTGAAAAGCACAAGAACATGTTCTTAAATAGTAATTTGGTCGAATTCATGAATGGTTTAGCTAAAGAAAAAAGAAGGGAAATAATGGGCGATGAAAATTATTGAATTATTATTCTATTTTAAATTAATATATAAATAATATTTATTTAATATTTAAATAATTTAAAACTCATCATTTGAAGTAATAATAAAGATTGATAATTTTATTTTGATATAATCAATTATCTGATTTGTAGATATATCTTAATAAATCAGTGTAAATATCAAATATTTTTGTATTAGCATCTTTGAGATCTTTCACAATCTAAATTGCTTCTTCTTGCTTAAGCTAATCTTAAGCTTTTGAAATAAATATCAAAAATAGAAGAACAATACTTCTCATTATATTATTTTACTATAAATAATATAAAACGAATTATTATAGTCATCAATTTTACTTGGTTGTAAGCTCTTTAAGCATTGGATAAACATTTTTGCCATTACTTTACCATTCCTCTACAGCTCTTTATGCCCAAGATGTGAATGTTCTGCTACAACATTCTTTTTTACGGAGAATTTCTTCAGCTTCATCTAGTTCTTAGAGAATCTATTATTCTCTCAATTTCTATTGTAATTCATAAACAAAACAAATACCTGTTTTTCTTCAATTTAAGTTAGCTAAAAGTTCTTTAGCTAAACTCTCCTTTATCTAATTTATTCATTTTCATCATCTTCCATCTTCTTTAATTCTTCAGCTCTTTACTTCCAATACTCTTAGAACTCTTTATCATTTTTTACTCTTTATTCTTAATCCTTAGTTCTGAATTCTGAGGTAATCTTCCTACTTTCATCTATGTTCTTCTTCAATTAGATTTGCTTTTCTCTTTTTATCCTCTCTACTTCCTCTGCCTTTATTTCTGCTTCCTATATCTATTTACTTAGTATTCTTTAATGTTCATTTTCAATAGATTCTAATTTAGCTATTTATGCATCAATCAATTTTTGTCTTTATTCTTATTTTTCTTTAAATTTGAGTTCTTCTCTCTTTTTTCTCATTTCCATTATTTTTTCCTTCTTCTCTGCATATGCTCTTATTCTTTCATCATCCTCTAATTCCTTAATCCTTTAGAGTTATTTCTGCTCCTTTATTTCTTCATTGCCTCTCTTAACCTCCTCAATATTAGCCAATCTCTTCCTTTTCCTTTCATTCTCAGCTTCTTCTTCATCTTTAATCAATTGCTCTGCCTTCGCTTTGTTCAATTAACCTTCAATTCTATCATTTTGTATTTATTTGATATGATTATTGACCATTTCATCATGTTATTACTTCAATATTTTTCGCTATTCCATTTTCTTTTTCTTCATTTCTTCCAATTTAATTTCCTCTATTTATTATAATCGTGCTACATTTTCTAAAACTTCTTCATGATGAGCTTCCTCCTTCATCCTAAGAATAGATTGAATGACTAATTTACTCCAAAATAGTTTTCTTATATTTGTTCAATTCCAGTTATGCATCTCTTTCTTATATTACATCAGTAATCAATAGTTTGCTTTGAAATTGTCTAACTCTCGGATTTGCCTCATAGATCTAACGATTGGCTTTTTCCAATATCTCTTGTTTGACTTATGCCTAATATAATGCTTCTTCCTCCTCTTGTCTCCTTCTCTCCTCTTCATCAGCTTTGAATCTTTCGAATCTGGTTTGGTCCTTCTTCTTTCTTAGAGCATTAATTGTGTTGGGCCATCTCTTTACTCTCTCCTGGGATTTAGCATGTCTTTCTCAGTTAATCATATAATTACAGTTCCATCTTTTAGATCAGTCCAAAATTTTCCTACGTACCAAAACAATTTTATTGGATTCTTCTTAATTAAGATAACGGCACAACCGAACTAACTTTATTCTCAAAAGCTCCGACTGTTTATGCTCGAGGTTCTTGGGACATTTCAATTATTTAATATATTTAATTATAAACAATATAAATCTCATACTTCTTTTAATTCTTTCAATATCCAAGGTATACTAGTCTAAGTAAAATTAGTGTAGTTGCACTCTTTGTTATTTGATAAAACTCAACTTAATTCATTTGTAATTCTAATTCTTGATATCTATTTTCAAATAACTAGATAAAACTTGAATTTATATTTCTTTTCTATCTTCTTCAATATTTTATTACGTTTCTTCGTTTATACTTGATTAATAAGCTATCATGATTATTTATGTAAATACTATTCAAATTCAAAAATTGGTAGGTAAGATTTAATTGGAATTCTACCATAAAAATATTAGAAGTAGATTCTATCTTTGGTGTTTTAGGGATTTTGAAGATACCTTCCTGATTCATTTTTGTTTTATCAACAACTAGTTAGGGATTTTGGTGTCAAAATTAGTAGAAATAAAAGTAATCCTTCAAATATTGTATTTCTATCAAGATATACTGAAAAGATTAATATTCAAGTGAATGTTAGGTGTAGGTAAATAGTAAGGAATATAATTGATCTAAGTTCATCACTCTTATTTTTGGTTGAGCCAAAAAACTTAAGCATCTATGTAGTACCTTCACAATAAGATTAATTATTAGCAGAAGAGAGGACATGCAAGGCTCATGGTCTGAGTGATATTTGAGTTTCTACTTTATTATTATGAGAGCATGTAAGTGTTAAGTTGATTAGAGAGAAAAGTAAATTTGATATATCTAATAGTGTCAATAGATTTCAACATAGTATTGGTAAATAAATGCAAGAATATTGAGTTTCTGAATATTTATGGTTTTACGGAATCATTAAGGGTTTAGTAGTTAGTATTCCAGAGTGGAGATAGATTAATTTCACAATTTCAATCCTGAGTAATAATTTCAAACTTCATTCAAGGAATATGGGTTATTGAGGGCAGTATTAAATCATACATTCCAAGCACTTGCTCTTGAGTAATTAGTTAGACAGCATGATAAAATTAATTCATAAATAATAATTAGAACATAAAATGAAACCATAATAAAAGAAATAATAATAACAATTGCGGGAGAAGGGTTTTGATACTTTTATCTCGGGGGCTAACAAGGATAGGGTTAATTAGAAGAACAAAAATCAATTGAAGTTGAAAACCAGGAACGTTAAGAAATGGAATGATGAACATAGTCAATCCTAGAAGATTGGCACTCTTGATCATGATGATTTGGAGGTCTTGAGGAAGTCGTTAGTGTAAGGTATTGGGCATCATTAATTCAGGTAATGTGCTCAGCAAATCTTAATAGGATTTGCTTGAAAAATTGCAGAAAGACACACCAATTGATCATAGATATGACCCACATTTTTCACAACTGTTGGATAGCGATAATGATGAATTGGACGAACATTAAATTTAAGAAGAAGAAGATGTAATTAAAAATTTGAATAACCAAGTTGTGTTAGTCTGAAGGAGAAGACAATGATGAGGAAGCCTATAGGGATGACTTTGAAAACACTAAACCTCAAATCCAACCAGTTGTTCAATAATCATAGCCTTAAAAAGTTATACAAGTTGTCAATTTACCTGCTACCAAACCCAGACCAATCAGTGCCATCTCAGAACATGCCTAATCTCAATAGCAATTGCCCCAATAAGTCAGACAACCTTCCTCTGAAATCAAACCTCCCCCCTTGACTAAACCAGAAACTAAGCAATATGCATCCAAACCTCAATTGAGGGCCAATTCTGTAACCAAACAAGAGGACATTAAAAATGACAACAATTCCTTCAAAGCTCCTCAAACTTCATAAAGCTAGAAGCCTCAAGAATAGCCAAAGGATCAACTTGAGGAGTTGTTTGAAAAAATCGAAAAGCTTTCTAGTAATGAGAAATAAAAGCTCATTTTATTCTTGAATAAGAATACCATCAATTTGGAGGAAAAGACTGACAGATCAGAAATGCAAAATGAATAGAGCTAACAAAAACTATCACTTGAAATGCCCATCAAATAATAAAAATAATAAAAAGAATTATAAATTATTGAAAATAAGCCCAAGGAGTAAGTACAATTGACCATGCCTCAATAGATATCCAACAATAACTAACCTCCATTATAAATGCCATAAATTGAAACCAAGAAGAGAAATAAGAGCATAAATAACATTATTCAAATGCAATAAGATTTTGTAAAGGAAGAAAAAGCTTAAATTATAATTGAGAAAAATACTGATTTGTTGATTGATAAGAATTCTTAGTTAAAAATGAGAATCCTGTCCACTTGGGGCAATCCAAGTCTAGTAGGTCTCACTGAAATAGAACTCTACGCTACTGATGGCAGTAAAGTCTAACTTAAACCATACAACATTAAAATGAGCAATGCATAGTCTCTCAAATTGCCAGAAATACTTATCAATGGCAAATTCTTAACCAAAGATGCTGTTAATATGTGGTTAGGAAGTATGCCTGATCCTCCAAAAACTATTGATATCGAAATCTCATATGATGATGATGTCATGCTGGGGGGAATCAAAGTTTACAATTACAATAAGAGCTTGATTGATAGTGTTAAAGGAGTTAGAGACATGGAAATATTGTGTAGATAGAATGGTAAAGTCATTTCTAAAATTGTGGAAATTAAAAAAGGTACTGGCTTTGAAATTGATGATTATGGAACAGAAATTCAAATCATTGATAATTTCAAATTCCCAAACCTCTAAAATACTCAATCCAAATTTGCATAAAAACTCAGAGGTTAAATTGACCAATCAGATGTTATAGAAAAAAAGTAGGAAAAGCTAGAGGATTCTAAACCTCCTCCTTCAAGAAAAGGAAAAGGACCCATAGTCGTCGATGTATTTAAAGGGGAACGTTTAGATACTGGGAAAACCGATAAGAAGATTGAGTAAACACAACAACCTAATAATAATTAACCTAATCAATAGCAAAATATAGAACCCAGAAGAAGAAGAGACAATCCATAACCCACTCAAGATTACCTTGAGGAAACTCTTCAATATTTCAATATTACATAATAAGGTAGGTTAAAGCCTGTTTAAAGATAGGACATAATTGAAGAACCTGCACCCATACCAAAATACGAGGAGATTGATGCTCTGGACTTTTTCTTTAAAGGTTAACAACGACCTAATAATATCTAATAGAAGCCACAATTATCCAAATGGGAAACCCCCTCTTAATAATAGATTCCTTCATAAATCATCTAATAGCCAAATAAAAATAACTATAGATAGTAAACATAAGAAAATGCGTAACTTATCAAGGAGTTGCTTAATTAACCATTAATTAATTAGGTTCCAGTAAAAAAGGCCAAGAAGCAGGTGTCTTTGCCTACACTTCCGTAAGTACGAGTCATTACAATCCACATTCATTCCACTTGGGGAGATAAATACTATGTAGGTTTAAATGGAATCGAGATATTCAATGAGGCAGGAAAATAAATTGAGATTTCAGATCCATACAGTTAAGTCAAGGCTGACCCTAGTGACATCAATGTGTTGCCAGAATATTTCAATGATCCTAGAACACCTGATAAGTTAGTTGATGGGGTATATTACACTCAATCTGATATGCATGTTTGGCTGAGTCCCTTTTAGAGAGGAAAGATTAATAAGATTACTATTGATCTGAATGATAAGAAGAAAATTAGTATGATTCGAATATGGAATTATAATAAAAGTAGAATCCATAGTTTTAGAGGAGCCAAAGATATAAGTTTATTCTTTGATAATCAAATTGTATTTAGAGGAGATATCAAGAAGGGTTTCGGAAATATGAATTTATAAAGAGTTATAAATTAGAATGAACAACCCTTTGAACTATTTTTGTTCACAAATGACGAAGGCATCATCTCATAAATAGCCAAAAATGATTGGATAAATTCTTAGGAATTCTAAACTATTTAACATGATTATCAAAATGAAAGACCAAATACTGGAAATGCAGATTCCGAAGTAAGACCGACAACATCAGCCAAAGTGACTAATCTATAGAATGAAAGTAATAATATGCTCCCATAATTAATTAGTTAAATAAGCCAGATAACAGGAGCAAACACAATAGAGACAAGAGAAACAATAGATTTAAAGAGCTTTAGTTAATTAGAATTCAAATGGTATAATTTGTAGATATTTATAAATCAAACTATTAAGACCTTGGGCTGATCAACCATATATTGGATTGACTGGAGTTGAAATTTATGGTATTGATTTATTTATCTATTTAGGTAAGGAGGGAAAAATATAAGTTAAAAATATTAAATCAGATTACCAAAGTGATGGAGAAAAAGGAAACATAATCAGTCTCATAAATGGGATCAATGTGACTACCAATGATATGAATATGTACATCCTTCCCTTTCAGCCAGGAAGGTGTATCACTCTAACATTTACATTCGACATCCCTCAATTAATCACCTCCATTAGAATTTGGAATTACAATAAATCTTATGATGACACTTTTAGAGGTGCTAAGTTTATCAGTTTATAAAATGATTAAGGAATTATTTCCAATTGCATAGCTTTAAAGAGAGCTCCTGGTTGTGATACCTATGATTATGCCTAAACCATAACCATACCATCCAAGGAGCATGTCTTTGAAGAAACCACTCAAGTCTAAAAGTAATTAAGATGCGAATATGAAATCAATAATCTAATGGTTGGACATGAACTCAAGATTTAGTTGATTACTACTTTTGGCGATATCCACTATATTGGATTGAATGGTTTAGAAATTCTAGATTACAAGGGAAGACAAGTTTAAGGCAATATAGGAGCAGAACCATCGTCGGTTAGAATACTTTAATCAATGAGAGGAGATAAAAGAGTAGTCGAGAATCTCTTAGATGGAATCAATGAAACTCAAAATGACACCCACATGTGGTTAGCCCCATTCACCAATAGATGTTTTGATCATTCTCAAGATCCCCAAATTAATACTCTCTATTTCGGTTCAGAACAACCTTTTGCTTTAGGCTGCATCATCTTTTGGAATTACACGAAAACTCCCACAAGAGGAGTGCACGAAATAGCTATTAGTCTTGACGATTATATTATCTATAGAGTACAATTTTTTATCTAAATCTAAGGGATATCTCAGATAAGCAGGCAATGATGGAAACCAAACTGTTGTTCTGTTTTACAGAGACATGTAGTTGATGGAAAGATTCAGTGGAAAATACTACACTGAATTTGGTCAAAAATAATCTGCTGGTTACAAAAATGAGGAGAAAGTATCATCGTTTTTTTTATGTTATCTAGGGTACTAGGCAAGTATAAACTTATGCTCTTTTGGAAAGGCCAATAACTAGAGTCAAAGGAAGTAATTGATTTTAATATATTTTATACAAAATTTATTATAATCAGTTATGAATTAGAGGCAGTGTCAATTTTGTTTAAATACTAATGGAACTTCAAATGTCAAACATGTTTATCCATAATTAATCAATAGTGTATCAATAATTAAACAATGAACAGGCATTGTACACTAAATATTCATCAAAAAAGTCCAAAAAATTTGAAGACTTTTTTGCTAAAACACCAGCCAAGTGGGTAATTGATTTTAAAGATCATTTGCATTTACAAGATGACGATGAATATTTGAAAAGGTATAGCTCCATTTTCATTGACTTAAGATTCTATCCAAGAGATCAACAACACCAAAAATTAAAATCCTTGCTTGATTATTATAGATATCATTATAACCTGCCTCGAATCTTCTATGGAGTCTTAGCCGAAATAGCCATCTCATTCTTTGAGAAGAAAAAGTATATAAAAATTGTTCATAATTATTCAATAGAAGATTCGAATATAGAAGAATTAAGAAAATGCTTGGAATCCCCTATGATGAATCTAGTTAAAGTACATGTACTAAAATATTCGCATAAAACATTAGAATATGAAAAGATGAATTAGGACATATAAGTTTTAAATAGTATAACAAAGTTTACTGAGCAATCCACTAAGTCTATTTTAAATGAGTTTTTCAAAATTTAAACCAATGATGGTTAGATTGTAAGTATTACGTAGATTATTTTCAATAGAATATTGATGAAACATGGTTGACAATGTAGTAATATGAGTTAAGGGTTCCCTAATTAAATAAGAATTATGCTCCTTAAAATCTCAAATTACTTAAAAAACTTGTTTAAAATCATTCAAGAGAAAAGATTAAGTTAAATCTACCCTTTCACCTTTTAAAAGGGAAAACTGTATCAAATATTCGAAATTCTTAAAATTAATCTCCTGAAAGAATTAACCCAACTCAAAAGTCCTCCTCTCAATAACACATTAACAGTAGTCAAGAAGATTGTGAATTTAAATCAATAATGAAATCAAAAGTCTTAACCTTATCTCAATAAAATAAAATAAAAATTCAAAATATATTCAAAAATAAAAATGAAATAGATTAAAACTACTATATCAATACTCAAGGAAAACGAAGCAACACTCATTTTATTACCAGTACTAGAAGTATTTCATCTGAACAATTAAATACTGAATAGATACGTCTAAGTTAAATTAACTTAAATGGGTAAGATCGATAAAGTTAAGATAAATTAATTAATTATGTAAAACACATCCCAATACATCCATCAAGTCAATTCATATTTCAAAATGAAGGTTCTCCCTCAAAAAAAAATTAATAGCTTATTCAAGTTTATTCAAATAACATAAGCAGTAAAGTAAAAACATAACCAAAAAAATCTCCTTAGAAATAAAGAAATTTTCATCATACTAATTCATAATCAACTAAATCTGATATTACTAAAGCTCTGTTATAAAATTTTGAGAAGATTTATCCTTGTCATTAATAAAAAATCAAAATGGATGACCCATACCACAATAATAATAAGAGAAAATAATATTAAAATAATTCTGAAATGTATAGGCTATAAACAGAAAATAAATAATTAATAGCTACTGTTAAAAATAGAGTTAAATCAATTCTTAAAAAAAAATGATATTTCTAATATAATTAAACTAATAAAAATATATCATTTATAGAGTATCAAATAAATCATACTCCATTATATTATTTATATTTTAATTTATGTTTATGCTCTAACTATTAGTATCAATGCAATTAATATATATTTGAAAGTTAGATAATATGGCTTATCATCTCAACAATAAAATTTAAGTTGAGAATCATAAATCTTATATATATTTGACTAATTGCTGTATAAAACTTGATAATCTATCTACAAAATTATATTATTATATCGTAATTTGGATATTAAATACAATTAGATTAAAAGATATTATTTCGTAATTCAACCTAATGTTTTTAGAGTAATATCAAGGTATTTTTCTAAAGAGTATTGAAGGTTTTCTTTGTTTTGATTTCAGAAGCAAAACGAAAATTAATAATTTAACAACAATATTTCAATCATATTTCTGTTAAATGAATAATAGATGGTCAATTTCTAATTAGGCTCCTTTGTAGTAATCTCGTTACAAGTAGGACATTGATAATTCGAATGTGCCTAACAATCAACCTGCCCATCATGTTAAAAATGATGAATAGGTGAGATAACTCTGTCCAAAAGATAGTCCGATTCCTTCGTAAATATATATTCAATATCATTTAAAGTGAAAATAGATCTCGGATTAAGAGTTCCTATGATGTAGCAAAATCAGGCATATCTCAAAAATATGAAAAAAGTAAAATTCTGTATTATCATCATTATTAGCTGAAACATCGTATTCTCCCATTATAAAGTCAGCTTACCAAAGAGATATTTCTCCTCAATTTTAAAAGTCTGAGAACCATAAATTGATAGATTCATATGAAGTTCGATTGATGAAGTTAAGTCAAGAGAATGGATCATTATAAAGTCAATTGTTTTCAGATCAATAAAAATACAACTAAATAATAATTGATTTTGAGCTGCAAACTAAGTGTTTAGAATAAAAGCTGAATACAGAAATAATGAATATATAATAGCATAAATTGTTAATCTAGAACAAGAATGAGGAAATCAATGCATAGACTTAGGAATTATTAAGATTGGAACAAAAGTATTTTGAATTAGAATCTAAAGTATGATTATAATTATATACATTAGATGTTTCAACAACAAAAAGACATGGGAATATTAAAATAGTCAAGTGACTCCAAATCTATTGAAATTGATAATTTAAGACAATATATTAAAGAGCTTTAAGGTAAGAATGCTAGGGATTAAGAGGAATTAAAACTTGCAACTGATAGTTCTATTCGCATTAATTATGAAATCCAAATTAAGGAAATTTAAGTGCAGCACGGTAACAATATTGCTAGATTGAATGATTTACTACAATAGGAATAATAGAAATATAATCGATTACTAAGTTAATTCGAATAATAATTGAATGAATTAAACTATCAGAATATTAAATTAAATGATTTCAAGACAGAAAACGATAAATTATTTGAAGAAAATGCTCGATTATAAAGACTTTTAGATGAAATTAAAGCCTAATAACAAGAACTGTTGAGAGAGTCAGACTCTCAAAGAGATAGATAAATGCTCCAAGATAAAAATCATTAAACAACGCTTAACGAGTTGAAATCTCATTATGAGTATATGCGAAAATCTTAAGTAGAGAGGGAAGTTAAGGAAGTCACTATGAAATTTTAGGCTGAAAGATTGAATTACGAGTCCCAGATAAGGACTTTAAATTAGAGATTGATAGATATTGAAGGAAGGATTAACCAGAAGCATGAAGAGAATCGATAGTTACAGTAGAAATAATAAGCCATAGAATCTGAATTGAGAATTTTCGTTCAAGACCATGAACATTATAAGAGAATCAAGGATAATGAATTGCAGGAATATTAAAATGAATTCTCAAAATTACGATAATTATAATTAGAAACTTAGTAAAAAAGCTAGAATTAATAGAATGAGATTTAGAGATTAAATTAAATTATCAATGATTTTAAAACTGAAATTGAATTGGTGAAATCTTAATCTCAAGAAATTCAAAAGCAAGTTAAGCTAGAATATGAAAATGATCTCAAAAACTCAAAAGCTAAACAATAATTTGAACTTAGATAATTATAGGATCAGATCAATGATTTAAAAAATGATATTCAATAATAAGAATACAATATCAAATAAAAGGATGAAACCATACATCAATAAAAGCTTAATTTATCTTAAAAATAAGGAGAAGTTGATGGGTTGACATTAAAATTAGAAAATCTTGAAAAACTTAAGGATTAGGAAATACAACAATATCAATGTGAAATAGATAACCTTTAAAGAGAATAGAGCTTATCACAAACTAAACTAGGAAATGAAAAGAGTCTCTTGGAATAATAAATTAAATAGTTAAAATAAAAATTAAATGATTTGGAGACTCAATAAATACAATAAGAGTTTAGCAATGAATAAGGAAGGTAGGAATTAGAATAGAAGTTATAATAAAAAGAATTTTAATTGCAATAACTGTAAAATGAAAGAAATAGCATCAACTCTCAGTTGACTGTGTACAAATAGAAAATTGAATAATTTGATTCCATAATATAAGAATTAAGGGAGTAAAATTAGTAACTTAGTTAAGAAATTGAGGATCAAAAATAACAAAATGAAAGTGATAGGGCTTAATTTGTTAAGAAAGAACTTGGATTAGAAAATAAGATATAACAATTAAAATAACAAATGAATTAAAGAGAATATGAATTGTAATAGTATCAAAGTGAGTTGGACACTACAAATAATAGAGTTCGATAATAAGAGCTAATTACACAACAAAGTTAGGATGAATTTCGAAGAAGGGAGCATTAATATGTTCAGGAAATTACTAATTTAAAATAACTTATGGATACCACTCAACAAAGACAAAGTGAATATTAAAGTATGAGAGAGACATTGTAAGAATAAGTGTAGAGTTTATAAGAGAAAGGCTAGAATAAAGAAAAAGAAGTGGAAGAGCAAGCTCAAAAGTGTGAGGAATTAAGAGAATAATTTAATCAATATGTTGAAGAGACTAATTTGAAGTTGGAATATTATTAGAGAATAGAATATGAGAGAAAAGAATCAGATTTGAAATATCAGGCAGAATTGGTATTTAATTAAGTTTTAATTTTAGGATGCTGCTTAGGACAAAATTAGAGTTTTAGAAATAGAACTAGAAGCTCTTTAATTAAGATAGAATCAGCTTCTTAAAGAGAGAAGAGAACTCGAAGATTTATTGGATGAAAAGTCAAAAGAAATTGAATAGCTTAAAAATTAACTTAATTAGGATTATATCTCTAATGAAGAGTATACTTCATTATAAAGAAAGTATAATGAGTAAACAGAGGAATTACATTTATTAGAATAAAAACAAATTAAATTTGGTACTGAAAAAAAACAATTAGAAAGATAGATCGACAAATTGAATCAAGACATTGAACTTAAGGATTAAGAACTTTAATAGACTGATAATTTAATGAAAAAAAGAAGAAGCGAATAAGATGAGTTAAATAGGAAAATAGATTCACTAACTAGAGATAATGCAAAAGTATCTCATGATTTACAAGAAGTGCAAGCCTCTTTAAGTTCTAAAATTGATTATATAAATGCTTTGAAGAGAGAGAATGAAGATTTATAGATCTAATTAGCCTCTGCCAAAAAATAATACGAGAAAACATAAGAATAATTGAATAAAAAGAATTAAGAATTACTAGAAAAATTTAATGATGCTGAAATCAAAAAGTCATACTCTTCTGGTGAAAACACAGCAACAAAATTTTTAACTGCAACTACAATAATTAAGACATCTCAAGTGTAACTTAATACTCCATTAATTCCAGAAGAAGAGAGTTAAAAAGTAACTGAAAGATCCGATTAACAATTTAAGGTATTTTAATTATAATCTATTTAGACATCTCAAAGAAGTGAAGAAGTTTGATTTATTTAATATATGTATCAATTTATATCTTATTTAACTTATTATAATATTTCAATTTAATATAAATATAAATTTTATATATTACTAATTTAGAATGAATCTTATTAATTCCAATTTATTTAATTTTCATCATATTAGTGAAATATAATTGCATTATTGATTTAAATTAATATTTCAAATATATTTATAATAAGGATTATATTGTTCTTTAGGAAGACATTCAGCATTGATTTTGAAGTTTTCATTTATCTTATTAAAATATTTGTGTTTCAATAATTCAGTAGCAGTAGGTCGATCCTGATATTTTAAGGTTGCTTGGAGAAAGTTAATTTGATCATCATCAGCCAAATCAAAATATTCAAAGAAAGATTTGGGTCTGACGTGTTGAAAGCTGAAATTAGTTTATTTAATACTTAATCTTTCCTTGATCTGGTAATTCCTTAACTTTGGGCCAGTTGTCTTCAGTGGGTGAGCCTAAAACATTGCCAATGTGAATGATTTAATCAATTTCTCCTTTGCCAGTGAATAATGGTAATCCAGTGAGGAGTTCAGCATAAATACACCCAAATGACCAAATGTCTACTTCAGTTCCATAATCTCTTTTGCCAAATAGCATTTCTGGTGCCATGTACCATTTGGAGAAGCCTTCAGTCGAATATTAACCATTTTGATCTAATTTACTCAAATGTTCTGCTGAGCCAAAATCTCCAATCTTGATAATACCCTCATGCAACATAATATTGGATGGTTTGAGATCTCGATGGACAACTTAGCGTGAATGTATGTGTTCTATCCCACATAGAATTTGATATGCTATATTTCTGATAACTTCTGCATCTAGAGGGTAGAGAGTGCTTTGTATGAATTAGTGTAAATCATATTAGCAATATTCCATGTAGATGGAGCATTATTGATCGAGAACTTAGTACTAATATACTTTGATAACATTTTTATGATTCATCTTTTCATGCAAATGAACTTCTCTCAGTACTTTCTTATTACAAAACAATTGCTTTATGGCTACTATTTCTCCAGTCTTCACATTGATGCCCTCGTAAACAGTTCCAAAAGCACCTTGCGATATTTTTTTATTAATTTTATATAAATCAGACATTAATTATTATGATTCCATTTAAAAAATTAGCATCACTTTTTATACGTACATTCTCTAAACCAGTTGCCAATTTAATCAAGAGATACGCTCTGAATAATAGCAATAACAGATCTTTAGGAAGGAGGATAGTCAGAAATGGCTTTATCTTTTTAGGAAATAGATACCATGCATTAGATGTATATTTGGATAGAGTCTCGATTGGTCAATCAAATCAGCAATTTTTCATTAAACCCCTAACAGATGAAACTGCATTTCTGAAAGGTTGTTGATCAATTGATATTGAAATAGGCACTGATCTATTCTCAGATGTATTTATTTATATCTGTGTCTTGGGATTGCCGTTATATGAAATCATAAGGCAATCAAATGAGTCAGCCCTCAAAGAAGCCATTTATGATGACAAATTACACAAACTATCAAAAGTACGCCCACAATTTTGAGTTTTAGGAAGTTGAAGAATTAGAGTTAATTGAATCTAAAATTAAGGAAAAACAATTAGAGTTAGCATAATTAGATAAAATTCTAATTGAATAAATATCATAAACTAACCATGAATTTTAATAGCAATTAGCAAAACATCTTAATTGATTTACATAAAAATTTATGAATCCATTATAAATTTGTATAATATCAATTTTTATTTTAAGCCTTTCTTATAATTGCCTTCACAAAAGCTACAACTCCATCGAATTCCTACTCTAACATTCTATAATCCAAGTCTAATTGCTAAATAACAGAACTCCTCTCTCTTCCCTTTAAAGCATGAGTCAATTGATCCAATGCCTATTTAAATTGAGGACTCAATAGATTTTCTGTAAATTATTCAAAGTTCTATTAATCAGGAGGTAAGTGTCTAGAATTAACGATATTTCTTACTCTTTTAAAGCATTAAAGTATTCTTCGTCCTTGGCAATTTGAGTCAAAAATTCGCTTGTAAGAAGATCAGTTAATGATAGTCCTGGACCAACTCTGGCTGATAGTTGCTATTGAAGTAATTGCAAAAGTTATTATTATTATAGGTCTATTTATTGTGCAGGCTATGGATGAGATTATTATTAAGTTATAGTTTAAACTGGAGGTTACTATTCAATTTCCATAGGATCATCTAAGACTTAAGCATTGATAACATTGTTAAATTGCTTACAATAATTTTCATCTTAACTTGGATCGTCAGACTAATATTAAATGCTTAATATTACTTGCATCCAAAAGAAATATTTTTAGTCATCGTCTGTAAATCTAAGGAGGTATACTCTGTTTTAGCCTTTAACCTTTTCGAAAAAAGTGCAACCTTTAATCAAGACTCTTTCCTAATTTAAATTAAATTATTATCAATACAATTTCTAATTTATTATCTAGATCAACATTATACCACTTCAACCACAACTCATTCTCTTCATTCAAATACAAATTGAGCAATCCTTTTGCTTTCACAATAACTACTTTCTTGGTATCTTGATTGAAATCATACCTTCCACAAGGAAATTTTACCTCTTGAAGCATTAATTAATTAAAATAATCAATTCAAAAATTACTTTAAATACTCTCAATAATATGGATTTATCTTAAGACTAAGGCAACATTCTTTCTGAACTCTTAGAATTGATTGTAATCTAAGTACATGGTTTTCTTCACTCCTTTTTTTGTATGGAATATTAACAGAATCAATGGTCGAATGACCTAATTATGACTCAATATAAAAGATTACTTTTCTCATCTTGATGCTAGATAGAGTAATCTCCAATTTCCACTCTAACTTGGAAAAATCAGCCTCGAAAGATTCTAGATTTGTATTTTCTTTGTATAGTGTCTCAATGATGGTTTCTTAAGGATTGATTGAATTTTCTTTATTAACACATGAATATCATACCTGGATCAGTGTAGTACTTTATGAAAGTGTAATTGTTTAACTTTCTATCGAAGTGAATGATAGGTAATACTTAATCCTTTAGATAAAGCATAATCTATTGATCGATTTTACTTATTTTCTCCAACGCTTTAACTTAATCTTGCTATGATCTCATAGCCAATTCTTTTAAGGCTTTTGTGCATTTGGTGACTAAAATTTTATCATCTCTTCTCAATCCATCTCTATACTTGACAAGTTGGCTTTTGTAATTTTTCTCTTGAAGCATCACATCCAATGCCACCTGAAGTATCATCTGATGATTCTCATGCTTCTTCAATAATTCTACGAATTTCATATTGTAATCCATTTGCTGCTAAGTATTATTTGATGATTATATTATATATTTATCGATTCAATTCTAAATTACCAAAATATAATACTAAATGATTTAATCATGAAAAATAAAACCTGAGAGTTTGATGTTATGATTGACCTAATTTGAAAGGTGTTATATGAAATACACAAAATTAATTACAAAAACCTTAATATCATCAATTTAGTTGTAAAATATATGTAAAATTCTATGCATTGAATTAATCTGAACACATGGGAGTATTATTCGAGTATGTTTTTGACAGGGATCTCCAAATTAGAGAATCATTACTACTTTAATCCAATATTGCTTATCAATATCACTCAATCATTATATCTATTGGTCTAATAGGTTATAATTCTTTTAATATCTGATTGTNAGTCATCGTCTGTAAATCTAAGGAGGTATACTCTGTTTTAGCCTTTAACCTTTTCGAAAAAAGTGCAACCTTTAATCAAGACTCTTTCCTAATTTAAATTAAATTATTATCAATACAATTTCTAATTTATTATCTAGATCAACATTATACCACTTCAACCACAACTCATTCTCTTCATTCAAATACAAATTGAGCAATCCTTTTGCTTTCACAATAACTACTTTCTTGGTATCTTGATTGAAATCATACCTTCCACAAGGAAATTTTACCTCTTGAAGCATTAATTAATTAAAATAATCAATTCAAAAATTACTTTAAATACTCTCAATAATATGGATTTATCTTAAGACTAAGGCAACATTCTTTCTGAACTCTTAGAATTGATTGTAATCTAAGTACATGGTTTTCTTCACTCCTTTTTTTGTATGGAATATTAACAGAATCAATGGTCGAATGACCTAATTATGACTCAATATAAAAGATTACTTTTCTCATCTTGATGCTAGATAGAGTAATCTCCAATTTCCACTCTAACTTGGAAAAATCAGCCTCGAAAGATTCTAGATTTGTATTTTCTTTGTATAGTGTCTCAATGATGGTTTCTTAAGGATTGATTGAATTTTCTTTATTAACACATGAATATCATACCTGGATCAGTGTAGTACTTTATGAAAGTGTAATTGTTTAACTTTCTATCGAAGTGAATGATAGGTAATACTTAATCCTTTAGATAAAGCATAATCTATTGATCGATTTTACTTATTTTCTCCAACGCTTTAACTTAATCTTGCTATGATCTCATAGCCAATTCTTTTAAGGCTTTTGTGCATTTGGTGACTAAAATTTTATCATCTCTTCTCAATCCATCTCTATACTTGACAAGTTGGCTTTTGTAATTTTTCTCTTGAAGCATCACATCCAATGCCACCTGAAGTATCATCTGATGATTCTCATGCTTCTTCAATAATTCTACGAATTTCATATTGTAATCCATTTGCTGCTAAGTATTATTTGATGATTATATTATATATTTATCGATTCAATTCTAAATTACCAAAATATAATACTAAATGATTTAATCATGAAAAATAAAACCTGAGAGTTTGATGTTATGATTGACCTAATTTGAAAGGTGTTATATGAAATACACAAAATTAATTACAAAAACCTTAATATCATCAATTTAGTTGTAAAATATATGTAAAATTCTATGCATTGAATTAATCTGAACACATGGGAGTATTATTCGAGTATGTTTTTGACAGGGATCTCCAAATTAGAGAATCATTACTACTTTAATCCAATATTGCTTATCAATATCACTCAATCATTATATCTATTGGTCTAATAGGTTATAATTCTTTTAATATCTGATTGTAAAGTGATTGACCTGAACTATTTCAACAGATATCACAATAGAAAACAGACCATTTTGATACATAAATAAAAAGATGAAATTTATGGATTTAAGAGACAAATAACATTAGTGATATCTATATATAGACTTTTATAATAACAAAAATTTAGTTTTGAAATATACTTAAAACAGTGTATTCATTTTTACATATCTTTCTATATATTTTCCAGTTTGGTTATGATCTCTGATTATTATAAATAAAGTCTCGTGTCTACTTTCAAATTTGACTTATAATCTTAGTATTCTCTACTTGTTATCATCTATACGATTTCATTCCTTAAGTAATTTCTGTATCTGTAGATAATTGATAAAGAAGAGGTTACTACGTATTCCCATGGGATATAATATAATTCTCTTGTGATGTCATCAAATGAAAGTGGAATACTAGTAATAATTATTCGATTGCCTGTTTGTTCAAGTCCAATTTTTAAATTATACTTAGTCATTAGATAGTTCCTCACATTTTTCTCACTCAATAGTTAAGCCAAAATCTCTTCTGAATTATTGGATTCCACCTTTTCAAGTCTTAGGGTTAGGTATCGAAACAAGTATGGAAATGGTTAATCCATGGCTACGAAATCGCAAAGCAGTATTTTAATATAGAAGTATTTGTTGCATTAATACATATCTCCTTTGTCTTTCTCTTTATAATAAATTGAATAGGAGAACCTATAATCAAAATTGAATCTAATAATTTCTGATTCAGATTTAAAGATGTTCTCCTTTCTCAAAAGCATTCCTAAGTGTTTAATCAGACAAACCACAATCACATCTTTGGCATGTTTGATATAATCTAATCTTGATAACTATTCGATGTCGTATTTATACCATTCCAAATAATCCTTATATAAAATATTGATTGGGATCATATTAATTTGGCATCTCAAATCTTGATATGCTTCAAAAATTTGATACTTCTGTTATTAAAACCTCTAAACCAACATTCGTAATTGTGATTCCAAAACGTAATCTTGCATATTGTCCAAGTACAATTTGTCATAAAATAGGTTTTTGTGTAATTGATGCAAATGCAGATTGTATTCTTAGAGAATATAACTTGGAGTTCGTTTACTTTGATCCATTAACACTACCTTCTGATCCCAACATTTCTTTCTGACTTCAGGGATATTATATATTTTTCTAAGGAAATCTAGTTTTTTTGACAATTGAATGACACATTGTCTTTTTGGATTGGACTTGTTTTTATCTAGGTCTCCTTTCATCTAAATATAGATCAAGATCTCTGGAAAGGATATCTAAGAAACCCAACAATTTAGCATAATTATCTTTTGGAGCCATCTCAATCCGTTTTTCCTCGGCATCAGGACTGATTTATCAAATTAACCATTCAACGATGACTTAGATTTGCAGAAATTAATGAGGTTCCTAATTATTCCTAATAGCTTATTAATTTAAGGATCCAAGCTATCATCATATTATTAGAAGAATTCAAGTTTTTTCATCAATTAAGTTTTACATGATTTTAAATCAAGAAACATTTCATTTAATTCAGTCAATATACTCTCTTTGCTCTTTTCTAATTGTTCAAGACTCATCATTAAGAGTTCTTTCATTTTAATAATTTCTATGCATTTCAAATTTTAATTCAATTCTTCCTCGTTCCTATGATCTTTAATTAATGTAAAATTCAATGAATCTAACAAGGAATCTTCGCATCTTATTTTCAGTTTGACCAATTACTCTCTTTTCTTTTGGAATTCAATAAAATTCAGAATAAAAGGCAATGGGACTTTATTTATTATTAAGTATAGTAATTTCTGTTTAATTTCATTTTTTATTTTTTTGTTCACTTCCACTTCGTCATCTTCGCTTTCTTCAACACTTTCATCCTATCTCAACCTCTCTGGGTTTAGTTTCTGACTAAATTTAAATTTCCTCTCTCTTGGTATTTACCTACTTATGTGTCCCTTATTATAAACAGCACTCAGAATTTATTGAACTTCCACTATTTCTTCAGCCTACGTATTAATGTTCTTATAATTTTCATAGAGTTAATCTAAATTTCTATCAAGTGTAATAGATTGATTCAATTTAGCGATTTTGTGATGTTTCATCAATTTAACTAATAGTTTAATATTCTTCTTTCTTTAATTAACTGGTTAAATTTAAAAAGAGTAGGAGTCATCTGAAAAATCTAACATTTTAATTAATTACAAAATACCCTCAAAATTTTTGAAACCATAAATGAACAAATTCAATAATGAATTTTTATTTCCAATTAATATTACTAATATAATAAAAATAAATTATACATTTTTATTCAAATCTTATATCCCACTCTATTTGTGATTCCCATAATCGAGTATCGCCCTTCTGCCCACTCCATCCTTCCATTCTACAATGATCCCATGGAAAGTAAATAATATTTTATATATCATTTGTTAATTAAATTAAAATGCTAAATACTTCATAGACGAGATCAACAAATGAAATCCCCAATTATGTTGTAATTGATAATGAATACATAATAGTGAAAAACATTTATAAAGGAAACACCTACAATTTATACATAGGTAGAGATTGAAAGCCTAGCTAGCTGTAAAAAGAGACTCTTCTGAAGATTAAAACAAGTTCGTATTGATCAAAATGCGCAGGTAGCCTATTCCATTTATCAAAGAACTAATGCCTCAGAACAGAATTTTGAGTAGTACTTCTTGAACAAACTAAAAGATAGTAAAATAAGTTTGTATTTAGGTAAATGCACTACCAGAATTCTGTCCATTGGAGAACAAATAATCAAGGAATAACTTTATCATTATTAAGTGATGGAACGTCACGGTCCTTCCTTAAAACTAGTTTACAATTACTTATCCAAAACCATCCCTATTACAATACTATGTGTGATGGCAATCCAGACTGTAAATGTCACCAACTAATATAGCTTACTTGTCTGGAGTAAATCCATAAGCAATTGATCATTCATCGCAATATTAGACCCAAGAAATTGTTAATCTCTCAAAGTGGTTAAGAAATTTTATTGACTGATTTTAAATTTGCTTGTAGATACAGGAAACAGCAAAATAATATCATAGTAAATGATACCTTACGCAGTTCTTAGAACAAAAGGTTTCTGAATAAATTCTCAAGTCTGAATCAGCATTTAGAATAAGGTAATTGTCACATATTAGTATCGAGTCTCTTCTCCCAAGGACGACCTTGAGTCTCTAGCCTTGATTATACTCTATTATGGTGGATTTGCCCAACTCCTAGACATAAAAGAAGAGAACAGAGGACTTAAAATTAAAAAGTTGGAACAAGTTAAATTAACTCTGCTACCTGAACTGTCCTTCAAGGGTGCTCCATTGGAATTTATTCAATTTTACAATGGAGTTAAATAATCATCATTTAGTGATTACCCACAGGAGTATGAAAAATATAAACAGTTATTTCGGAAACTATTGAACGGTTGCGGCTATTCAGAGAAGGATGTCGTTTACCCTCATTTACAGATGATGAAGCAATAACATTATAATGTGAATGTGATAATCGAAGAATAAGAAACCCAAGCTCAGATGGATTCGATTGATGAAGATCAAAGTGTGTTTAGAAAAATGAAAGAATTAGATGGAAAAAGATATCATAGATTAATTTCATTAGAAACTTAAACATAAAGCTCTCAGAAAGAATGATTAGATTAAATTATTATTAATTTATGTAATATATTTTAAGGGATTATTTTGTAATTCGTTCAGAAAATCTGAAGAATATTGATTCATGGAAAAGGCTAATGATTCTAATATCTATCTATTAATTAAGCGATGCAATGGTAGTTGCAGGAGAAGCAGCTACAGAAAATATTGAGGGTGAGAAATTTATATTGATATATCGAATTTTGGTAAAATATATTGTGATATTAGGCTCAAATCTTTTTGATTGCTTTCTTTCATGTACTAATGATAAAATTATTAAAAATAAAAAATAGATTAATAAATTTAATAACATTATTAAAATGTATATGCGTTATCATATGTTGGGAAGAATTGGATATTGATATATAAAACACATTACACTAATCGTTGCTTTAATAATTTGTAATTGCGCTTTGTTTTGTATTTGCGATTGAATCTTAAATTTGCTAAACCCTTGCACTTTTATTTAATCTTTTATATAGTCTTACCAGACATTTTAAATTTGATTCAAAGAGTAACATATCATTTGCAGTTAGATTAACTATTATGCATGTATTGCTATAAATATATGTTATAATCTCAAGTCAGAAGAACAATAAGAGTTACTCTAATGCTTAATTAATAGCAATGAGTGCTAATAACAATATAAATTATTCCCAAATGTATTCAAATCGAGTCCTAAGTCCAAAATAAGCTTAGACCCAATTTTGTATTGAAATTTCAGAGAAGAAAAACCAGTCTGCCATTCCGATGGATTAGAAAATAGATGATAACATAACAGAATCCATTTAATAAGATCATTTATTTGAAGTGTTGCTAACTAGTTTCGATTAAGGAATTTATATAATTGATAATTCATTCTAATAAGCATAAATAATCAATCCACTTTTAAGCAATCTGATTTTGAAGAATGAGAAATTGAATTTAAAGTTATTTGAAGCTAAAATAGTTGATAGTGGTATTAGTGGAGATGAAATCTATATGATCATTCCAAAGCTTCATCAGAGCAATGATATTGAGTCATTCTTGAGATTCAGCTAAACTTTAGAGTAAAATATGATTTTATATAATTGAGTTCCATTTTATCAATTTGATAAGCAGATTCACCCAATTCAAAAATTCCAGCTCATTGGCAAGAACATAACTCTAAAATTTGTATTAGATAATCTAATGGCTTTTAATCACCTTAAATACTCTAAAACTCACTCCCTAGTAGATTTTTCAATTAAAACATACATCAAATATGATACTCTTAATTTATAAATTTTGTTATCTCCATTGGTGCATAAATAAAAACTGTATTAAATTCTATTTGTATCTGATGTCACTAATGAACTTGAAATTTCACAAATCTTCGATAACAATAAGGGCAGTGATGATTATTTAATTAGTGATATCTCATAGAGAATAAGATAACCTTTAAATAGCACAATATCAATGTTAGAAATAATTATGGTATATACTTATGGCACATATGATTTTAGAATACGATTCCAGAGGATACACGAGAAAAATACATAAATCCAGCATTGGCAGGTTGTAAATTACTCATTAATACAGCGAATGATATTTTGGATTATGTCCAATTATTGAAGAGAACCAAATTAGAATTGACATTAATTGACATCTAAATGCACACATTTATATCTGATATTCTGAATGTAGTGAAATCCTAAGCTACCTTTAGGGGTCTAAAACTAATTGTAACTATTGAATAAAAGGTTCCTCAATTTATCAGAACTGATCCAAATAGACTAAGATAAGTTTTAATTGATTTGTTGGTCACTATTATTTAAGCCACCATCAAAGGAAAGATAATACTGTTAGTGAGAAAGTGTTCACATAATTCTGATCATATTGACATTATCATAAAAGTTAATGCTCTTGAGACTAATTTTTAGATATTAAAAATGATCAATAAAACAGTTAGATTCTTTAAATCTTAATCTTTACAGTCCAAAGTCATAGAATTATCAAAATTAAAACAATATTCATAATCCATGCTCATAGCATTTTACTTAACCAAATATTTATCATCAATTCCTTTTGAATATGATTATGAAAGAGTCGAAAATTTAGAAAGTCTTCAATTCATTATCAAGGTTTAAAATCTAAATACCTAATTTAACGAAATGTTAACCCAAAAAAGACTATCAGTCATATAGAATCAAAAAACCTTTCATTAGCTCTTTGTCAATAAAGAAGGACTCTAAAGAGGTTAGTCTGAATTGCCAGTTTCAAATGATTTATAAGAATGTAAATAGATAAAGAAGAACATATATATTGGAATTAAAGAGAATCTTATAGAATCTGGTTAAAACGAGTCTGATGTGTAGGAATATGATGCAATATCAATTGAATCCAGGATTGGACTATCAATTAAGGTAGACTAAATGGAACAAGCAGAACCCTACTTTTTTGATTACATAAATGAGGATAAAAAGAAACAAGAGCTTTTTATATCTCAACCTTCTCAACAAATAACATTCGGAGGATTTGCATAGCCCAGATCATCAATCTATTCATCATTGGGCTATTCTAGCGGAAGTATGTAACCAAATGATCTATTGGATTGTTTCGAAAAAATGGAAAAACTCAAATAGTAAAAATTCTAATTCAATTGCTAAGTATAAATATTAATCATTATTAAAGTGTCCTAAAATATTGATATATGAAAGTATAGATCTAGATCTTTATGCAATGTCACATCAACTTGACAATCTTGGAATTCTATATGAATACATCACGTAAAGATAGTTGATTGTGAATGCTCTAAATAAAAATGTAAGCAAAGTATAACATTGTTGTAAAGGCTTGGAACTATTATTCATAGGAGTAGAATAAAATGATGAAGATTTAGATGCAATATTCGCTGAAATCAAAGAGATTTATGTTAAATTTAGAGTAGAACCTAAAATTATTGCATTAATGGGAGATATGCATTAAGAAAATAGAAAAGAAATTTTGAAATTGCCTTTCCACGATTTCTTATCTAAACCTATAATGATCGATGCATTATTATTCATTCTAACCAAATGGATCAAAATTTAATGATAAATATAACTTCATTTAAGTCTGATATCAAATTTAAATTTAAATGAATGCATGCTTAGATTGATATAATTTTTAATATATTTCTAAAAATATAACTGCAATCATAAAAGGAAGTGTCGTCTAAATAAACTTACTTAATTGTTAAATGGATTACATATTGGATTTTTAATAAATTTGTGATTGTTTTAATAGTATATCCTAATTAAATGATTATGAATCATTTAAATGTCTGGTCAGTAATAATATAATAAAACGAATCAAAGACATAATATTCTCAAATATTGTATCTTAATTAATTTTTAAGTATATTTAATTTCTGTTTTGGCTTTGGGAAATAGAAATTTTATAGTAAATAAATTTTATATATTTTTAATTGAATGTGACATATAATAATATAATGTCATATCTCGTTTTGTATATATTTGTCCTTTGTTAGATAAATTGTTATTTGTCATACATATTTTACTTTTTATACATTTATTCTTTAAATGAATGACAAAAAAGGAAAAGTATTGAAGGTTTTTAGATAGTGTTTAGAGAAGGAATACTTGATTTTACGGACTGATTGTATGATTAGTAGTATGTGATCTCAAGTTCAATATATAACAATTAAAATGATTCAGCATTAAAATTAATGAAATCAAAATAATTAACTCCCTAAAGAGTAGTGTCTACTATCAAGTTGAGAAAGGCTCTTTACTTTTATAAGAAAGACAAAGAAGTATTGGACCTAAAGATCAAGTTGAATGAGATGTGTGAATCTACTTTTCTTACTAATGCAGAACTGCATCACATAGTCCGTTCAGTTTCTCGAGGGAACTCCCCATCATCATAGAGATTTCGAATTCGGACAGAAACTGCAACGATTAGCACAGGACCTAAGACACCGTAACATAGATTCAAAAAATTCGATTTCACCACAACTGCACATCTCTATTTCGCTTGATTATTATTATAATGAATAACTCCACTTTGATCTGCAATCCTCGACATAAACAAATCTATTAAATTTATACGTCTCGCAATCATACACAAACTAAGTACACTCCCAAGCTGCATTCCAAATTACCGAATTGTTCTCCATAACCTAAAATAAATGATTTCAAAGTGAAGAAGTAAAAATGTCTCTCTTCACGCAAAAAGTAACTCTCACATCATTAAAGTCCTGTAATCAACCACAATCATGCAATTTGTGATTCTAGCGAAAGTTTTATGAAGGACTTGGAATTATCTGGCAATGAGGATTTGAAGGAGATCAACAAGAATTTGTTGCTTACATCTTAAGAAATTAATAAGAAAATGTAATTCAACATTGAATCTTATCTTAACAGCACTTTCAAATAGAAACAACTATAACAAAAAGTTAATAATTTCATTGATCTTAATTTTAATCACCCAACAAGTGCTTTCCATTATTTTGATTCCTCCAAAAGTAGAAGAGGCACTCCTTTACAACCCTTAAGACTATATCAAAAAAAATGAATTTGTTTATTTATAATACTTATCATTTCCTCCGACAATCAAATCAATTAGGTCATAATTATTCAAATTATCTAAATCCAAGTTTAATATTATAAAAATCCTCTGATTCTTGCAGTAAAAACATTTTTAGTAATCTCTTAAATTTAGAAAATATTTAATTATTATTTATGTATAGATTCATAGCTAAATTCCACTTTTGTGATATTAGAAACAAACTATTTAACTTGAGTCTCATACACGCCATCAATCACGGATTCAACAATAAGGCATTACAATAAGCATGTCTAGATCTTAATATCTCAGGTGCTGCATCCACAGTCATCCAACCAATTGATTTGATACATTATTCAATGAGAAAATGGAATCGTGAAATTATAGACACCATGACATTTGATGAAAATTTTAAGCAATTTACTATTAGCAACAAAATCAAGAACTTAATAAAATAAAGATTACAATTACAAGGTCCTTATATGGGCAGATGGAATGAAGCTATGGCTTTGGGAGCTTAGAATGCAAATTAAACAAGTGCCATTCTATGGTAATTTGCAGATGATTGCTGGTATTTGGCTGGTGATAAATCATAAGATTATAATCACTATACCAAGAGAATGATGTTTTTATATATCTACATTTCGACAGAACTCTTTATGTTAACTGATAAATCACCAAACTTTTTTATGACTTGGGATTTCTTGGAGAGGTGAGAAAATTCATTTAATTGTAGACGAATGTTAGAAATTAAGGATTTTGGTAGTTAAATTGAGTTGATATCCACGACTATGAAAACACTATGGAATTCCGGGTATTATATGACAACTATGTTTTATAATTTTCCAAAGGGTACTTTGAAATGAAAAGCATGTGGATTTGTATCAATATAAATTTATTAACATAATCTCTCTGCAACTATAATTCCAATCTTATCTGTTAGAGGTTCATATCTACTTGGAAATCAATATAATTGTGTAAATAATCTTTTTGGGTCTAAGAGATCAAGAATATAAATATGAGAAAACATTTAATTAATAGAATTTTTGAATGATGACAATTATATATAATCAATTGAATATATTATTTTTAGATTTAAGTACTGATAAAGAGAGTTTTGATATACTAAATGTATATATTGTAAGTGTAAAAATAACGAAATAATTAATAAATATATTACCCACGTGTGTGAGAAGAATTAAAGGTGAAAAAATGAAGTTTAAAATCAATAATAAAAATGCCAAACAAAACCAAGATTCTTAATTATATGAGGCCAGCTATGGCTATCATCCCAGATGTAGCTGAACCAGAAAGAAGAGTATGATATTAAATACGAAATTTAGATTCTATTTAAATACAGAGCACTATGGACAGCCATAGCAACATTGCTGTATTTGATTTGTTCATAGATCCCACTTTATGGTATTTACAAATCATCTGCTGGTGATCCATTTTATTGGATGAGAGTCATCTTAGCATCAAACAGAGGTACTTTAATGGAATTGGGTATTTCTCCAATGGTCACAGCATCTATGATAATGTAATTATTGGCTGGTGCCAAATTAATTGACGTCGATTAGAATGTAAAGGAAGACAAATAATTGTATTCAGGAGCATAAAAATGTATAAATAATAATTGATTTTCTAGTGTTGGGAATTCTTATTGCTTTTGGAGAAGCCTTCGCATATGTCTGGTCAGGAATGTATGGAGATTTGGATAAATTGGGTGCTGGAAATGCAATTCTAATTATAATATAGTTGGTATTCTCAGCAATTGTCATGATTATGATTGATGAATTACTATCAAAAGGATATGGAATTGGAAACTCAGGAACATCCTTGTTTATAGCTATAAATATCTGTGAAAACATTATGTGGAAAGCATTTTCACCAATTACTCACAAAACTGAATTGGGATTAGAATATGAAGGAGCCATCATTGCATTATTACATGGATTGTTTGTATAGAGTGATAAAATCAGTGCTCTTCAATCAGCCATATTAAGAGATTCATTACCAAACCTAACTAATTTGTTGGCAACAGTATTGGTGTTTTTGATTGTCATCTACTTCTAAGGATTCAAAGTCGATATCCCAATCAAAAACAATAAAGTCAGAGGAGGATTAACATCATATCCTATCAAATTGTTTTATACCTCCAACATTCCAATCATCCTCTAAACTGCATTAGTTTCAAACCTCTATTTCCTTTCATAAATTCTTTACAGAAACTTCAAGGGTAACTTCTTAATCAGATTGTTGGGATATTATCAAGAATTAGAGAATGGATAGACTGTTCCAATTGGAGGATTAGTGTATTATGTGTCACCTCCAAGATCAATTTCAGAAGCTATCTTCGATCCAATCCACACCATCCTCTACACTGCATTCATTCTTGGAACCTGTGCTGTGTTCTCAAAGACTTGGATTGATGTATCAGGATCATCACCAAAAGATGTATTGTTTTTTAAATATATTCATAGGTCGCCAAATAATTGAAGGAACAAGACATGTAAATCGTTGGATACAGAGATTCATCCATGAAAGACGTGTTAAAGAGATACATCCCAATTGCTGCTTCCTTTGGTGGTATGTGTATTGGTGCTTTGACCATCCTTGCTGATTTCTTAGGTGCCATCGGTTCAGGTATGAATTTATGTTAATTTACAAAGGAACTGGTATTTTGTTGTCTGTTACAATCATCTATGGCTATTTTGAAACCTTAAAGAAGGAAAAAGAATAGGGTACATTAGAGTTGTTTTGATATTATTAAATATTTTTTTAAGTACATAACATTTATGACGCAGAATGTGCTAAAAGAAGAAATAACAAATTAAATATCATCATATATTTGAGTTGAGTATTGGATTTTAAACTATTACATTGTACAATTTACGAACAGATGTAATAGTATTCTCAACTACACTCTAGACAATGAAATGATGAGGTGGCACCCTCAACAAACTCACGCCAGCAGTTCGGATGTCAGGAATGGCAGATTCAGTCTCGCTTTGGCTACTGAGAGCCTTACGACGATACTCATTATAAGCGATTTTGGCTTCATGATACGTGACCTTCATTTCTCTGGCGGCATCTTTTAATTAAACACCTTTATTGATTAGAATGATGAGGTCTTTTTTTTATTAAGAATTAAGAGGTTGATGAATGCGAGTAGGCTACACTTTCTTTATTTTTTACATTTCCATCTCTACTTGTTTCTTGATTTCGTCTAAAATTTTCATTTTGTAATTTTTACAATTCAAACTCCCTAAGTTGCTTTCTTATATTATCCAGAAAACGATAAATCATAGTGCGATCGGTTAATTTTATGATGTAAAGTACTATTCCAATAAGAATCATTAACTACGTCATATAAATACCATCAATCTAATCAGTATTTTATGATTATTGAACAATGTTGCGTATTATCAAAATTCAAACATTCTATGATCTATATTTTATAAAAGAAATCTTTTATATTTTATTTCGTTTAAATACTTGACTAATCTTCTCTACAACAATTAATTTTATATGACTTACGATGGGTTTCAGTCAAATTTACTAAATAAGATCGAAAAACTATAAATTTATCAAATATTAAACATTTTAACTAAATAAATATCATGACTATTACGATTAATTAATATTATTTCTCCCTTCCATTAATAAATTTAATCATTCACTTTTATCTACTTTGAAATCATGAAAATTCTTAAATTTATCCATTCCAATTAAACATATTGATTTTAGAATGAACAATATATTTGTAAAAAAATATATTTCAACTTTTATTTCGATATTTATATCAATAATTAGCTTCTACTATATTCTAGGTGCGTATTCAATCAAATTCTGAAGTTTGAAAAAGTTCAAGATTATCAAAATTTCGATGCAGTATTAATCAGATGTTTATAACTCTTACTTTCTTTAATAATTAATTTCATATTGTTTTCTAAATTAATAGTTTGAATTCAAACAGGCTACAATACTAAATGTTCGTTCTCAGACTTTATTATAACCATTTAAAGAGTGACTTGTAATTTTCACATTAAATTGATTAACCACATTAAAACACCTTAAAAGAAGTATAAAAATTAAAAATGATAATTTAAGGCATAAATACTAAACAATATCAAACTTCTATTCTTATTATTCTCTTATCTTTCTGAGATTGTTGGAATCTCAAAAAACCAAATATTTCTAATGGCAAAGGGTGCTTAAGAAAATGTTTTAGTAATAAAATATCATTATTGATACAATAATATTTATACTATATTATATCTGTTCATAAAATATTCAATTATTTATTGAATTAAACTTTATTGTCTAAATAAGTTCTTAAATTTTGTTTTCTTAGATTTCATTTCCAAACAAAATTTGAAGTAACGTATCGTAAATTTCATAACGGTCACCATTCATTAATTATTTAGATATTGGTCTGAAATTCTATAGCAATTGATCTTTCAGGAATATAGAATTCAGATTTTATAAGCATAATTTATGTAATTATTAAATTGGAGTCTTTTCTTAAAATAATTCAGCATGAAAATTTTTCTAAAAATCTTATACCTTACTTGACCTAAATTATTATTTAAAATGCTTTTATGATTTTTCAGAATAGTCTTGTTATTCAATTCCTTTTATTAACTTAAATAGAAGTTTCTCATATTTAGATGAATAATGATTGTAAAATTCTTTAATTTCATCTATAGAATCCTTGAAATTTAGGATTTAAGATTGATTCTCTGAAGGCTTTTCAAGTTCTTTGATTCCTTAGAGTTCTTATACTAATAGTTTCATCAAAAGGAAATCTCTAAAACATTCAAGCTCTTCCTTTTAGAAGAGTAAGAATATAAACTTCATTCTCATCAAATTTTATAAAATATATAGTCTGCCAGTGAGTTGATGGTTTCCTTTAATTTGTAATTCTTCAACTAATTTATTATGTAAACTCGATTTTTAAGAAAAAAAGTCATCAATTTTTGTGATCTGCTACTCATTCTAAGCACGAAGAGTATATTCTTCTATTTATTCAATATACAGAACTTAAGACAAAGCTTCTTTAAAAGTGATCCTCCTATTTGATTCAGTTTCTTCTTCCAGAGTGCATTTTTAGACCATTTATCCAAATAAATAGCATAGATATCTATATCCATTTAAAAAGATATATTTTGTTAAGTTATATTTAGTTGATTCAAAACTATTAACCCTTTCGTACATTTTCTTCTTTGTGAATAATTCAAATAATATGCATCCTAGATTAAATATGGCCATTTTTTCATCAAATATTATAGTTTTACTAACTACTTTTTCTTCTTCTTTGATTTAGTAGACCAATTCTGGAGACAAACAATGATTATTTGCGATTTCTGGTGAATTTTAATCCAATTTGTCTACACCAAAATTATACAAGAGAAATCTTTATATATAATTGCTATAGTTAACTTTTTGACTCGTTCTTAAAGCCTCATCAATAGGTACAAAACTATCTTAGGTCAAAGTTGGTATATAAATACTAATAATATTGTGTTTTTTTTTACTTTAATTGTGAAAGTCTATAAAATAACAATAAAAGATGCTTTGAAATATAAATTGGCTAACCCATTGATTAGAGTGTTTCCCTTCCAGCTTTTTTAATAGCAGATTCGTTTTCCTCATTAAATGTAAATTAATATTGATTCTGCTGTTTTTCAATTATTAAGCTTTTGGGAAAGAAAATGTAGTTCTCACTTTTAATAGTATCAAGATTCTCAATCAAAGCCTGAACCTTTATATAAATCAATTTATTTGAAATACTTGTTTCAACTGACACTAAGTAAGATCTTCTACCTTGTAAAAGAATGAAAGCATCTCATTTTAAACTATCATATTTTTATTAAAATTTTCAAATCAAATGAATATAAAATACAAAATCAAAGGCCAGCTTCGTCATCATCGTCATTTCCACTAAATAATTTCAGTTGTTCGTAATTACCTTTTCCCATATAGGATTAGGGTTTCTTTGGTGGTTTAGGGCTAAATAGACTAAAATTTATAATTAAAAACTACTTAATGATTTTATCCTTAAAGAACAAAATTAATATGACAGCACCTAAGAAGGCTACAACGTACCATAAATATGAATTTTATTTTGATGAATTAAGTTAAGTTGAGGAGTTATTGATTTATGGTTTGCTAATTGTAGGTTATTTGATATCATTAATTGGAATTTCAGTATTATTCAACGAAGTACTATTTGTTTAGGTGTTTGGACAAGGTGTTTCAATAGGGGATAGATCAATACCACCTTAACAATAGTCTCCAGAAACCTTTCTGTAGCCTTATGTTTTCATGTAAGTCTATTTGCAATTAACAGGAGGTTTTAATAAATCTGGAGTGTCATCTTCTTCAAATTTATCAGCAATTGGCACACAAGGTCCTCCTTCGATTTTCCTATAGAATCCAAAATCACATTCCCAATCATCCTCTATGCAAGGACAAGTTTCGATGAAGAACTTTTTATCAATTTCCTCTTGATTGAAACACTTAGCCTCTCTTTTCCTTCTGATGTACTTGATTTTTCTACCAAATAAACATTTACCAGATTCAAAGTTTTTAGGAATCCAAAATTCATAATCTGATTCAGGCATTGTTGGATCCCAGGCACCAGAGCATACTCTTTAATGAAGAGTTTAGAAATTCAATGCTACGACATATCCTTTTAATTGATTTTCTTATGATCTGCTTTATCCATATACAATGAACTTCTATTCCATATTGGAAGGTTCGGTGACTATGTTCTGAATTTCAAATTCCTTCTGGCCAATTTTAACTTCTTCCCATGAAAATCCTTAATCCCAAGAATAAATGATTTGATTAATGGGTTTATCGTCTTGACCCATAACAATGAGACCACCTCTATCTCCAATTTCATACATATGGGAACCCTTTCTGATTTCAAACCATTCATGACCTCCATCTCTGGTCAGATAGGTGTTGACTTCGTGATCTTTCTAAGTCAAATATAGACCTGTATTTCCAACACCAATACTAAGTCCAGGAGCATTTTAACTAGAATAGAGTGGATTTTGATTGGCTTCTGTTCTTCCTTTCAGGTGTAAAGAGCAATCTCCAGAACACTATATTTCATCTCCTTTTGAATCAACTTCTGGAGCTTTTAATGGATGCCATTAACCGCCTCTATCATAGGAAATGAACTAAAAATAAGAATAAATTGATTTTGTACAGTTTTTTTATATAATTCTAGGGTGGCAGGAGTGATTGAACTTCTTGATTTTGATTTCTCTACTTCTTGATGATCAAATACGTTAGAAACATAAACTCCTTCCATGCCAAGCATTCTCTCGAAATCACAATTTCCAGTATCAAGAGATCTCACATTATGTAACAAAGATAGAGTGAATTTAAATCCTCTAAAATCACTTACGTATACATTAGTTAATCTTTGATTTTCTTCCTTATGAGAAACAGACAAAAATATCTATCCTTCTGAAGTATCTAGAATAGTAAATGTATGCTAATTCAAAGGAATAGGTAATTATACAGGTTATGGTGAGAATTTATCTAAATAAGCAGGAGCTATCAGCAATTCATATCCAGTTTCTCCATCTTCGCCCGTAGTAAGTACGAATATGTAATGGGATGTTTAGAAGAATCCCAAAGCATTTTCTTACATTGTTTAGACAGTCGCAAAATAGTCATCTGAGTAGGAAATAACAGATTTGCCTTCCTTCATGTGACACACTATTATTCTTTGATCAGGGATTAATTGATATTATAAGAGTTTGTCCCATGCAGCATCTCTGACATAATTTAATGCTGATTTCCAAGTTTCACCTCCATCTTCAGTGACATAAATTGATTTCTTATAAAAGTCTTTACAATTAATATCATTTTTGCCACAGGGTTTGTCTTTAAAAGCCATAATCCATTAAGAATCCATCTTATTCAATTTAAAATCATAAAGGTCTTCTGAATGTGTGAACCTTGTATAAGTTCGACCACAATTCTTAGATTTATAACTAATACCATTTGAACCAAAAAAGAATATAACCCTTGAATCAGCTGGTGAAATATGAATACTTTCGAATTGTAATTATTTATTTTCTGGTTCCATCTTTTCCCAACTCTTTGTTTCATCCAACCAAGTTGTCCCGTAATCTGCTGATCTCCATATTTTCCCTTTGTCTGTAAGAATGAACAGCACTTTTCTGCTCTCCTAATGAGTTTATTCAATTGTTTCATCATCTTTTGTAAATACAACAGATGATCCACACCAATAAATGTTAGACACTGGAGATTCAAGTTCATTAAATGAAACCTTTACTTCATTCTATCCTGACACGCATAAAATCAACAAACCTAGAATTATTATCATTTCTTAAATAATAACACGTAGATTAATTAATATATATATATCAAAGCAATTCTCATTCATATATATTTCTGTTTATGAGAAAATCATCTCTTAACCTATTCTATCATAATAAATCAGTATTAAAATTCAAAGATGCTAAAAAAATGACTTAATAATAAATCTTACATAAGTCTAAACCCAAATCAATCATTCAAATTACATTCAAATAATTTCTTTATAATCTATTTTTTTTGGAAATCAATAACTAAAATAAATCCTCTCTAAAATCTTTAAAATTAAGATTGTTATCACTCCTTCACTTTTAATAACTAGTTTCTAATAATATCTAATTAAAATGTAAGAACAATTCGGAACTACAATCTAATTAAGAACAATTAAAAACAGCCTTATGATTTGAAATGTTGAAACAAATTTATCATTAAAGACTTGGATGATAAATAGAACATGTGCCCTTATCTCTAATTTACAAGACTATTATGAAATTTAGAACAAGGAAGATCTAATTTTACGAATGAAATAAACTATTTATTTGAGACTTAAGATTGCAATACTGATTGTTTAGGTTTAAATGTAAATGTTACAAAATAACCACAAAATTGATATTACTCATAGATAATAAATTTAATATTATTGTATCATAAATAGCTCTTAGCCAAATTAGGATATTCCATTCCTTAATATTAAATTTCTAATTATTATGCTCAGAATCAAAACTCATCTTATAAATAATGTTCCATACTTATTGTTATAAATATTAAATTCATCAAGTTTATAGCCATTTTTACTTCCTCCTATCTTTTAATTTTTACAAAAAAATCAATTTTTGGGACTTAAATAAAACACAATTTATCTTATCTATTCAAATTTCTTAATACTCAAATTCAATCATCCAAATCAATTAACAAAAGAAGAATACATTTTTTATTATTTTTGATACTTAATCTACATAATGTTATCATTTTTATAAATGGAATATTATATTGATTGTTTTATATATGTCTTATATTCTGTACAAGTGGCAGCATCTATAACCATAAATAACAAATATATGAATCTATATTCAAAATGTAACCAACTCTATCTCAAACAGATATAAATGAATTTTAGGATAACATTAATTATATTATTAATTAATAATGTCCCAAAGGAAAAAAAAAAGAGAACCAACACCAACTAGAGTTGCTTTAGTTTGTCTGAAAACAACATAGAATAATATCTAAATCAATAATCAATCTTTATTGAAAGTTTTCTCCAAACATGGCTCTATTTCAAAAGTATTCCAAAATTATGATATAATATTATAGATTTTAATATTTGAGAGAGGGCAGCTTTAAACAAAAGTATTTATTGAATATGACGAAGTTGATTCAGCTATTGATGCAATCAAGTATAGATTCAATTTTATAGTAGATCACTTAATAATACAAAAATCTTAAATTAAATTTCATGCAATGTTTATCATTCGAGATTGAAATAGCTGAAGCTTGATACTGTTCCATATACTAAAGGTCTTGATTTTACTAATCCTCCCTCTAATACTACTGATCAGATTGAGCCAAACGAGGAATAATAAGAAATAGCACGAATCAATGAATGGGAAGATTTCTAATTTGGAAGTAATTCTACAGATGAAGTTTCTGATGAGGAGGAGCCTTAGTTTTCAGAAGAGAAAATGGTAGATATCCTCACTCGACTCAATTAAATAGATGATGAAATCAATAAAACTATTGAAACTAAGATAGTTACAGCTTTGGACAAGTTGCAACAAAATACAATGTGTATTTAGGTATTAATCACTTATGATATACTAAATGACTTGAATTTTGTTATCAAAATATTTTGTCTCTTTGGAGAAATTGTAAAATTCAATTTAATATTTAGAAGTATTTGAAATAAAGCTAAATTTATATCTATATCAAATATGGATCCAATATGGAGTGCGAAAAAGCATATTAATTACTTAAAGATTATTTGGAAATTAAAATCTAATATAATTTTGAAAATGTCAATGGTAAACTTATTCAACCAAATTATATAAATTATTCAAAATCTTAGGAAGCCATTAATGATTAAGTAGCCATATAAGAACTCTTCTAATCATATAAAATAATCAAGTAATAGAACAACAGTTTGATAAAAATCAACTAATGAAACAATGAGATATTCAAAATTTAGTATTTCTCTCTTTTTATAAATGAATTAATACAAAATTATGAAAGATTTAATATTCTCTCAATGTTGTTTAATTTTAGAAATTTGAAATAAACGAATCAGAGTCAAACAAAAGTTTCAGAAGACAATTCATTTACCAACTAATTGTTTTAAATTATAATAATAAAGATATGTTAACCTCTTCTATTTTTGATAATGTTTGGTTGTTATTCTTCAGCTGATTAATATCTAAATTGATGCCTGAAATACTTAATTTTGGGTAATTAACAAGAATATTATAAATTTATGTTGAAACTTTAATAATAATAATAATAGTATATAACAAATAAAAAGACCTTAATAAACCCAGAATTTTAAAACAAAGTTTATGCGAATAGTTAATATAGAAAACAGAAACTCATTTAAAAGAATAATATCAGACTTAATCATTCATGTAAAAAATTATCATTTAAAAATCCATTGTTTGAATTAAGTGAATTAAACAAGAAGTTACTTCCTAATTTTAAAATCAAAATTAGTGAAACTACACGTTCTTAACCTAGTTTTCGAATATCAATCCTTACTAAGGAAACTGCAAGAGTATTAAGACTAGTTGGATAATACAATTGATAATAACATAATATATATATTCATGATTTTGAGATATAATTATTTTTTATGATCTTATCAATGGTCAAATGAATATTAGGTGTAGTTATCAAATAAATTTCTCTATCACAATGAGTGTAGATAGGTCTCATTAAAGAGAAACTCAAATTTAAATTTATAATGCAGGAGTAATTAATAATTTCCAATGGAGAAAATTTTAGTTATTCATCAAGCTAATAATTATGGATTAGGAGTATGAAGAAAAAAATGATTGAAAATAAATGAAAAGGGTGTTAAATTATAAAAGGTTATATTAAAATTAATTTTTTTATTAAATTATATAATCAATCAAATATTTTAGTACATTAGCTTAGAAGGGTAACAATATGTTAATTTTTTCTTGATGATTTACTAATAAATCAGAATTAGGTCATGATTGAAGTGGATTAGGTAAAATTTTCTGTCGATGTTTAAATACTTAATTGAAGTATGAAAATTGCAGTGAGGGAAGTTATAATTTATATCAGGATCCATTTTATATCTTTGAAATTAGAAAGAGATTTGTGTAAATTACTTAAAATTAATGTTTTTCATTAAAAATATAAATACGAATCATAGGATGTGTTAACTTCCCAACCTGATATTGATGCTTTTTGCTTTGAGATGGGCGGCAGTATTTATTTCTTTGGTTATTCAATAATTTTTGGTGAACGAATAGAAAGAGATCGCTCACTTTACAATTGAATCGTTTTTGAGGATATAGAAATGGGGAGTTTAATATTTTTGGGTTTTTGCACTGGTCTTTTGAATTTACCCTTTTTGATTATTTCATCGAAGAATTATAATTGTTCTTATATTCTGATTCTTTTGTATAAATTGGAAATATCATTCATTGGTGGTGCCAATGGGTACTGGGTTATAAACTTTCTGCTCATTTTATGAATATATTTAATAACAAAATAAAAACATCATTACTCTCAAATTCCAAATTATTTCATAAATAGATTGAAGTTTTTTTTAAATTATTCTTCATTTTATTGTTTGATCCTTAGGTCTAGATCTTATGTTAAAATTTATAGTTAAGAAGCATCTAATTATTAATCAGATCTCAGTAAGACTTTGCTTAAAATTGCAACAAAAACTTATTGAAAAGTGCACATAATAGCGAAAACCTATCTTGTGATTTTGAGGTTGGTTTGCTATGAACACTAACCTTTAATTAAGCAGAGCAGTAATTCTTACAAAACAAGTTCAACAATAGTATCCAAAGGCTAAACAAACGATTATAAAATGCCCATCTAAGTTAATTACTGTTCCTCTGATACAAATTCTAGTATTGATAAGACAATATCTGTAGTATGATCCAAAGTAACTTTATCCAAAGGCTGGTGGTAGGTGGATATAGTAGAAGTCTTATATTCTTGTGAGAGTTAGCGCAATAAGTGTTTTTGTAAACTTTCAATGATAACCATTAAAGTAGTCAGTGATTATGGATTCAATTCAAATAACTGCAGTTGTGATGTACTCACTACTTACAACACTTAGACTACTTGTAAACATGTTTTATTGTACATCTATAAATAAATATATACATTTACAATGATATAATTTGAGATCTTTGATGTAATATCTAATGAAGTTATGAGTAGGTCTAAATATTTTCTGTCAGCAAAGAGCAATTAACATGTTTAAGAAATATATTTCCCTTTTAGGATGTTATTCATAATTTTAAATATTAATCCTACCAATCTACAAATCTCTGCTGAGAATTCTTATTTGACTTTTTCATCTTATATGGCATTTATTAAATGTTACAAGTAACTTGTCAATATCCCTTGAAAAGTTCTGACTAATTCAATTTAAACTACGGAGGAACTATGATATTGATATCTCAGACTCTTGTTCTCTGTAATGGCAACCATTAGTTTTAGACATAATTTACACATTTGGAATTATTAAGGATTGTCAATTAAAATAAATCTGGTCAATTCAGCTATTTTTAATAGATGTTATTTGATGAGTAATCTAAATATTTTGCTCGTATCAACATGTCTGAAGTAACCTAACATTTCATATAGATATATTAAAATTGATTATTGAGTTGGTTGTATTGTCAAAAACTAATTTAATTAAATTATTGATTCAATATAGTTCTCGTAGGCAGTGTCAAACAATAAAATTGATAGGATTTCGGACGCTAAGGTTCGACAACTTAAAAACATATCCTTCTATAAAGCAGTATTTTTAAGATTTAATAGTACACTTTTAATTTAGGTTACAACATTTGAACTTTAAAAGGCTTCATTATATAAATGATGTTTCAGTCGAACAATTGTTTCTTTCATAATTACTAAGGCATATTCTATTATTTCTTTATTCTCAATTTGCAATTGTAAAATTATAAATTATAACAACTGATTAGTAGCTTATTAGGGTTAGATCTGAATTGGTTTGATGAAATTATCAAAGAAGGCTTTGTTAGATCTTTATCTACCAATTGATTCATCTGATTCACTAAGAGCAAATTGAAATAAGTTATCTGCTAAAGACATTGCAGACATAATAACTAAGGGAGGTAAATTATGAGTAGAAACTTATAGGAAGTTTAATGAATCTTTAATTACAGTTTATATCATTTAAACTATTTCTTCACTGTTTTTTTCTAAAATTTATGGATTTATTACTATGTAATTAATTAGACTTAATTCGATAATGAACTTTTCTTAATCTTAAGCTGCATTTTTAAAAGAATGATAAATCATTTTGATGTGACTAGTTAAATCTATAGACAAAATTGGAAAAAGATTTTCAAAAAATTCTTTTAAAGTATGCTTTAACTTTTTGTGATTCTAAGGTGTGTAACCTTAAAAAAAGGAGTTTTGAGAATTCAGTAATAAATGAATTATAGACTTACTTATTTCAGATATTGCCTTAGAGATTGATTATTTAAATGTAATATCCAATTTGAAGTCAGTTATAAATTTAACTAACTTCTTCATCAATTCTATCATCTAATACATGTGAGGATCCTTAATTTTCATTTATTTTTGTAAGATTTAAACACAAAATGTTTATAAACAATATAACCATTGTTAACTAAATGTAAAATCAAATCTAATCTATCTCAAACCAAAGCAATTGTTTAATTTTGTATTTAACTCCAAAATATCACTTATGATTTCCTCATTAGCTTATTATACCTTCTCAAAAAGGAAAATACAACCTTAATACATTTCCTTAGCAAATAATCTTTTTTTAATTTTCTCATTAAAAATTCTCTTCTTAGAGGATGCCATTCTCTTCAGAGATTTTAATGCTAACAGGGCTAAAGATGAGTCGGTTTAACTATATGAAGCTGTAATCTTAAATAACAGTTCCACCAATTATCTATCATTAAAAAACTCAGCAAACTTCTCAGGAAACTATTGATATAATAATTTAATTACGCTAACATTGTTTTGATCATTCGGATCAAAATCTGATTCTAATTCAAAGTAACTCACATTAAAATTGAACATCAAAATATCTTTTAGGGAGGCTAAGGCTGGTTTATAAAGTTCTTAAGAGCATTATTTCAACACAGTACAAATAGTAGACATAAAGTCTAGAATATCGCTATTTTAAAACTAAAACATTATTTTCCTATATGAAACATAAGAGTCATAGGATGAATAAAGTTGTAAATTTTATAAAACATGCTAGACCAGTTTCAAACCTATAGAAAGGAGGTAAGGTTGATTCCCTTGAAAAAAAGAGTTAAAAACTAACTTGAACTTTGAGAATTGGTTGCTACTCAGCATCATTATTTACTGAATCAACAAACCCACCAAATTACAGATTGAATTTTATACGTGATTTTCTTATTGCTTTTAAAGACTAGCACAAAATAGTTAAACCAAAGTATCATAGACTCTGCATTTTTTAGATAACACATCGTTTTCTTCCTTATGTTAAAATTATCCCACAATTAATTACCCTTCTGATAAACTACGATCAGAAGATGAGAATCCCTTGAAAGACCTTTCAGAAACCACAATCTTAGCTATATATTCTGAGATCACAAACAAAGTTGAGCCTGACTGAGTTTATTGTATAATCTGACATAAAATATCAATGTTTCTTATATCTTCTATGAACTGATAAATTGACTATTCAGCCTATTGCTTACTCTATAAACTTAAAAACAATGCTTACTTCCAATGTTCTTGAGAAACAGCAATCATTGCACAAGGAATCAAAATGTACTAAATTCATTTCAATTTAAAATATTCAATTATTTTAATAAATAATACTTCTACGAAAACACATATTTTAAGAATACAATTTATTTAATGGAATAAATATAATTGAAAATCAAAATAATAATTACTAATAGAAATACATAAATTATATTCATATATAGTTAATACCAAATTTAATGTCAAATTGTTAACTAAATTTGCTTTTGCTAATATCTAATAAAGAAATTTATTGCAAACCTAATTAAATTGGGTAATTAGAAAAAATATAAAGAAAATAGGCTATTTGATATTTTATAATTCCTTAATGATCATTTGTAATTCACCAAGCATAAAATTATGATTTATTTTTAAATACATTTGAACTATAGGTTTTATATTGGTTCTATAATGTTCAAAAATTACAAACGAGAAATAATTCTTAATTAAAGTTTATTGAGAAATAATTCAGCAAGTTAAAAAAATAGGTACATGTAAACTCATTAATCTCGAAAAGATGTAAGAAATCTGAATACTACTATTGCTATATTCACTAGAAAAAGATATAAAAGAAGTATTAACTTGAACCTCTGAGAAGTCATTATTATTTTGTGGAAAAAGTTAATTTATTTTTTTTAAGTTATTTGAATTATGTACTTTAAATGATTAACGTGTTTTAAGAAAACATAGAAAAATAATAGATAATAAAATGGGAGTAATCATAAAAAGTAGGTGAATTATAACAATTAGCAGATACATTTTGATAAAATTTTAGACTTCACTAAGATTAGTTGTAATCATATATAGAATGAAATATTATTACTTAAAAAATGGAAGGAGATCAAATTAATATCTTATAATGATGTAAATTAAATTTTCAACAGAATTTAATTAAAATTAAAATTAAATTGCCTTTCATAATAGTACGATTGATAATAATATAGATGTCTAATAAAGATGTTAATTTAAAAGTAATAAAGAATATTTAAGTATATGTGAATAAACTAGATTCAAATTAATTTATTTATGGAAAAGGATATACTCATGGGTCTTCAGTTGGTACTTTTTTTTTATTAATTTGGATATTTTCCAATTTTGTTTCCTGTTATTGTGATACTTCTTGTGCTTAATTTTCCAAAGTTGATTCTCCTTGAGATAGGATTTTATTAGAAAAATAATTCTCTTCTTTTTGTTGTGAATTATCTTGATGTTATGATATTTCATTTATTTATGATTATAATGGTGATGGTTTTATCTCTATTTATATATTGGATTACAATTATTCTTCATATGCTAATTATTATTGTTATTGTTATTACTATTAAGTTAGTTTATTTTATTATAGTTAGTCTTATTTAGTTGACTCATCCTATTCTAGTTATGGTTATTCTTATTATATATATGTAATTTGTTTTTGTTATTGTTATTGTTATTGTTATTGTTATTATTATTGTTATTATTATTATTATTATTATTATTATTATTATTACTATTAATTTAGTTTATTTTATTATAGTTAGTCTTATTTAGTTGACTCATCCTATTCTAGTTATGGTTATTCTTATTATATATATGTATTTTGTTATTGTTATTATTATTATTATTCTTATTATATATATGTATTTTGTTTTTGTTATTGTTATTGTTATTG